AATAATAATAGCCCTAAGCTTTTATATAATACTATAATTCTTAAAAATAGAATAAAGAATAGAGAACTAATTCTCTTTATTATAGCCAGGTATTCTTTAGAGAATAAGAAAAGCTTTTTGTCTCTTATAATTATATATAGTAAAGTATATATAAATTACTAGAAGAAGTAATTAATTTAGGAAAATCCAAATATTAAGTAAAATATAGATAAGTAAGACTACTAATTAAAGAGTCTTTTATATAATAATCTTATACTTTCCCTAAGCTTCTTTAACTTTATTATAAACTCTAGAATAAGAGGTTATAATCTTGCCCTTATAAGCTCGATTTAGGACTTAGTAAAAGGTATAAAATTCCGGCTATTTAATAAGAATAAAAGACAGATTTCATATAATAATTAGAGAGATTAAAGTTTTAGTAATAACTACTATATTAAGGCAAGTTCTAAGAATCTTATTATTAAATTCCTTAATTCCATTTCCCTTTTTAGTTTAAGCTTTATACTAAAGTTATTTAAGTTACTAGTTTATAGTAATTTGGCTTTTACTTTTAGCCTTTAATATTATAATTTAGTAATAGTAGCTCAAATAATTCCTTATATTTATTAATATTTATATATTATATAGTTTAGTTTTATAAAAAATATAATAAAGAATATCTTACTTAAGATTATCTAAAATAGAAATATAATAAAATTCCTAATAAAATACTCTTAACTTTAATATATCTAGAGTACTTAAAGTAAAATCTACTAAAACTAATTATATAAATAATGAATCTGGTTTAAATAAAAAAGATATTTTAATAATATTTTTAGAAAAAATCAATATATAAGGCAAAGAAAATAAAAAGAAGAAAAGAAAAAAAAGAAAAAAAAATAGAGAAATACGAAATAAAAGTAATAAAATAATTATTTAGTAATTAATTACTAATTAATTATAATTAATAGCTAATTAATTATAATTAATAGCTAATTAATTATAATTAATAGCTAATTAATTATAATTAATAGCTAATTAATAGTATATATAATTAATTACTAATTAATTATTTAGTAATTATTACCGAGTCTAAATAAAAGTAAATAGTCTATAAATTATTTATAATTACTATTATAATTATCTAAAAGTAAGAATACTAGTTTATATTTAGCTAGATTTATATTATAGTTACTAGTAATATCTTATAAGTATAATTAACTTATAAATTAGCTATATAATAGCTTATAGTCTAGTTAAAGGTATTCTCAGGTAAGGTAATATCTATAAATATTTACTAGAGATTTATAAGACTAAAACCAAATAAAAAAAGGCTATAATTATAATAAGAATTAACTAAGAATAATAGGAAGTTAATTAACGGGTTATAGGCTAGCTTATAGGCCAAGTTATTATAGAAATACTTCTTATACTAGTTCCAGATTATTTATATATTTATAATTAGCTACTAGTAAATATTTATAAGAAAGAATATTTATAAACTATAGCTAGTTATTAATAAAATAGCTTTATTAAAATACTAGAATTATTTCTAATTATTCTTTACTAAGCTATAGGTAATATAAGTAATATAATATATAGAATAATAAATGCCCTTAATTAAATAGAGCTTATTAAAGAATTACGGACTATATATAACTATTAATAAGAGCTATAAATAGAACTACTTATCCGAAACCAAGCTATAGTAATAAATATAGCTAATATTATATCCTTACTTATAGGGCTTCTATATCCGGGTTTTAGTAACCTATATAAAGTATTATAGAAACTTATAATAAAAATACTAGTAGCTATTTTTATATAATATATTATACTTAAAAAAAGCTATTAAAATTAAACGAGTATTTATAGCCTAGTCTATAATTTACTTAGGTAAGAGGTTATTTATAAAATAGACTATATATTATCTAAGAAAATAGATTACTAAATACTAAATTAGGAAAAACTTCTAGTATATTAGATATTTAAATAGGTACTAGAAAGCCTCTATAGGGCCTATATATCGGGTTTAAAAATATTAGATAATCTTATTATTTATTTCTGAGACTATAATAGTTATATAGTTCATTTCTTTATAGATATATTTATAAATATACTTAATTACTTATATAGAAATATAAATCTTAATATTAATATAAAAATAAAACTTCTAGAAAAGATATAAGTTATATAGAATAATCTAGTAATTATTATAGATAATTTCCTGGCCTAGAAAGCCTGGTTTATAGACTATAAATATATAGCTATTATTCTAGTATTAGTACTCGGAATACTTATTCTTATAAATAATTATTATAGCTATAAATACTTTAGAGAACCTTTTCTAGTATATAAGCGGAACTATAAATATCTTATAAACTATATATAGGGCTTTTGAATTATTTTTAAAGCTATATAGTCTATAAGATATCTAACTAGTTATTATAATTATAAGTTTACTTATAGGATCCTATAATAAGCCTAGAAGCTTGGTATAAATAACTTTATTAACTAAATTAAGAATTAAGAAAATAGCTTCTTTCCTAAGAAATAAAAGTAAATATATATATAAGAGGCTATATTTCTAGTATTTAATTATATATATATAGTTTATATATAGTTTAAAAAGGTAATTCTTTAGATTTATAAATAGCTTTCTTATTTTTAATATAAAGACCTAGTAAAAGAAATCCGGATAATTAATAGCTTATTACTTATTTAAAAGATAATCTATAATTTCAGGCTAATATAAGTTAATTATAAAAGTAATAAAGAAGCTTAGCTTACTAAAATATTATATAATAGCTATTAAGTCTTAAAAGAGCTATTATATAAAATAATTACTATTTATAAAGCTTAATAAGAGAATAAAATAATAGCTAATATTACTTATATAAATATTCTTATAAATTAGAGTATTTATAAGTCCTATATATATATTTGTATAGATATTTTACTAATATAAGCAGAACTAGTTAAATAAAGTAATTTTATAGATAATATATATATTAATAATATATTATTAAAAGAAGTAACTAGTATAAAAAAGCAGAGAAAAGACCAAATAAATATAGAAATAATATTAGTAAAAAACTCGCTACTTTAGTTATATTTACTAATAGGTCTTATTATAGTCCTATAACTATAAACTATAATACTAGCCCGGGTTATTATATAAAAAAATAAGATATAATATTAATTATATATACTATATATATAATATTAATTATATATATTTATAGATACTTATAGCCTATTTTATAAATTATAAATACTAGATTATAGCGGCTTATATTTATATACTTATTTGGAATAAGAACTATAATTTTATTATTTATTAGAAGGTTCTTATAATAATAATTAATATCTAATTTAAGAATTAAATATATTTATAAGTTAAGTAAGATCCGGAAATCGGTTTACTAGCTTATAAGATACTTATAGGCTATTTTATAGACTATAATAAACAGATTATAATTCGTAAATATATTTATAAACTATAAAAGAACTATATAATCTAAATAAGAGAAGTTAGTAGCCTATATATTAGTTATAAAAAGCGGATTATAAAAGAAGAGCTATATAAAAAAAAGTTTAGTATATAAAGCAGGCTATAGTAAGTCTTAGAAATAAAAGAGCTTACTATAAATCTGAAAGTACTAGATCCTATAAGAGAAGTTAATCCGGGTATTCTTCTTATAGCTAATTAATATAAAGGCAAAAGTATAATTATATATCCGGATATTTATCTAGAAGGCCCGGTAAAGCGGGTTATTACTTATAAAAAGGTAAGAGAGATATAGAGAAGGCTTATAAATTAGAGGAAGTATTATATTATCTTTCTTATAATAGGCCTTAAAGTAATTATCTATATAGCCAAAATAGAGGGCTCTGCAAGCTATATAGTAACCCGTAAGCAGACCGGTTATATATACGGGAGCTGGCCGGAAGCGGGAGAGAAAGGCAGGAGGCCGTATAGTAAGTAGGTCGGCAGGAGGGTCCTCTATAATATAAACTGGGGCCATAACGGACGGTTAACGGATCCGTCGCTAGCGCCATAGGGCTGGCTCGTCCGCAGAGACGTCTGTAATTAACCGTTATTATCGCCGGGAGGGAGGAAGGGCATTTGGATTAAGTTCTTGCAAGGCAGGGCGCCACTGGGTATAATTAGTAGCTGACCGGGCCTATTAACTGGTTAGTTAAGCCAGAAAAAGGAGGAAATACAGACTTGATAGTAATTATAGCTCTTATATATCTTAGCCCGTTCCGTAATAAAGTCAGAAGCAGGCCGATTTTGCTTATAGGTAGTACAAAAGCGGGAAGGGTCCATAATATAAGTAAAAGGGAGAGTAATAAAGGTAAGAGTAATAAAGAGAAGAAGAAGAGAAAAGTAAAGTAAGGCCAGGGTTTTTTTTAGTATTCCTTACGTGACCTGTATTTTTAGGGAGCCCCGAGAGCTAGCTAAAGCCTTAAGAATTCCCTTTCCCTTTTCCCGAGTATTAAAAAATCGTAATAAAAGCCCCTTGTATTTTAGAACTACTAAAATTACTTGAAAGATACTTGAGCTTCTTCTCTATAATCCTAAGCTAAGCCCTAAGAATTTGGACGTAATCGCATTCCGATGCGCGATTCCCTAGAAAGAGAAGATTCTGGTGTTCCTCACGTGACCCGTATTTTTCAGGAAGCCCCGGGAGCCAACCGCTTAAGGGTGGTCCAAACGTACGATAATATAAAGAAGTGAAAATATAAAGAAGTGAAATATAAAGAAGTGAAATATAAAGAAGTGAAATATAAAGAAGTGAAATATAAAGAAGTGAAATATAAAGAAGTGATGACTGGTGGCTATCCCCCAGTGAGCGTGCTAAGCGAGAAACTAGGTGGGAAGCGCCGAATGATTGCCCGAATCATGGGTCAAGAACCCCCCTCATTGGCAACTATCCTGCGCTAAAGCCTCGACGACAAAACCATGCTCTAGAAAAGACTCAATACACGAGCATCCCGGAAAATAGAGGGTCGAACTCGTGTTATAGATGAAGAGATCCGCGCGCATACGATTGATATGTTTGAATGGCGGCCGCTGTAGATGGACAAGGGGCGGGTAAGAATATAGCGTGAACCATCCAGGGAAACAGACTGCCTCCTCGCAGCATATACCCCCGCCACGCATCCATCACCTTTCCACCTTCCTTCGCACATCGAATAGCTTCTCTAGTACCTCCACACGGCAATCGCATATCTCCAAGATGGCAGAAATCCAGGAGCCCACCAAAAAAGACGCTTTCACTCTTTTCGAGGAGATCCAGCGCAAGTTCCCCGGCGGGACTCTCGGAGATGATAAATGGTACTTGGTTACAGTGGGTTGGCAGACCTCAATAGACAAACCTTATTGACATCTACCAGCTCTCTGCCCTCGTGGGAGTCGAACCCGAACATGCCGCCCACCTTTACACCTATCTGATCGACAAGCCCGAATTCTCCAGCTCTGAATCCCGACAGGCTCTCATACGACGTCTGCGCGAAGTGTTGGTGAAGAATATATCAGTACAAGGCGTCTGCAAGCCTCTCGAATCATTGTTCTCGATTGCAAAGATTGAGCGGCCGGAGGATAAAGACTATTCGTTTTCTCGGTAGGCGGGATGATCCAGGGTACGGACGAGGCTGATATGTTACAGGGAGGAATGGCAAGCGGGGCCAGAGAACCTCGAAAGGGGGGAAAAGTGGTTGAAAACAATTTATGCCGGGAATTTATCGACAACTACAGGGCCTTTCAAAGCTCACAAGGACTTCGATTTCATATCGAGGCAGATCACATACGGATTCTATCTTTCGGATCATAGTATTCTTGGGCCTTTGGATACGGAGTTGGTTACATTGGCTGGGATTATGATACAGAATCTGCCATTGGAGACGGCTTGGCATCTTAGAGGGACGAGGAGAGTTGGAGTGAGCGTGGAGGATGTAGAATTGGTCCAACAATGCGTAAGTAAGCTGCAGATTAATCAAACTTTTCTAATGACTGCAGGTCGAGATGGTCGCGAAGTACGGAGGTGCTCGATTACACAAGATCCCCCGAGTTGTAGATATCGAGCATGAAGTTACAGGATCCGACGAGGCTGAATAGCTTTAGACAGGCTCGGCAACGATTGCTGAGCAATCGATTAGTAATCGATTGTGTGCACTATTGATTAGCTATCGATTGTAATCGATTGGTAATCGATTACTAAACGATTATTACCCCGCACCCCACGAAAGCTAAGCACTAAATTTTTAGTACCTATAGCCTATAATTTAGCGATCGTAGCCCTAAAATTTAGCGATAAGCAGCCTATAATTATAGGGCTCCCTTTTCCTCGCAACCCACAAGCCTCGAAGCTCACTTCTCACTTTCTCTCTCCACTTATTGCTTTTTACTTTTATATACTCGCCCTCTTAACCCCTCCCCCATTAAAAGTTGCCAAGCTTATGGGCCCAAGGCAGCCAGTGTATGGGAGGGCTAGTAGGAGACTAGTGGATTTGTACTATATTAAGGGGCCTTTCCCCGCCTTTAATAATGAGAACCAAGGCTTTTAACTACTTGAATTTAATATCCCCTAATCCCCCCTTCTACTTTTATACTTTTATCCGATCGGCTGCCGCCAGCTTTACACTTTACGACCAATTATATGCGCAAAATCGCAGCAAATCAAAACGCTCAAACCCAAATTTCGGCCTTCTGATTTGCTCGATTTGCTCGCCTTAAAGTGCACGGTCCAGTGTAAAGCTGGCGGCAGCCGATCGGATATATATAGAGAGAGAGAAGAATTAAAGAGAGAGTAAATATTTTAAGTAATAGTAAATGCTGAGAGAAAAGGAAGGAGGGGCAGTAATATGTGAGTGCGGCCGATTTTTGGTAGGGTAAATCGTGACAGACCCCCTTACTAGTATGGACTATGTCTTACCGGATGCAGGAATAGCTATTAATATCATCTCAATAGTACTAACGAGCGATAAGCCAGAGGGAGTCTTTTCAGGGGCTTGTCGTACGGTAAGCTACCTAGAATAGGGGGCAGCTTGAAGCCGAGACAAGATGCAGGAGTACCTTAAGTACTAGAAAAGGAGCAGAGTTCTAGATACTTTCTTTAAATAAGTAAATAAGAGAGAGCCTTACCTTTATTATATATAGTATAGTACTCTACTAAACTCCTGGATCTTCTGGCATTAGAAAAGGGGTAAAATCATACGTATGTAGGGATTAGCTCGCTAAACAATCGATTGCACTATCGATACAATCGATACCTTACGATTGTGGCATCGATTGTTATCGATAGTGCAAAACGCCAATCGTTGCCGAGCCTGGCTTTAGACTTAGATTACAGATCTGTTAAATAGACAAATAGATAGCTGGGCTTCAAAACACCCCATTCCCTGGTTTGTTTCATTCTGGGGGCAGAAATTACCGAGGCCGATAGCGATCCTCTTGCCAAAATCCCGAAAAAATATCGCATACGGAAGGCTTAGTTAGGGGAAGTCAAGTCCATTGTCAATTGTACAGAATCAACTACGAAAGCGTGAGGCCAGATATAAGGTCCACGAGTGCGACGTGCTTGAAAAACGCCAGCCGGCAGCCTTAAGCTGTCACTGTCAGGCAGGTACTACCGAGGCCCTTAACCCCTGTACTGCCAAACCCCGATTTTTCATGACATTGCGCATTCGCACGTTGCACTTGGATTTTGAGATTTTTAAAATAAAGCAATTTTTTAAATTCCTATTAATTCATTAAATTCTCTATTAAATTCTCTATAGATTTATAAAGGTTATTTTTAAAATTCTTATATAGGTAATTAAATTTATTAAATAAAGGCAAAGAAAAGTCGAGGCCGTACGAGCCTTTGGTATACGAGCCTTTGGAGTATACAAGCCATTGCGGCCGTTTTGCGGCCGCTTTACGGCCGCTTCGCTTAAATCTTACTAGGATTTTCCCAAAATCTTTCTCTTATATATTAAGCTTATTAAAACTCTTATTACTCTTATAATTATATAAATTATAATTAATATATATATAAGAATTTAAATGGCTTTAAAAGGTTAAGAACTATAAAAGTTATACTTAAATATCTCAAGAACTTAGAAAATAGCCTCAAATTTCTAAGCGAGAAAATAATATTAAGAACTTCAAAATTTTACAAATAAAAAAATTCTGATTAATCTAAATCAAAGAAAATACTTAGAAAAGTATATAAGCTATTTGCAAGCTTATAAATATCTTATACTATGAGTAATTTATTATATAAGAAGTAAAAAGTGAGGAAAAAGTCAAGTGCAATGTACGCAATGTCGTTTGCAATGTTTTTTTCGGGAGTTTTGGCAGGAGCATTGCTATCGACCTCGGTACTATCAATGAAGAATCGATTGGCTTAGAATCGTTGCCAAGCCTGGTCTCACCCAACATTTCTCTATTATCCACAACAAGGCTTCGATATAACCACGCCGTCTACTTAAAAAAATCGAAACTGAAACGAAAACATCACTTTCCGTCATGGCCCAAAAAACGTTCCGAGCCGGTTTGGAGTTTATTGTCGCAACTCCAAGCAGCATTGGAGACTTTCGAGCTCTCCCTTTAACGCGAGACCAAACGGTTGAGATCGTGTAGCTCATAGGATCTGCAGGCTTCGCCCTCCAGAGATCAAGAAATTATTCTACTCATGAGGTCTCCTATAATAGATTGGGCGTGAGTTGGGGCGAACTCGTATTTGTCGACAATGACCTCGCAACTACGGGATGGCCAGATGAACACATAAGGGTAGCATTGACAACTGCCGTCTTACCTAGCAACAACCACTCTGCATACGTGAACCGAGAGGTCAGTGACTTGACTAAAAGCAATTACAAAACTTCCTTCGACGATCTATGCTTGTTCAAAGTCGGGATTGCTACAGATGGTTACTAAATAGCTGACGAAAGACTTAAACAGTTATTTGACTTTCCTTTGGAAATTTTAATCTATACTAGATAAGCCCCATCTGCACTACGTCTGCGGCAGCAACGGTGGAAGACTAAGACGGAGCCTGGGTGATTTATGCCTATGCCCAAATCGCTCATGCCCACTGTCACGCAGGATTTAGAAAGCTAAGAATGCAAGCAATCAACTGCCCGCTGGATGTGAACTGGAGGAGATCCCGGAGACCCGAAGTGGAAGCAAGGCCGTCGGTTTAGTAACTCACGATCATATAAGAACTTCGGCTATTTCAACCTTGAACCGACATATCTCTTACAACAATCAGGCTCAGTCTGGAGAAGATCAAATGCCATCCGGAAGGATGCTTGGCTCGAGGTCTGCTATGCGATCGTGTTGAAATTGGTACGCTACCATAGCTAGCTTACCAGTCCTTCTAGTACCAGGTTCAACCACTAATTTAGGGTTCTCCACCCTCATTTGTCATGCGTCACTCGCCGAGCTTACCAAGCTTACTAGTATATCGTCATTTTGATTACCTTTGATTTATTAGCTGATTAATAATATATCGGAGAAAGCGGGCTCGGTATTACCAGTATCGCCGAAGGGTAATGGGAATAAATCCCTTACTTTGGACACTTTTCCTCTGTTTCTAGAACTCACTCTCTTGTATCTAGTCATTCTGCAGACTGTTAACCTCCAATATATCGATCATTTTCCAATAGATCGTCCGCTTTATTTTATACAGTAATCCATTGGCTATCGAGGAAGTCCTTTCCCGCAATATGGAAGAAGCATCCCACTCACCAGAGCAACTTCTTGGCTGCCACACTTGGTTGATTTCTTTGTAACTCGATTCAAAGACAGCGCTGTCTACAAAGTGCTTCATGCACCTGACGAGCTTCTGCAAGAGATGAGTCCCCTGGCTCTGTTGGCTTACCGTTCACACCACGAAGCCCTTCACGCACCGGACGAGGTTCTGCGAGAAACGGATCCAATGGGTCTCGTTGAGTTACCGTGCTGAAAGGCTTCCGCCTCTGGCCAAGCTTGATAACGGCTGGGTTTCGGTGGTTTACAGACGCCGTCGTTGAACACCGAGGAACATTCCCGAACTTCTTTTGATTTAATTCAATATCATTATTCATTGAAACTTTTGTGTATAAACTTACGTGAGCTTTGAATTGTTTTCCTCCCCCGTGCTGTATTAATATCTGCAGCGAGTAATATGTCTTATGCTGTTAATAAATGGCCCGCGTCATGCTGTGGAGCTAGAACCTACAGAGCTTCATAACAAGCAAGCTCACATCGAGATGTCCAAGTGAGCGGTTCCCATTTTGCCTTTGGCCCTGAGCTGTTGCTGCTTTTGCCTGAGCCGAGTGAATGTTTCTGAGCATGGCTTGAGCACATGCTAAGTAAGCTTAAGCATGAACTGAAAAGCTATTTTGACACCCAGAGGGGCTCGCTCTGGCTCCCCTAAGGCCTGGTTACACCCCACACCCCTCCTCCTCTCCTCTCTAAGGCAGTCCTATTTTGTCCCCCGAGAGGGAGTCCTCTAGAACTTATTTTAGAACACTAGAAGAATTTGAGAGTACACTATAGTAAAAGAAACTTGATTTTTTTTAAAGACAGACTAGCTAAGTTCATTTGTATAATAAGACTGATTATTTAAAGCTCGGAGCTATAAGGTTATTGAATACACGTGGTACTAGTTATACCCGAGGAGAGTCTCAAGAGCGAGCGCCAGGCAGCATACAGTGGCAATAATACCTAGTTTATTCCCATTGCCTCTCACGCGCACGGCTGAATTCGTCTTAGAAGTACTCGATGCTGTCGAACCCCTTGCACTATCAGAAGCCTGGTGGACCAGGATGAACATGTCATTAACCGCGACCCCGACGTATGAAGTCGCTTCCGAGGGCGGAAACGAGGTCGTCACTGTTGATAGCGGTGCCGTTGCGGTGATCGTTTCGAGGCCCCCGGTGATGGTCTGTCCAGCAATGGTCCATGTGCCGTTTACGATGCCCACGTCGCTGTCGGGTAGGAGTCTCTCGCAACCAAAGGTCGGACTAAAGACCGAGCTCGGGAGCGTCGAGTAGCACGCACCACCGATGGTCGTGTAAGAACTGGAGAATACTATTAGATCCTGTGCCATTGACAGAGATGAGCATGAGCTGCTTGGTTGGAGGGAAGGGTGCGAACCTAGGGCAGCACACGACGGCAGTCTCGCCAGGGTCAAGAGCTTCCAGGAAGACGTCTAGCTCTGGCTCGAAGAAGCCACTTTGGTAACCGGTGGGGATCGCAGCAAACTGGTTGAAAGCCCCAGAGATGCTAGTCGATGTCGGGTTGAGCTTGGCTGCCGCACCAACGGTAGCCCAGCCGGAAGGGCAGACAAGTCCCGGCGAGTGATAGACGATGATCATGCCAGCAGTTGGGTTGCCCCCTTCTCCGGAAGAGTCGATGGACTGAATAGCGGAACCGGAAGGGTTGCAGTCCGCCGGTGGGAGCCATTCGCATTGAGCTTCCCATTGGAGAAAAGTTGGGTCTGTCGCGGCACCGAGCATGGTCTCATAGGCAGTGGAACATGATGCTGGTGCAGTGAATGTTGTAGTCAGCGGGCCGTTGTTTGTTAGGCTATAGCCTGAGAGGGACGTTGCTGTCGGCATGGTGTTTGCGTGCCAAGACTTCGAAAGAGAAAATGGACAAGCCGATGTTGAGCAGAAGGGTCCCAAGCCTGACAGGGAGGGGTTGTAGGGGCAACGGATAAGTTGTTTTCCAAGTAAGCTCGGAGAAATTCTAGTCCGCCTCCTTCACGTTGGCTATCTCCTGACATAAAATTAAGCGTCGTGCTTGAACTGTGCCTGAGCCGGCCGAAGCAGAAGCGGCGCTGGCATCGTGTGAGAAAGCGTAGTGTTCCGCCCTGTTCGTCGATACGAGCGATCAATCAATCAATCTGGCGTCCCGATTACAGCGCCATCCTTAATAATCGCCAAAATTGCGTTTAAAGCGAGTGAGGTATAAAACTCCCCAAACGTGCTCTCCAGCTACTTCTATAAATTGTCACTTCTGAATTGCTGAACTACCACCTTACCAAATCCTCTTGAAATTGCATATCCATCTTGGGAGGAATGCCTCCTGTCCGTTCCTCGCGCCGCGTAAGCGGCAGATTACTACCGTCTATAGTGTGTTTCACGACATGAATTACGCAGCCCCCTTTTTGGCAGGTGCAAACATCCCGTCCGGTTTCGTTCCTCGGGGACTTTCACATATTTTGCCGCATCATGTCTGCATTTTCAGCTAGCCACAGAAGATAGTTAGAGAGATTGTGAACGTGGCAGTGCCAATGATATAAAAGGTTGGGCTGATGTTATTTGCTCTTTAAGTGACGTTTAGGCGATGCTTTGCGTGGCGTTAGAAAATTGGAGAGACAGCATGCATTGTTTCCACCTTGAGATCGCCACTTGGACGCGGCTTATGCCAACGATTAAAACGTAGAATTATGGGTTTTCACGGATTAACGTCATAGTGAAGGGTTCTCCAGAGTTCAAGCTAGTCGTGCTGCCGCTACTCTAGAAGATGAATTGCACGCACGGAACTACATTCCCGGCTTGCATTTCTACTCTCTGTCCTTTGCGCTCCACAATTTCCACGTCACCTCTCGTTGTCTCTTCTTTTCCCACAATTAAATATTGGCAGATCCTAAGCAGTGGAGCTGAATAAGATCTTTTGGCCATGAGGCGGGTTTCTTCTCCAGCCGGAGAGCAGGTCGAATAACCGCAATAATAAATAATTCTACAATCTTTATTGAGTTACTTCAAGATTTCAATTTAGTTTTAATCACAAACAGGAGTCCCGGGTGATCAAATTACCGGAAGAGGCAATATCGAAAATACTTCACTCCGAGCTATGAGCGTTGGCAGAATAACAACTCTACTCTCTTGGCCGCTCACCAAAAAAACACAGGAAGCGTGGCAGAAAAAGTTGAATCGTGTGATTGAGCTCTTGAGATGTGGATTGTTAGTTTGTGAAAGCAACGAAATCAGTGCGAAAAGTTGGCCGTGTCAATAGCAACCACCTTCCCACCTTCCACCTCAGTGCCGTTGACAGGAGCAGCCATACCTCCCGAAGTGACAAAGTACAGAACATCAGCATCCGATGTAGTCCTCCCAAATTCGCAAGCCGTCCCGCCAGCCAAAGTCAGCTTATCAATGCTCCCACCGGCAATAACAACTCCACCAGCAGCTTTTACCACACCCAATGTGTTGACGGTATGACATGTCACCCAGGCGTTCCCCTTCCTATCAAAGACAAAGTCATCAACAATGATTTCTCGTTCCAGCACCTCGACTGAACCAGAAGTCTTCCCTTCATCATCAATCTTGATCCGACAGAAGAATTGCTGGCCCGTGTTACTCCAGTAAAGATAACCGTCACGGATCTTGACTCCATTGACACCCATGGGCATCGATGGTGGAGGCGGGGATTTCATCTCTTCGACATCAATAAGTTTCTCGACTTTTCCATCATTGACGTTGAGCTTCCAAACCACCCCGGCATCCGAGTCTGCGATCAAGACCGTCCCGTCTTCTTTGGAGAGCAATTCGAACCCATTCGCAAGTCCGCAACCTGGTAAGTAGGCGATCCTCTTGACCTTTGGTTTTGAACCTTTATCGAAGCTGGTCAAGTCCACTTCGAAGACCTGGTAGGTATCCGCTCCACTCGACCAGGGTTGAAGAGTGAAGTTGCCGCCCCCAACATAGAAGACATCCTCCTTGATTTCGATGATGCCAGTCAATGCCGATACTTCGTCGAATTTGTGGACCAGCACCGGCCCGTCTGGATTGGATGGCTTGATGAGGTAGAGCTCTGGAGTCGTCAAAATAGTAAGCAGGAGATCACCATTAGAGCGGACAGCAATGTTCTCGATCCACGTGGGGAATGGGAATTGGTGAAGCACTTTGGACGGCAGCGCGGGATCAAGAAAGAGAGGTTCAGCCATGATGAAATACAAGAGTGCTTTGAAGCTGATGAGTGGGATTGGAAGGCGGACTAATGGGTTGTGAGATGCTGGTACTGCAATGGTAAGGCCGAGGCGTGAGTATGAATTGTTGTGCTGCAACGGTGATCTAACTCCGCTACACCTTGCATGGTAGAATCCGAGAATAGCTTCTGGTAAGCCACATTCCATACATGTGACTTATACGAGCCATTCTCGGACTGCATTAAGCCGTGTGTGATATTCATGTCCCCTCATTCGTTCGCGATGTTCAACAATGCAAGAGTCTCATTGGAACGCCAAATGATGGCTTGGCCAATTGAAGCCCCGCGATCTGGAGCTGCAATGTGACACTGGGATATTAGGAAGTGTGTACGACAATACTTATTGCCGTGAATGGTCCAGGACCGTGAGCCAAGGGTGGTTTTCCGCAAGATAAATCCTTTTCACAGAGGTAGTGATTTGTAATTAGGGGCTCATCCTGCTGTTTGTTGGGCTTCAAAGGGCAAGCTACTAAAGAGGGTACAAGCGTGCAATTAAATGTAAGGGGCGGACATCAGGAGGCCGTTGCAGAAGGGGCGCGCGGCGATAGTAAGGTAACGGGGGGGGCTCATTGGCCATGGCCCTAGGCAGGCACCAGCATTCAATGACGAGGTCTTCAGCCTTGTGGAGATACTAACGAGCTGCATACCTTTCGGGGCAGGAGGAGAGGTGCTGAAGGCAGGACGAAGAACTCCGACTAACCGATGCCCCGCACCAAAACACGCGAATTCGCATTTCGCCCCGAACTTTAATAATTAATTACTCTACAACCACTTATCCAAATAAAATAATATTAAATTACAGGGTAGAGTTAATTGAGATCTTGAACTTATATAATTCAGTTTTTTTGTCTAAAGCGTTATAGTAGCGTAATTATATATATACTCGTTTTCGCCTATACTACCCCCGATATAACTACCTTACTAATTTGGGCAATTACCTCTTGCTATACTACTACCTTTACAGGGCGCCTAGCTTTAATAGGTGCTTTCTGCTTAGTTAATACTACTAGAGTAGCTTTTTTTGCCTTGGGAGTAATAGAAACTGGCTGCTTCTTTAGTGCTTTCTTGGCGGGCTTATTAGCTAGCTCTAGGTCCTCTACTAATTGCTTCTAGATAGCCTTAGCCTCCCTATCTGCCGTTTTTTTTTGCCTTCTCCTATTTATTTCTAAGGGTATTCGCAGCCCTTTTAATCTTTCTTTCCAATTTAGCTTCCTTCTCTGTAATTCTCAGTCTTTCCTTCTCTTCTTAATACTCTCTAGCCTTAATAACCTTTCCAGAAGAATAGTAATTAATTAAGCCCTTATTTGCCTCGCCAGTAAGATTCAAACGAATGCCCTATCGACCCTTCTTCTTTTAAAACTCGATTACTTTATATAAACCTCGATTTTCGTATTTCATAACAGAGACTCATATGGCGAGGTAAAGTATAATTAAAAAAATCGTCTTAACCTTATTAATTATGGGTTCTTTATTATATATTTAATAAAATCGATGAATCGATTTTGCAGACCTTAAAGGGATATAATCCAGATGGTTTTTCAGGTAATACAAGTATAGGGCGAGTAATAGTCTTAATAATAAGATTATTATTAATTAGCTATATCCCTGATTTGCAAAATACTAATTAGATATTCTTTTCCGTAAATGCCTTATTTCAAGATCTTTTAAACTTTGGCCAAAAGAAGCTTTTACTTATTTTAATAAGCCCGCCCGATTTATTTATTATTATATTAAGTTCCCAAGAGTATATAGTTAATAATAGTTAAAAAAGTCCGATATTAAAGAACTAAAGCTAATAAGTTATATATAGAAATAAAATTAATAAAATTATACTATATTAATTAGCCTAATTAATAAATACTATATTAATATAACTTAAATATCTATTAATAATAAGAAGACGTTTTTAAGTTATATATAATAGTTTAATATATTATTTAAATATATTTTAAAGCCAAAATAGCCTAATTATATTATTTAATTATTTATTATACGAAATTATAAAATAAGCTTTTGAATTAGTTATAACTTTATTAACTTATATACTTATAAGATCTTCCGATTCGCCTTAATATATTAAAAGCAATAGTATTTGTTTTCTAATTATAGATATATAAGCTAAAATACTAATAAATTTACGGCTTCTGTTTTATTTTAATTTAGAGATTTAATCCGATTCCAGAATAGCTCTAATTATAATTCTTTTTAAAGATTACTTATATTCTATTAAGAATTCTTTTTTATTAAAGTTATATATATTTTCGGCTATAATTCAATATTTTTTAATTACTATTATAAGCTAATAAAGCAGATATATATTAATAAATACTTAAATAATATATATATATAAAATAATAATAATAAAATAATAAATTATATTAAAAAACTATTAAAATATTAGAGTATATTTAGTACTAATATATAAATTATTAATATTTTATAAATAAAGGCTTTCTAGTCTAATAGAGTAATATTTTATAAATTAGCTAATCTAGTTTTTTCCTAATATTCCTCCCTTAATTTCCTCTATAAAGTTTTTAATAATATAACTAGTTAGTAATATTCCTTAATTAATAAGAATATTAATTTAATAAATTAAATACTTCTCTTATTTAATAGTTAATATCTGAATAGCTATAGCTATTCTATTATACGTTATGTAACCTCGCGTTATATGCGTGACTCGACTAGTAGACTAGTTCCCTTTAGGCTTAGCAGATTTAGGGATGGTATATTAATACTATAATATTATAATTCTTACTTTTGAAAAACAATAACTTTACTAATCTTATATAAATAGCATTCTATAATTACGTAATAGTATTATATATTACTAGTAAACCAATAGTTAAATATTAGTACTAAAATAATTTCGCTTTCTTTTTTAATTTTATAAAGTAATAAATTTGTTTAAAGATAATATTATAATTATATTTAAATTTCCTAATTATATTAGTATAATAAATAAATTTCCTTCTTTGAATTATAGCTATTACCTTATTAATATAACTTGATTTAATAAATTTAATATATATTTTAGTAATAATATTAAATATATTTTTTATATATTTTAATATAGAATATATTTTAGTACGGAACTTTAATTATAGAAGCTCAAAGCGAGATTATAATAATATTAGTAGAAGAACTCACTAGCTAACCATTTATATCTCTTAATTACCTATTTCGAAAAAAATTAATTTTTAATTATATCTTTATTATAATTATAAATCCTATTATATGTTAATACTTTATAGTATTCTCGATATCTAAATAGCTATATATTTATTTTAAACTAGTAATATAGCTAAATTTGCTTATAAAATAATAATTTTATTATTATTACTTTATTATTAAATCTCTTATTTAAGTTTACTAAAAATAAAATACTAAAATTTTATATTTTTTTTTAAAGTATTAGAAAAATTCTAAAAACTTCCTGAATTATTATATTAAGGTTACTAATTATAAATATTTATTTAAAGTTTCGATTTTATATTATTATTATATTAAAAAGAAATAAATAATTAGGGAATTTAAATAATTAAGAAATGAATTTCTTTATTTTATAAGTAATTCTAGTTATATTATAAAGTTAAAATAAATATATAATTATTAAAATATTAATATATAATAGAATTTATAATTATAATAAAGATATAATTAAAACTCGATTTCTTTAGAATAAGTAATTAGCTAGTAAATTCTTCTAATAATTATCTAAATTATTTTTTAAATAAGAATATAAAAAGTATTAAAATTATTTTTTATAATTTCTTAATAATTATTACCTTAGTTAAAACAGTAATAAGCTTAAATTAATAAAAGTATTTAAGGCTTTTTTAAAAAATAAAAGAGCTTTTTAGTTAAAAGTAAATTAATTATATAAATTAATATAAAATAATATTAATTTACTAATTATATTTCTAAATCTTATTAAAATAGCCTAAGCTTCTAAAAAAAAAATTAAGAAAATATCTGAGGCCTTTTTTAAATAAAAGAACTTCTTAATTAAAACCGAATTAATTATATAATTTAATATAAGGTATTTTTGATTTTTGATTTTAGTATAAAATAATATTAATTTACTAATTATAATTTCAAATCTTATTAAAATAATACAAGTTTTTAAAGAAAGTAAAAAAACGCTTATATAATTTATTTAAGTTTTATAATATTATATCTAGAAATATAATTTAAAAGTTATTTAAAAAAAAAAGATTAAAAGAATACGAAAATTGAAAATCGAAAAGAATTGAGAAGTTAAGCTTAGTAAAACTTAATATACAAAACTAGAAAATTGTATTTTTGCCCGATTTCAAATAATTTAATAATTATAAGTCTAGAATAAAATTATAATAGCTTAAATTAATTATATTAATACCTTTATTTATTTTAATTAAATTTATAAAGTTCTATTAATAAATAATAATATAATTAATATAATTAATATTATAAATATAATATTTTTAATTCTTTTTATTATAAGACCGGATTTCTAGACTTGAAAAGCAAGATAAAATAGCTTAATTCCGAGAATTCTAAATTAAAGAAAGAAGCTCTTAAGTATAAAAGCTTTAGTATTATAAATACTAGCCTAGCTATATATATTATTATAGTTATATAATACTAAATTTGCTAGTAAAGTAGTAAAGTATAATACTATAATAGGAATTTAATTATTATACGAATTTCGGACTATATATAGATATTAGATATATAAGTAAAGATAAAGAAAATAGGAAGCTAAATAAATAGAAGTAATAATTTTAAGACTCTTAATACTAGTAATAAAATAATATAAATAGTTAAAAATAAGGAATTCTAAAGATTAATATATTAGGAAAGCTAATTATATAACTTCCTAAACTAGTATTAGTATATCTAAAAAGTAAGATATATAATAGTAGTTATAAAATAAAAGAGAAAAATCTCTATTATAATACTTTTTATATTTATATTTAAAAATTTTTAAATAATTATTAGAAAAATATATTAGCTAATTACTTATATTTTCTAATTATTTATTTTAAAAAAATCGATTTTTAATTATATTTTTATTATAATTATAAATATTATTATATATTAATATTTTATAATATTTTTAATATTCTAATAATTATATATTTATTTTAATCTTATAATATTATTAGAATTATTTATAAGATAAAAAATTCATTTTAATTACCTAAATTCCTTATTTCTTTTTATTATAATAATAATATAAAACTAAAATTTTAAATAAATTTTCGTAATTAATAATCTTAATATAATAATTCAGGAAGTTTTTAATATTTTAATAATAAATATTACTAATAAGGCTTTAGTAAGGCTTTAGTAAGTTTTAAAAATAAGCTAAAATTATAAAATTATAATCTTATAAGTAATTTTAGTTATATTACTAGTTTAAAATAAATATATAGCCATTAGAATATTGAAAATACTATAAAGTATTAATATATAATAGGATTTGCAATTATAATAAAAGTATAATTAAAAATCGATTTTTTAGAGATAGGTAGTTAGGAGGTATAAAGGCAATAGTATAAAGTATCGGGAATACAAGGCATTAGGAGACTTTCAGGCTCTCTAGTATACAGATCAAGGTAGCAAACTCACTATAAGGTCCTATATTTCCAGGCCCTTTCCCTAAAAGCATATTTACGCCTTTAATAAGGGCTACTATACCTTTTCAGGGCTTCTTCCCTGTACTTATAAGGGAGCCTTCGCTAAAGGGGCCTATAATAGTTGCTTGTTTAGTATCCGAGCGCTATAGTTACTCTACTAATAGCGCTATAACCCTAGAAGATCTACTTACCCTATGCGAATGTCTTATAGCGCCTCTTTACGTAGATTTAGGGAGTACTATCTAGAGTTATAGGGGCTTATAGCGAGCTTTTGCCCTAAATTCACACCCTGTAGAGCGCTGAGGGTCAAAATGCCCTGTATTCCCGATACTTTATGCCGTTGTCTTCGTATGGGCGGTTGGCCTGTGGATTCTTCTACTAATATCGCTGTAGATCTTCATGAAAAGGTTACCTCGACTTCAAAACAACGAGTAAGTCTTGTGTATGGTCCTCGATGAAAGTGCCCCAATGGCAAGTATTCGTTTTTGCCAGTGGATCATAGGACGCGGGCGTCTTTCAGCCCCGTTGAATCATTCCTGGCTCACTCCGAGGCTTGTGTACCCTCACTGAACATGTGGTCCTCCGAGCTCCCTTTCTCTTCAAATATTTCCACATTGACAATTGTTCGCCAAGCAAAATCACCACACAGGTTCTCTGCCAAAGACTCACCCCTCTCTATGCCTCCCACCGATGGTACTACACCCATCGGTGACCCTTTCGATCCGACACTCTGCAACAACATCTCCCGCGGCAGCGCAGCATTCATCCTCGTCGCTCTTGCCCTTGGCGCACTTACCCAACCTCCTGGTTCCCTCCTTATTTCTCCATCAGTAAGACACCTGCGAATATGGCGCCTCTCACCCTTTCTCTGCGGTCCCGAGGGCTTGACTATTCTCTGCTCTCTCGTCCAGGCCCCGTTCGCTCACATGTCCCAACGGAAACGAGCATTCGACATCATGGCAAAGCGCACAACAACTACAGATGGTGACACGAGATCTCTGGTGGAAATTTCGCAGAGGCCAAAGCTGGAGTTGATACTTCCGATGATGTTGCAGATTGGAAAGGTGTTCTTTTTGCGAGCCTCGAGGTTTACAACCGCGATGGCTATCCTATATTGGATAGATGGGGCTGTGGTGGAGTACTGCCACTGTTAGGTCTATTTCGCACCTGTTACCAACGAAAAATCTAGGTGCAGACAGACAGGACAAGTAATAGATACTGGCGATTCGATCTGTGCACGGGATTTGGATACCTAGGAGATGCCCCAGGAATCTCGACATGTTTGCAAATTATGAGACGCCCAGGCCATGGCCGCTGATCATTTGGGCATTAGCAGTCCTCCTGCTGGAGCCATTCCCCGCATTGCCTCCCTATGTTTTTCCCTCCATCGCGTTAGCTTCTTTCTCTCTTGCCGCTTTTCCCTTCTTCCTTGGACTCGTCGGTGGGCGCTCTCTGATCTGCACCATTTCATGACAGTTAGATGGGCAGTGTTTACTGCTTTTCCTAGTCCGTTTTCATTTGGGCTCCTGCTGGTCTATTTTAAGTTTGTGTACAAAGAGGCCGGCACCTACCAGCCTGCATGGTTAGATTGGTTTGGGTAGTGACTTATCGTTCGTATTATGGGTTCAAATATCACAGCTGTCAGGCTTTGGGGGTACAGCGGTGATGCTTCCATTTCTGTATGGAGGGAGAATTTGGCACTCTAGGAGCAGAACCCTTAAACAGTCACTCAATCTAGGCTCACTGTCCCCCCCCCCCCCCAAGACGACCTTCTATGCAGAACCAGATTCTTGCCCGAGCTTCTTCTTAATCCTTTCCTTCGCCATATTTCAACGCCTTCCCCGATTTGTCAAAGCGCCTGAAGAACGGGCACTCTCGTTGACTCTTGTGCCAACATTTCTTGGGACCACCTGGGCATGTGGGATTGCAACAACCTCCTAACATGCATTCTGACTTCTGACTTCAGCGCCTTTCTGTTCTTCCTCCGAGTTCGTTTGAAACTCGGTTGGTTCTTGGGCGGCTCTTTGGGTGTCTCCATCCAGGGTCTGGCCTTGCGCGTGGTGCATGAAGGGGATATGATGTTTAGTAACTTCGATGCAACTTGGAGATTGTGAAGACTCTTCTGGGCGTGGAACTCTATTCAAATATTCCCCCTTTAGGCACATAGCGTTGAATGTTCTCAAGACCATAAGTAATCTTCCAGTCACCATTCTGCGTATTAGAAGAGGCAGCCTAAGCAATTTTACCCCATATGATAAACACCGGCTCATTGTTTCCTCCCATATTCACATCACTGAGGCATCTAAGCTTTACGGCAGCCACGATTCGTCAAAGATATCCAAGCAAATGCCACAGTTACACAAGCGGGCCACTCTACCTTCTAAGCGAATACGAGACTCCTGCGCCTTCACTGCAAATCCACTTTGATGCCCCACAGTTCAGTGTAGTTACACAGAACTTCCCCACTTGAACCCTCGAGCTTTCTCCAAATTCTCTGGCCACGTCTCATTATCTCACATCTTAACTAGGCCTGAATCTGAATACGTTCTTTCTGACTGAAGAAGCAACGAAACAAAAATAATCGAGAACCAAATCGCTCGAAATGAAGGTCTTGATCCTTACGTTGTTTCTCCTGGGCTGCAGCTCAGCAATCCCGATCACTAGCCCCGATAGTAATGGTGGAACCCATCTTGGAGCGGATGTTGCGCATTTGGACGGTATTTCGTGGGCTTTCTTTTGTTCATTTTATGATAATGTCTTCGTAAGTAAGTCAATTTCTAACATTCAATCACTAATCGGTGGCTTTAGCTGAGCCGGATGCTACTGCTATTGAATACGGTCTCTTGAGATGAGGAGTATGAGAAGCTCCGAGCACAGCAGAGTGCTGCACTGATTTCCTAAAATGGAAGAATGGAATGGAAAGCTTTACGGGTGTGGGTAGGTCACAAAGGGTGGTTCTACTAGAATAGCGTAAGCACAAACACTTTGAGCGCTCAGATTTGAACTTGCAATAGTACTGATATTCCCCCCTTTAAGTTTGAATGATGACCTTCCACAAGTTCACGACTACCACTGTACTAGAATATCCTTATACTCGCACTTCGATTATTTAATGCCTTCCATTTCTCCAATATCCCCTTCAAAGGTTCATTCTAGAACAAACAATTCACCTCAGAAACCCACAGACACTGATACCACCAAAAACAAAAGCCAACTAGCTAAACATATCTTTCTAAACCCCCCTACGGAATTCCCAACATGCCAGGTATGGCGCAGTGCCCAACTTGATGTTACTATGGGGGGATCTAGGCCGAAGAAAGTTCTGTCCGCGGTGCCAAACTCCCCTCGGCCTGCCATTCCAACTTAATGACCTAGCCCCGCTGTCCAGGATTGGATGGATCGTATCAACGGAGGGTATAACTTGAGACAGAGACTACGTTCGCAGTTTCCATACTATCATGACTATCGATGATTGGCAAAGATGGCCATGTCTAGGGAATGGGACTGGATCTCTGGGGTTCGAGGCCTTTGGTCAGGAGTTAGATAGAGAATATGTACGAGACAAAATCTTTATCTAGTGATTAATATGTGAAAGCCCTGTGGCCTAAATATAGACTCAAACTGTGCGTTTGAAAGCCAGTCTGTGATATATATTCACGTGTCAGGGAGGCAACAACCGGCTTATTCAGCACCCTGGACATTGTAATGTTGTCTCTAGTCATACATCGATGCAATGCCTTCTCGTTCCCAAATATCATTTAGTTCGCAAATTCTGTGGATCATGGTTCACTAGTTCCACATTAGTTCTGACTTCTAAGTATAGAGGAGAAGCCGTGAACTATGAAGGTTGTGACGTGGCTCATTTGAGTGAGAATGTTCTCACCATGAAGGAAATGAAGTTCTCTCGTGCAGGAAAAATCAGTGTGTCAAATGAATAGAGTAGAATAGAATAACGGCCGTTACTCTTATTTTATTCATATATTATTCAAGTTATTCATGAATAATCATGAATAATTCGAATAACGCACGTGATCCGTGCACGTGATTGAGCTAGCCTAATCGGGTAAGGCTTCCGGGGGGCCCGCACCTAGCGCCACCTCGCTACCCAATCAGGTGGTAGTGGCGCTTGGTAAGCGGATCGAACTTTAGCGATAATCAGTTTATATATTATAGAAAATCTGTATTTAAGTAGCCTTATATAATTATTAGCTTAGCTTATATAAGGCTGCTTAATAAATACCTTAGTTTCTTTTTTTAAATTTAAATATATGTCAATTTACTATAATTAATTGACTTCCACGTGACTTCCACGTGGTTATTCATGGTTATTCATGTTATTCATGAATAATTAATCTATTTTACTCAAATTATTTAAGATATTCGTTACTCTTATTTTATTCAAGTTATTCATGAATTATTCATGAATAACTCGAATAACTTGAATAATCCTTTGACACACTGGGAAAAATTAAGGAGCATAAAAAGGAACTTAGGGAAAGTAGTCAACATGAAGTGTTATTGAGGTGACAAGCCTGCATAGATGCTCATGACCTGGAAGCGCTTCGAGATGACATCCTGTCGATATATTACAAATATTCAAACCCCGTTCGGTAAATCCCAAAGGTCAATCCTTGGAGGAGAGTGTAAGGTAGAAATACGGCTGCATTCGTTCCAATCTCCGTTTTCGGTCGACTACTTACAGAGACGCCTAGGGGTTGCTTGTTCAGATCTCATCCCAGGCGTTAATGTCGAGGAATAGTAAGAGCCGCGAGTCTCTATACGCTTGAATCTCAATTCGACCTTATTTCTCCGCTTTCTTATTCCTTTCAATACCAACCTTCCTCGTGCACGTGACACGGAATGCATCCGGCGGATGAGTAAGTGGTACGGTCTGCACCACCCATCTCACCCGGATCCCCCGTAATCTTGCTTTCTGGGGTAAGACATTCCGAATTCAAGGTGGAAAATCCAAAAGTGTAGCAATGGGGTGCAGAAATGGAGTGAAGAACGCATATTTACGCTTTTCAACCGGGCTTCCCTAACCCCTAACATTAAACCGCCAAAAAAACCATCGAACATCAGCAACGATGTCACCGGCTCGAATGGCTGACTGCGGCTGTGGCTACGGCAGCCCAGGGAAATCAACCCGTAATTCGGAGAAGATATCTGGAGCGTCACTCTTTCGAATCGACATGCATACCCACATCATGCCTCCAACCCTCCCAGATCTCTCCCCATTCTCTCCTCCCGACTCACCGCGACCATGGCTCCAATTGAAACCAAGTCCCAAGGATCCAGAAAAGGTCGATATGTATGTGGGCGATTCCTTTTTCCGAACAGTGGAACCGAATTGCTTTTCTGGCGCTACGAGATTGCGAGAAATGGACGAAGCAGGAGTGGATGTCCAAGTTCTCTCCACGATCCCGATTCTATTCTTCTATGACGAAGCCCCTGAACCAGTTACAATCCTAGCGCAGTATTTAAACAATCATATCGCCTCCTTATGCAGAGAGTATCCCGGACGATTCGTAGGTCTGGCTACCGTTCCGCTTCAGGATGTAAATGCGAGTGTGGAAGAGTTGAAAAGAGCGGCACGCGGGTTGAGGCTCGAAGGGGTAGAAATCGGGACAACGATTGGAGGCAAGAACCTCGATGATCCATCTCTAGACCCGTTCTGGAGAGCATGCGAGGAGCTGGATTTCCCAGTCTTCGTACATCCGCTTGGGTACTCGCTGCAGAAGGAGAATCCGGAACGATGGGGGAAGTATTGGGCAAGTTGGCTGGTGGGAATGTAAGTTATCCCTTTCTAAATCATGTCAGAGAGTTGATGCTAGAACAGGCCGTCCGAGACGGCATTGGCGATCCTTAATCTGACATGTTCTGGGGTTCTGAACCGCTTCCCAAACCTCAAGTTCTGCTTTGCTCACGCAGGCGGCTCTTTCCCCTCCTTGCTTGGTAGAATCGAACACGGTTATGAGTGCCGTCCCGATCTCGTCGCGCTCCACGCAGGTGGTATCTCTCCGAAGCATCATCTGGCTTTTGGGAGCAACATCTGGATTGATAGCTTAGTCCATGATCCTGATTTATTGGAGTATATCTGTAAGAAGATTGGCAAGGATAGAGTGTTGATGGGGAGTGACTATCCATTCCCACTAGGGGAAGTACCTGTTGCCGGGCAGATGTTGGCCGAGGAGGAAGAGCTTGACGGGTTTCTAAGTTGGGATGAGAGGGCTATGATGTTGGCAGGGAGCACGATCAATTTTCTTGGTCTTGAGGACGCGTTTGGAGGTGTCTTCATAGAGAGACTGGAAAAGTTTCGGAGGATCAACGGACTGGATAGGAAAGGGAAGAACGGAGTGGCCACACCACCGACGACCGGAAACCCTGGGTTTTCCACCTTGTCATCTAGCTGAATGCGGTCTGATTTTGGTTCATTTTGAGAAGTTTGATGTGCAATCGGGTGATTTGTAAAATCGACATGAAGCAATTTATGGCGGGCCAAGTATACAATGAAGAACAAGCATGATGATGATGATGATGATGATGATTATTTTCGTCCGGGAAAACTAGAAGAAACTAGCTTTCCTCTAAACCTCCCATGGGGTATGGGGACGTACTAAGCTTATAGGATATTTATATACAGAGTCCTACTTGTAAAAGAAGCCAAAAACCACGAGGGGTAAAAAGACATCCTCTATAAGCAGCCCCGGGTCCCTAATCCCGCGGTGTTTCAGTGCCCCCGTAAACCTTATAGAAAGCATTTCTAGTATGAGCGAACATACCAAAGGCTTGTAACTATCCACCTCCCCGGCCATTTGGGGTGGCGATCAGATTCCATTCAGAGCACTCCAGGTAGCCCAAAGCTCCCTTAGACAAGTGCATCGACGCCACACGAAGGCGCAATACCAAGTCTCCTCTACTTCTCCCCCTCCCCCCTCCCCTCCTTCCCCCTTCCCACAATCTCTCCCTCGTATCTGCCACGTTGCATTATCAGGCCTGCCTTTGCAGGAGGATTCCTCCACCATATAGCCCCCTCAAGAGAGTAGGCAAGTCGAGTAGGCCACGGTGTCCACCCCGATTTCCCTCCGCAATATATATAGAACAAGTCGTGCCGTCGCGTGTCGAGGAGAAGAAGGAGGAGGAGGAGGAGGAGTCGTAGAGGATCGTCGATAAGGGAAAATCTCTTCGTGTGACGCTGTGCGAGCGTTCGAAAGAAGCATCGCTTTCACAGCGTATCGATAGTTGACTCAATCTTGGCCCTATGCTCCGGAGAGCATAGGTTGACAGCCTGCACCACGAGGAGGTGTTGAGTCGTCGCAGGCCCTGTGAAGAACAAGCAGAACGATTCAAAGACGGAATTTTTGTACGACACCTTTGATAGACGGTCATGCTTTCATGAAAGCTATGGCAATTTTATTCCTCCCTATCTCAAGATTCCCCAACAACAATAGCAGTACACTTAATCTCAACGCACAGCTTCTCACTCGGCAATGCCGCGACCTGTACTGTCGTCCTGGCTGGGGCTCTATCCTTCACCGGGAACACCGTATTCCAAACCTCATTCATGCCAGAATAATCCTTCATATCCGTCAAGAAAACTGTCGCATCAACGACATTTTCTAGCCCCCCTTTCCCCTGCGTCGCACCCTTGATAATCGTACCAATGTTCTCGAGGACCGCAGCAGTTTGTTCACGTATGTCGAGGGTGAAGGAGCCAGATGGTGAAGTAGTGCAACCGGCATAAGTGCCGTCACCCCTACGAGAAGAGGTGCCTGAGATGTATATAGTCTTTGATGTAGAAGAAGCGTGAACGGTGCGTGCGTGGGGGTAGTTGGCGAGACCTTGTGCGGACGAGACGGGGAGAAAATAGGGTTTGCCGTTTGTGGACATTTCGGAAAGAAATTTGATTTGGAAACAGAGGTAAGAAAGAGTGAGGGATGCAAGGCTGAAAAATATTTTCAAGGGTCTGATTCTTGCTGGAGGAGGAATTGTAGACGAGGCTGTGAGTGGATTGTGAAGGCGGCGAGAGTGGGACACGGATGCGGATGTCGATCGCCGGCTCGCTTAGCTCAGCGAGTAAAAGGGGTATTTTTGAGGCGCGGACCGAGGCCTGGAATTTCTCATCACGAGTTCTTTGGGAACGTAAGTATCTAACAAACGTTCTGCAAGGAATTGTATACGAGTCCTTGAAGTTTAATCTTGTTAAGTACAAACATTTAGAAGTATACTATAAATTTTGTTGAATTTTCCCTGGATACCTCTTGGAGTTGATGCACGATAAGAGTGGTACGGAAGCGGACCGGAGATCCTCCAAGATGGGGAAGGTGGGGTTCCACAAAGTCCCATCACGTGTCTAGTACAACAACTCCTCTGCTCTTAGCCACGAGTCAAACGAATTGACATATGCCCCGGCGATTCGAGCTTTTGTTTTCACTCGGGAGATTCTGCATCAGCATCCCTGGAAGTACCCCCACCACAAGAAGCATGGCTTCCCTACTCTGTTCAGCATTATGGGAACGCAACACCCTGGAAAAAGCACACAACTTTCTCACAACCTGGAAATCCTTCCCTCTGGTACTGGAAAACTATGTCTCCAATACTTTTGCCTCTAGTTCTTACTTCGAAAACATCCCATCTTTCAACCCCCAGACCGGTCAACTCTACGCTCATGTCCCACTCAGCACGCCCGCAGCCGTGGACAGCGCCGTCCTGGCTGCTGAAGCTGCTTTCAAAACCTGGAGTAAGACGACTCGAGCAGAACGATCCAAGTATTTGCAGAGGATTGCCGCGTTGATACAGGAGAATCGGGAACTGTTTGCAGTATGGGAGAGTATTGACCAAGGCAAGACGTTGGAGCGAGCGAGGGTGGAGGTTGATAGAGCGGTTTCCAATTTCTCGTAAGCACTGCTTCGCCGCCCTTTCAATATAAGTACCTCATGTTGATTTATCAGTTTAGTTACTTTTCCACTTATATCTTGCACGAGGAATCATCAGTCAGGATGATTGATGGTGTGGCATTAACGTATGAGCACCGATCTCCGGCAGGGGTGTTTGCTCTGATCTCTCCTTGGAACATGCCTCTCTACCTCCTTACTTGGAAAATTGCTCCATGCCTTGCTTTTGGGTGTACAGCGGTAGCCAAACCAAGTGAAGTAACAAGCATGACCGCACTCTGTGAGTTTTATCAACTATCAAAACTATAGAAACTGATGCCCACAGTACTTGCGGAGGTAATACGGCAAGCCGAACTCCCTAGCGGCGTTCTGAATATTGTCTTTGGCGATGGAGCAACAACTGGATCTGCGTTAGTGAAGCACGCCAAGGTGAAAGGAATCTCCTTTACCGGCGGAACGGCAACAGGCATTCAAATCAGGAAAGATGCCGCTGCGCATATCTACAAGCATCTGTCTTTGGAACTTGGAGGCAAGAATCCAACACTTGTCTTTGATGATGTTGATTTGGAGAAAGCCGTCGCAACCGCCGCGATGGCTGCATTTGAAAATCAGGGAGAGGTAATCATCTCCTTTTCTTCGCTTTGGGGTTAGCTAATGATGCAGATTTGCCTTTGTGGATCAAGAATATATGTTCAGTCAACGATTTATGAGACTTTTGTGAAGCAGTTTACAAGTTTTATTTCAGAGAACTACAAACTCCGCTCGAAAGTCGGCGCAGTAGTTTCCTTGCAGCACTACCAGAAGATCCGCTCCTATTTGCTCCTCGCAGAGAAAGAAAGAGGAACCTTCCAACTGGGCTCAATACCCGAAGAGTATCCAAAAGCAGGATACTGGATCGAACCCACCATTCTGACTGGAATAGCAACAAACAGCAGGATTATGAGAGAAGAGATTTTCGGTCCCGTAGTGGCAATTGCACAGTTTGAAGGTGAAGAGGAGGCAATTGAGTTAGCCAATGATAACCCGAATGGGCTTGCGAGTGTACTGTTGACGAGAGATGGGGCGAGGATGAGAAGGGTGGGAGAAAGAATTGAAGCGGGGCTGGTGTGGGTTAATTGTTGGTTGGTTAGGGAGCTTGGGACACCGTTTGGAGGGATGAAGAATTCGGGGGTGGGAAAGGAGGGGGGCGCTTATTCGAGGGATGTGTTTACGAATGTGAGGACGCTGCATTTACCTTCGGTCTAGAGACAGAATTCATCATCAAACCTGTTACCCAGGTTACGCCAAGAAGTTGAGCTGAGTCGAGCCAAAGTGAGTACTGAGCAGAGAACAGCAGCCATTTCCCTCTTATCTCGGAGCAATCGACCGTCCCGTGACCAAATCCAAAGCCCACCCAATAACAATCAACACTTTCTGTCTCCACGTCCGTGTCCAAAGGAAATTCTTACTCCTCCACGCAATCCAAGCCTGCGGGCCCGAGTAGTCCTTCTTCCCGCTCACAACGCCATCATTCTGCCCCAAATAAGCCACAATGGCCGCCTGCTGATACCGAAACTCCCTGTCTATTTTCCCATTCAGCGCCTTGGCAAGATACTTTGCCTTTTGACATTCTACTTCTGCGGTGGTAGGCAAGCGGGCATCTTCGACGTCTGCTGCATCTCCGATAGCGTACGCCCCATCCACAAGTTCCGAAGAAGGAGTGTAGACGCGTAAAAAGGAATCGGTGAGGATGCGTGGATTCCGAGGTGTTTTCTTCACAGGTAGAGAATCCACGAGGGCAGTGGATTTATTCCCCGTTGCCCAAATTACCAACCCCGCACTGATTTTCCCATTTTCTTTAGTGTATAGACAATTCTTTTCAACTCGTTCGATATGACTTCCTGTCAGTACTTCGACGTTCCGTTTTGTGAAGCTTCCTATAGCGTAATCCTGAGGTTTTGTGTCGAAGCCCGAGAGAACTTGATTTGCTACGTCGTGGACGGCGATGCTGACGTAGGGCTTCAAGTGAGGGTAGAGTGAGGCATACGAGCTGGAGAAGAGGTCAGAGAGCTCTGAGGATACTTCTACTCCGGTGGGACCTGCACCGACGATTACAAAGTGGAGGAGGGAATGCTTTTGGGCATCGGTAAGGCCGGAGATGGAGGCTTTTTCGAAACAGTCTTGGATGCGGGAGGCGATCTTCATCGCATCTTTGGCGTTGCGGAGGAAAACTGCGTGTTCGGATACGCCGGGAGTATTGAAAGTATTGTTCGTGCTCTTGGAGGTACGTTGTCAGCCATGGCTTTTCCATCCAAAGGAAAAAATGCCTACCCCCGGAGCAATAACCACAATATCATACTGTAAGACGAAGTCCTTCACACTTAGGTCATCAAACGCCGGAATGCACCTCACGGTCTTGGCCTTACAATCGATGCCCTCCACTTCGGCTTTGACGAATTTAATCTTCTTATTTGTATGTCTAATAGGGGTTTCCACAAGATTGAACTCATATAACCCACATGCAGCGCTTGCAAGAAGGGGTGTATATGGAGTAGTTGTCTCAGGCGAGATGACTGTGATGGAGTGTTTGGTTTCGTCAAGGGAAGTTGCTAGGGTTGAGCCTGCCCAGCCGGAACCGATGATGATTACGTCCTTTCGAGGAAGCCATTTAGCACCTTCATTCGAAGACATTTGTAGCTGATGGGTGTATGGACGTGGCCAGGTGTTTGCTCTCGAGTACGTTCATTACTTGAGGTGAAGTTGGTGAAGTCTAAGGAAACCAAGACAGGATGACGTATCACATGCAGGGGATGAGGCTAAAGTTCGCTTTGACTGGTTCGTAACGCCGTAACCCCTTTCATCCCCGAGATTGATTTTTATCTTCTTGTTTGTACAAAAGAACATCCCGGAAAATATATATTCAGTATCTAACACCTTTCTCTAGCAGCGAAATGACTGTTTAGCAAACCACCCGCAGTTAATCTCCCACTCTTTACTCGCATCCTCTAACCTAAATTCGAGCTTTCGAAATAGTTCTGGAATGACCGTGACAACTTCGAGCACGGAAATATTCTTACCAATACAAGCGCGAGCACCGCTACCAAACTGGAAGAGGAAAGTCAGGACATAAGTCCATAAATATGTGCGAGAGAGTTTATTTGAATGAACTGGAGCGAATTCACAGATAACAGTGCCGTGTCCATAGCTGCAGAATTCAAATCGCCGCTTTCAAGCCACCTCCCAGGTCGAAAGACTGCTGCGTCTAAACCATAGATATTCTTATCCATGTTAATAAGCCAAGAACTACAGCCAACGACAGACTAACAGATAATCAGTCACACCCATAATAAGAATCACAGGCCGGAGAGACTAACTCCAGCAGGAAAGAATTGTCCACAGAGGACTGCGCCCCCTTGAGTAATGCTTCAAGACGTAAGCTGTCCGGTTCCAGGATGAAGACGAAGCGCTTCCTTGATGACAGCCATAAGATATAGCATTTTCCGTCCTTCCTGAAAGGTAACTGGTGTTGAAACCTTCCCCAGATTTCTACACTCTCTGGTTTCCTGGCGAAGTTTCTGTGCATTTTCTGGATGCTTGATCAAAAGATAAATGATAGCGCTCAAAGCGATGGCGGTTGTGCCTGATATAGCTGCAATGTTTGCGCCGACGGTACTCTGGATGTCCCAGTCATCGACCCTGCGGCGTCTTTCAGCTTCAGTAATTTGTCGAGGAAATCGCCCTCGACACCAGAAAGCTTCCCACTTCTCCGATTATAGATTTCCTTTGTGATGAAGGCACCCACCCCGCCAAATGGGATAGGTAGTCTGGCTTTTGCGGCCAAGTATGCCAAGGGAGCGTGTAATTCTGGGAAAAGGCCGACGCGAGAGCCGTAAATCATAGACTCATGAATTGCACTCAAAATCCCGCGAGGATCGGTCTCCAGTCCCATGTATTCGAAGGATTTCCCAATCTTTAATGCGATGAGCATGCATTCAATGGAATGGGGGGACACGACTGGTGCTTATCGAAATCTCCCCAATAACGCCAAACGCGTATTATTGCATCCATTACGGTATGTCAATGACCCTGCGGGGTTCTTACAAACTCCTCCAACTTGCCACAGAGTTGGTGGTTGCATATATGGACGAAATGCTCGTATAAAAGAAGTGCCGACAAGGAATAGAGTGAAGCAACCTTTCGACGTTTTAGTGAATGGCTTGCAATACGGAGTATCTCGTTCCGAAAACATGTCCAACCTGGTGATATCTGGGTATCCAAAAGCATAGTAGAAATCTGACTTGACAAATTTCGATCCTTGGCCGTAGATGGTCTTAAAAGCTGCAGGATCCGTCATACAATCGACACCCCAATTGACACCGGGGGGGAAGATAGTTTTACATTTTCCCGCCACCAGCAGCCACCATCGTGTGTGAGGTTATTTATGTTTCCACACTGAGGAGGATGAACCACTTGACATCGTTGCCCCGGATAGAGGATTTGAAATGAAGATGAGAACACACAGCTTTCCTCCAGTACATCGACACCATGGATGAAGGCACCACTTCACTGGATGATCTCAAGCAGTATATTCAGCTCCCTATCTTACGCACAATGCCCCACCCACCTCTTCACATCAAAATACAACCTCCCAACCTAAACTCCACCAATGCCCTCTAAATAAAGACGCCGTCAATGCCCCCATTCCCCTTCACCTACCAAGCAATCTTACTCACCCCCCTCAAATCATCCACATTGAGTATATCAACACCCTCCCTAATCAGCACATCCCAAACGTGATTCCTCATCCCCAAAGGCCAAGCCGGTAAATCCCAATACCTAACCTTCAACCCCCTTCGATGCGCGCCCCTAATCTGTCCGCGAATAATCCTGATTTGTTTCGGATTCAGTCTGCCACGCCAGATTCGCCCGACTGATTGTCCGAAGGAGACAGATGCGTAGTAGGAGTTGAGGGGCGTGAATTGGGAGTCGGGTGTTGTGCCGCTGAGGCCTTGGCCGAGGTCTTGGGTGTCGGAGGGGGAGGTGGGGTTTTCCTCGGAATCAGAGTCTGATGATGAATCAAGAGGGTCAGAGGAAGAGCCGGAAGGCCAGTCCGTCGTTCCAGGTGCACCGCGGCGAGGTTCCCACATTGTTTCTAATGGAGCGTCGAAGAACGCATCTCGGTATGTAGAATTTGCGGTCAGGATATCGAATGGCGTGTTCCCTGTGCCTACCACCGTTACTGGCCTTATGTGAACTTCCCCATCCTGCATGAAGGAAAGCCAGCCCCGTTCTCGGAGTGGCTCAAGCTGCTTCAATACCCAAGGCCATGTCTCTGCACCACCCGTCTTGACATCTATGAGCAGCGTCACGGTCTGTCCAGAATCAACATCAAATACCCCATGATCGGTGCCATTGTAGAAATCTGTCCTCGGGTTCTGCTGCTCGAGGATCTGAACCAATGGGTTGACGTATAAAGATTGGAATGTCCGATTCCTCTGCAAACTCGCAGTATTATGCCCCACGTATAACTCGTTGTCGAAAAGCCAGACGTCGCTTTCGACGGATATACAGCCTGCTCGGAGGGCGGAGAACAGAGGAACGCGGCGCCAGTAGTCGTTATGCGAGTGGCAGGGTATGGGGAGCACGTCGCGCGTGAAGTCTGTGGGGTACCAGGCCAACCCTTCGGTACCACTGCCTGGACGTCCCCAGTTCTGAAGGTAGCTGTCGATGTCGGAGGACCAGATGAAGGTTGCGAGGACGAGGAGGAGGTTGAAGGTTAGGAGGAGGGCTCTGCGGGTGGGTTAGCAAGCTGGGGGACAGGAACGGGGGATGGGGCAAGAGAAAGGAAGAATGGACATACAAAATACACAATCCACTAACCCCCCCAAAAACACAACAATTATACCAACCGCCATTCCTCCTCCGTCCCCTCTTCCCGCTCCCAAACAATCCCTCCTTATCCAGACTCCCCTTTCTTCTCTCTCTAACCGTCATGCTATCCCAAATCCGTGTCCAGCCCCTTTTCCTCCTTTGTCTCCTCTCAACAAAGCCATCCTCAATATCCTCCTCCGTGTCAAACGACTCGCTCGGTTTCCTTAAATACGAATTCGAAGATTGCGAAAAGACCACATCATCGTCGTTGGTCAGGTCCTCGGGTTCTTCGGCTGGGTCGATTACGTGGTATGCGCCTTGCGCCTTTGCCATTTTGGCGCTGCTCTGATCGGCGAGTCTTGGCAGGGTCCAGCGGTGGCGATTGGGTTGCGACGGGTCACGAACAAGATGCCATTCGGAGATTGACAGTTTCGAGGTGAGGGATTGAGTGATCGTATGTCTGGGAAAGGGGAGAGAGTCGATAGAAGGGTGCTAGGCCTGGAAGAGGGACTATCTGGTCGAGACGCGCAGCAGAATGTCACTGCCTTCGTCTGGATCGCTGCTGCTTCGACGGTTACGAATCGTGTGTCATCCGCGGAGCGAGAACTAAGCTGTATAGTAAACATAAATAGAAGAAGGATTGGAGGAAGAGGAGACGGGAAAAGCAGAAGGGAGGCACGGTATCAAATTGTTTCTCTGGGAGCCTAGAGGATGTGCTTGCGCCCCCATTGATCTTCTGGGCCCAGACCCTGTAGGCACACACGTGCGGTGATGCAAGGGTCGCAGGGGCTGAGATGGTGTTGGAGATTTGCAGAGTGGGGAGCACTAATAATGGGATGGAGATTTCCAACAATGGAGAAATTAAATTGAGCAGAAATGAAGATATACTTGAGGTCAATTGTCTATACATTTTTCGATCAAAGCTAAAAGGAAGAGAAGTTGTAAAAAAGAGAGGCAAGAGAATCGTCAGTTACCCCGCTAGTGCAGCGCCAAGACCGCCCATCTGAGACCCTGGAGAAAATTATCGTTATCGTTGAAACCTCATCAACACCACAAACCATCCCACAGCACGGCACCAACGCCTCACAATGCCGCACAAACACACGCGCAAAGGCGATGCAGACAAATCGACGTACGCCCCCTTCCCCTCCCCTCCTCTTCCCCATCCCCAATTGCTAATCCAAATCCCCAGAACCGACCTTCCACCCACCACAATCGCCAGACCCCTCCCAACCTCCAAATCCGCCAAAGAGAACGGCATCTTCACCTCCGAACTGAACAGCACAGGAAAGAACAAGAAGCGGAAGCGGAACAAGGATGCAGAAGATGATACGCCGAAAGCGTTTTTGAGGCTGATGGCGTTCCAGCAGGGGAAGAAATTGCCGAAGGGGTTAGATGATGGGGTGAAAGAGAGCAAGGCGGCGAAGAAGAGGAGGGCTGCTACGGAGAAACAGTCCAGCGAACCCGCCGAAGATATGAGAGTGGAAGTGGGGGAGAGAGCAGAGGAGAAAGAGAAGGCGGAGGTCCCGACGATTCGACCCGGTGAAAAAATGTCTGCGTTTTCTGCTCGTGTGGATGCTGCGCTGCCGGTTAGCGGGTTGATTAACAAGGGTGCGAAGGAAGGGAAGGATCCGCTTGGGTTGAAGGTTGGCAGGACGAAGACGGAGAAGAGGATGCATAGGATGTATGATGAGTGGCGGGCGGAAGAGAAGCGGATTCAGGAGAGGAAGATGGATGACCAAGAGAATGCGGAGGAGGAGGCGATGGATGAGGATGGGCAGGTGAAGTGGAAAGTTGATATTGAGGCTGTGAAGGATAAGGCCGGGAAGAAGAAGAAGAAGAGAATGGGGAAGAAGAAGAGAATGGGGAAGAAGAAGGTCCTTGGGGAGGTAGAGGATGGCGAAGATGATCCGTGGGCGAGGATTAAGAGGGATAGAGGCGAGGGGAAGGTGGGGCTGAATGATGTTGTGCAGGCGCCGCCTACGTTTACGAATGTCCCGAACGAGAAATTTAAGGCTAGGGGCGCGAGAGTTGAGGTTGAGGATGTGCCGAGGGCGAGTGGGAGTCTGAGGAGGAGAGAGGAGTTGGGGAATGTAAGGAGGGGTGTGGTTGAAGGGTACAGGGCGATGATGAAGGAGAGGGCGAAGGGCGAATAGATATTTGTGGTTAATAAGGTCTTTCCAAACGAAGTCTGCGTCGCCACGCTGTGAGGACTGATAAAATGACAGTTCAAGCTAGTTGCTCGGTGGTTAGTGGCAAGGTTGGGAAAATAGGTCGAACAATCTTGTACTTATTGAAAATGGAAAGCTCTATTTATGGAAGTCAAGTGGCCTCTGCCGCGGCAGAACTGGTAAGACTGCGAGAAAGCATAAATACCTCCGCCGGATCCTCGTTCACACAACTGCGGCACCTGCTCATCCAATCGCCTTCTTTAGTCAACCCGAATCTACTCAACCTTCGTCTAATCCCCTTCTAGCTGCCTATGCAGCATACAAAGCGTCCCAAGTTGTGCATCTGCGAACACTACTCGCGCAATTATGGTTGTTTCCTTACATTGGAATAGTTGACATGATTGGACATTTGAAGCGGACTGAAAGCTTCGACACCCTCTATTAATTGGCATTGCAAGAACCGAGCTGGAGGGTTACATCTATTGATGCTTTTGTACATAAACTATCTACGGCATTGATTGAAAAAAGGCTCAGGAATTGCTAGTCTACGAATACTTACGTTTACGAGATCAAAAGTCCAACTGGTTGCTAGAATAATACATACCAGTGATTCTTGAGATTGAAAGGTCCACAAATTGGCGTCCAATAATCATTCGTGTTCCCAAAGCCTGGATGATTGAAAGTCAACAACTTGCTAGCACAGCTGAATTTCGCCCACAGCAACGGCTCGAATTGCCCAAATTTGAATCCCAGATTCACGTCCTCATCAGTCTTCTTCTTTGAATTCTCTTTTCTAGCAAATCGACTCGAACAATGCTCGTCACATGATGCGCAAGGCCAGCCTCGTGCTAATTGGGCGCTAAGCGAAAGCCTTTTCCGAGTCGACGTCGACCCCGCAGCCTCAATCGCGAATCCTAACAACACGATCTCTCACGATCTCTCCAACGACCTCGACACCCACCACCGCAAAGCTCTGCTTTCAAAGCACACATACGATCTACAACAACCCAATCCGGCATCTCTTGATGTTCAACTTCAAGCTTTCACGATGGCTACGATCATGGATACCATGATCGCAACTGTCCTCAACCTGGTGCAGGCTGCTGGCCCTCAAGGTGAGTCGCACGACGCTTCGTGGACCCATTTTCCACCACTTTCGCGACTTCTCCTCCCAGCTGTGGCTTGCATGGCCGTGGGGCAGTTGGCTTTTACCCGCTGGCTGGAATGCAAGGGCGCGCTTCTGGCCCAGTGGCCGTGGCGCACTCCTTTTTTTTTTACATCTTTTTTTGAGACGCGGCCGCGTCGCTTTCGAGGCGAATCACGTGGAGATCTTCAGGGGGAAGACCTCCTGCTCCCAGGGCAAGGGGACTGGCGACGACGAGATGCGCGTTGCAATGGACGGTGCTGAACAACCTGAGCAGGTCTATCGATCCGAGAAATCTTCGACGGTTTGGCAAGTGAATATCTGGACCATCTGGACCCTGCTAGGAGAGATGCAGTCTGGAAGGAATTCAGGGCGCAACGCAATATCTTCATCAAAGATCCGGAAGGCAAGGAGATGCCAATCAACACCACGCGGTTCCGTATGATGAGCTTCACAGAGATGGAGTCCGACAACCTGAGTTGCACACAAGTCTTTCGCGAGGAGCTCCCGCTCGCAGGAATCAAGAGAAAGTCAAGCTTCGGCGAAGAATCTGCAGCCAAGCGTCGTTCTCCATCGCCCACAGTACCGCCCGACATCGCGAAGTTCGTGCATCCACTGCTAGCTCCCAGAGCAATCTCTTACGTATCCCCATACTCATCGCCTTATGCTTCGGCGCCCATCCCACAAGTTGCAGTCCCTGCACAGCCCCCGACAGTTCCTCAACCCTTATACAATCCTCTTCTCGCTGCGCATGCAGCATACAAAGTGTCCCAAACTACAACACCTATCGCCGCTCAGCCATCGATGTCTGGATATGTACCTCTTCCTCCACCACCCCATGTCTCTTATCAACCATATGTACACGACGGTTCGACTGCTTGGTCAGACGTCCTCGCCCCACAACCTATTCCGAAAGCTCCCCAGCCCCCATCGTCTCCAGCTTCTCGACCAAAGAACCGGAAGCCGCGTAAGCGCCGAACCCCAAAGCCGCAAAACCAAGAAGGCGATACTCAACCAATGGAGTACGAAATGTCAGAAGACACCACCATCAATAATGAGTATCCATTGCAACCTCTGGTCTTTGCCCGTAAGAGAAGAATGCCCCGTCAGAATCCCGAAGAAAGGCCGAGCCAGAAGCCCCGACAGAATCATCAGCCAGATGAGGACTTCGCTGCAGAACTCGCACAAGCACAAGCTGCTGTCCTGCCTGAAGGTTCAACTCGTCTTGCCTGTATATTCAATGGAATCTGTGGACACCTGGTCCTGTCAAAAGACCTGTCCGTGTTGGAGTTCATCCAGGCTCTTCAACCTACTTCAAACACCCCAATGCTTGTCTTGCCCATTGGCAAGCTTGCCGAAGAACCCATTACATCTACGAAGGGGTCCGATCCGATGGAGCTTCGCATCAAAGCCACTAACGACAAGAAAGAGAAAATTACATACAGCTTCACATTTGTCGAGACTGGTGTGGAGCCCGAGCCAGCACATCTCATGCGCCATCAGATCATCACTGCCGTGCTTAGTGCGGAGTTTGGACCGGACGATGATCTTCCTCCAGTTGGTGATGTCTACGGTTCTGGAGATGTGCAACCGAACGCCGCTCAGAACTCTAAGCAATCTACCAAGCCGGGAGATTCGCAACAGAGCGTGGATGATGAGTTTGGACCAGACGATGATCTTCCCTCGCCTAATGATTTTTCCGCGCCTGATGATCTAGATCGGGTGCAACTCCAGCAGCAACAGCTTCAAGAAGCCCTAGCCCGGAAGTCCCGAAAACCTAAGCAATCTGCCAAGCCGGGGGATTCGCAACAGACGGTCGAAGATGAGTTTGGACCAGATGGTGATCTTCCCACCCTTGATGATCCAAATTTTGCCCAGCTCGTGCAACAACAGCAAGACCTCCAAGCCCAACTAGGCTCTCTCTATGGCTCCGGAGATCCACAACCAAGCGCCCAGAAGCCCGAGAAGTCTCAGAACCCAAAGAAGACGAAAAAGGAAAAGAAGTACGAGAAGGTCGACGCTTCCGACAAACCTTACATGTGTGCCAATTGTGGGAAACGATGGATGCAGTCTTGGGGCTTGGATTATCATCTCACAAAGTCCAACTCCCCTTGCAATCCTAATGCCGATATGACCGCCTACGAAGAGAAAAGGGCGAGAAGAGAGGCACGTCATGGTTCGAAGAAGTCAAATGGAGCAATCAAGTCTGGTTCGCTCGACGACCCACAACTATCCGCACAGCAGCAGGTCGGAGAAGGAGGTCCATCAAACACATCTCTTGATAATGAGGTGCGCGTTGAAGATGGTGACCCCCAAGTCGACTCGCCGTCCACATCGGAGGACATCCTACCTCAGGACATACCACTTCCTCCCGAGACGCCCAAGCCGAAGCGGCGCCAGCCATCAAAGAAGCAGGCTGCCAGTGCATCATTGCAACGCGAGCCACAGGTCAGCGAAACTGAAGAGCCTCGCACAGAGAGATCTGGTCAAAAGAGGAGACAGAGTGAACGGAAGTCCAAGCAAGCCACTCGTGCGCAACGTGAGGAGGCCGAGCAATCTGATGCGTCTGCAAGCAGTGACGATTCTATCTTTGAATGGGCTCAGAAGTACAGCACAACCGGTGTTGAGCGACCTCGCAAAGGTCGAGTTGTCAACAATCTCACAACTACTCCTTCCAACAAGAAGATGTACAAGGCCTTGCCCTTTGAATCATTTGCACTTGGAGAATTGGTTGATCAGATGGCAATGCATAATAGCATGTCTAAATTGATTGCAGGCGTTCCTGCTCTGGAGGGTATGGAGGAAGTAACTGAATCATCGGCCATCCGACATTGCGAGGAGATCCTACTGTCTGTCGTCCAAGGAAACGACGGGTTTTTCCCTGGCGACATGGCCATCTGGATTGGTTTCGTGGACATATGGGTGAAGACTTTCGGCTTCGCCATGCCTAGAAATGACGTCCTTCCCGAATCCAAGCTGTGCAGCAAGACTGTCGATCATCTCATTGAGACCAAGCGACTTCGTTGTGTGGACTTTACATGGATTGACTCCAAGAAGCGAGAAATCACCCGCACCATTCTCATCTTGGCTGGATCCCAAGTCGACTCTAAAGCGATTGACGCACTCAAAGCGCTGATTCAACAATGCTACCCCGACCTCTACGTACCCCCGCAGTTTGCACCCCCCGAGCCCTTTCTCTCCAGATTGAACGCACTTGCCACGCGCAGACTCCCCCAAGCCGAGCGAGATAGACTTCGCAGAAAGGAGGAGGGAGCCGCATCGTCGGACCCAGATCCCCCCCCACAGATGATTGGTGACGAATCTGATGATGATTTCGTAGTTGGCGAGGCTGAGGAGGCGGATGAGGACGCAGATGAAGACGCGGACTCCATGGGGGATGAGTTGGACAACGAGGGCAACTGGCAGGATGACGATCTGGACCTCGATTCCGACGAAAAGAAGCCCAAGAGGAAGACCAAGAGAAAAGGCGAGAAACGGGGTGACGGACGGGCGAGACAACGAAGCCCTACGCACAACAAAGCAATCTCTGAAGGTCTGCGCCGAAACTGGGCCACCAGGAAGGCCAAAAACCCTGATAGCTTCTTTCCAAAACGGAAGAGCCGAAACGTGGTGAAGAAACTCCTAACTGAAGAAGAAAAGGCCCAGCGAGCAGAAACTGCATATCTGAATAAGCGATCCTGGGATGCTCAGCCAGCTTTCATGCCCAATCCTGCAACAGGTGCATGGGATCAAGAAACCGAGCAGAAGAAGTCGAGAAAGGGTGTTCGCCACATACCCAAGCCGAAGATTCCTTATCCCATCACCTACATGCAGGCTAAGGATGGTACTTGGTCACTTCAGCCCTACGGCCATGGTGCCCCGCCCATTCATGCCCGTCCGTTGCGAAGAATGGATGAGGGAGCTTATGTGAAGCGCGCTCATCGAGACCACCGCCCGGTTATCTTTCCCAAGAAGAACCGCATGTTCCTACCTGCGAACCCCCCGAAGGCTCTCCTGGAGCAAAATCTGCTTACCCCGGCACCCTATTCCGGGAGCATCTCCAGAATAACCGGCAAACCAAAGCGCAAATACGCCCGCAAAAACCAACCCGCAAAGAAGCCAACGGCGGCTTGTCGCACTTTATCAAAGGTCACCGGAAAGACGGTTCGCCCTTATCAGCGCAAATTCCCAACCTTTGTTCCAGATAACTCAAAGGACACGAAGAAGCGAACCAAGAAACCCATCAATGAGGCGAACATCTTGAGGTTCTTCGAGCCCAAAAAGTTGTTACCTGGCGCACCAAGAAATGTTGGCCTCGAGTTCCTTCCCCCAACTTTTGGCCTCCCTGCCTCATCATACAAAGGACCGTCTCCCGGAGTGCACCAATTTCAACCCGATTACCGACGCCTGATATTCATTGCGCCGAGCATTGTTACAGGAGGTGAGGATCCCCACCGTGGATCTTGGACCGTCGGTTTGTGGCGCCCTGTCGCGTCTGGAAGTTTGACCCTCACTTGGAACGATGCCACTGCCTTCGACCTGGAGTCGCTGCCCGTTGACAAGCTAGACTTCGGCCGTGACGATCATTATCGATCCATCAAGCAGCCAGCTAAGAGGAGAGGAGGAAAGCCCCGACCTACATTTACGCTTATACCCCCCAAGAAGCTCACCAAAGGAATGAGATTCAAATATACACGAGCCCTCACCGCTCTTCCCAGCGACTTTAAGGATCTTTTCGAGGATGCGAAGGATGCCACCAAAGAGCTCGGGGTTCAGATTGGCCAGCCCAATCGCGCCGCGCAATTCAACAGACGAATCAAAGGGTCAAAGGCGATCTTGTCTCCTCGAGACGAGAAGCGACTCATCCTCACTGTGGCCACTATCCGCACTTTGACGGGTGGGGTCACCGCCCTGATTGATTGGGTCCTTGTATCTCAATCCTTCCAGGATTATACTTGCAATTTCCTCGCGAAGTACTGGAATGGCCTTCAGCGCTCCAGGAGGGATGTCATTGAACGCTTGATCGAGGATTTCCAGAAGGCTTTCCTACAAGCATACCAAAAGAATAAAGTTCCTAAGATCGACTACGACCGTCTGACGGAGTATCAGTTCCACCAGCTCGTCAAGTGGGCTCTCAGAAACAAGAACATTAACACCTCAATGACGACGAAACAAAACAAGATTCGGGAATCCAGAAATCTGATCGAGGGCAAGTTCAGCGTTACGGAAGTTAGTCCGGAGGCAAACGAGCGGCCCTGGAGAGACCAATTCGACAGTGAGAAGACCGCACTTTACAAGAAGATGGATATGGCAGTCGCTGAACCACGGTCGGTGCTGTCGATGCCGAAGGAGAGTCCCAAAATGAGCAAGGATGAGCTTCAAGTGATTCGATCTTGGGTCAGAGCCGTAGCTGTAACACCACCAGAAGACTATGATGCCAAGATTGCGCAGGAAAAATTGCTCTCCATTATCAACGGGGAGAACATCAACATCCAGAAAGAGAAGATCAAGCACGTCTTGACAATTCTGCAGGAGCAAAAAATCCTTCTGAGAGCAAGCAGGGTGCGAAGACTTTTCGGATGCGTCTTTGAAGTCACTGGGAAGTTCCTCGAACCGTTGAACAAGATGGATGTCCAGGTAGAGCAAGTGATCGATGCCGCCATGGCAAAGTGGTACTTGGACCAGCGCTTTTGGCTAGACGAGCCTGTTCCGCACAACTACTTCACCACCGCAGGTTGGATGCTAGCTGTTACCTCGATGCAGGCTATGGGTGATATCCACACAAACACGAAGGTGTGGCCGAGCCAAGGCAAGAAGATGGGAATGCTCGACGGCGGCGGTTACGAAACAAGACAGATACCCAAAGAGTCCTATCGATTCGACCTCTTCCTCAGTCCCAGGGAGGGCTTCTACGTCTACGACTGCGACAACGAGACCCTCAAGAAGTTCTTGGAGGCGGAACCTCCGCGTGGCTCAGCAGCGGGCGAGCTCCCGATCTGGTGGGGCATCACAGGCAAGCTCAACCGAGACATCTGGAAGAGAACTTTGTGTTCCATAGCCTCGCTCATGAAGACCAGATCCGGCATCAACATCGAGGGTCTCAAGCAGCATTTTGGCTACACATTTGAGGAGTGGGAGTTGCGCCTCGTCATGGAATGGGGCACGGAGCTCGGCCTTTTCTACGGCTCTTACCCCAAGCAGATCGAGGGGTGGAGACTTGGTTTCTGGTGGTGGCTCCTGCTCGGGAGGCTGTTTGATGATGGGGTTGCGGTGGGGAAAGGGAAGTAGGGGGAGGGGTGAAGGAGAGGGGTGGGGGGATGAGATGGCGGCGATGTGGTGTGGTGCGAGCTGGGATGATAACGATGACGAGTGTATGATTTGTACAATTTTGTCTGATTATTTTCTTTTCTTTTTCTCTCTTTGTATGATTCATGATTGACGATACCGGTAGAGTTCAGATGGAAGATAGAGTGTACATGCATGGGGGGGGGGGCGTTTCTGTGTTTTTGTCCGATTAGCCACGGCGTTGGGACTTTGTCTGCTCGGATGATACCCGGTCATGGCGTTTCGAATGTCCCGTCAGTTTTGGCGTTTGTGATGGCGTGTTCTTTCCCTTCAAAATGGCTCTTCATTGGGTGGATCTCTTTTGGGGTGCCAGATCCAAGATAGAGACCCTTAGCCCAAATGTGTGTGTGTGTGTGTGTGTGTGTGTGTGTCTGTTTCATTTGGAGTTTGAGGTTGCTGGCGGACGTGGGGATGAAAAGAGAGATATTATACGAGTTGGTGGTGGTTGGAGGGATCGAGAGAGAGAAAGAGAGATGATACTGGGGTTGGTAATGGAAGTGGGGATGAAAAGTGAGAGACATTACGCGAGTTGGTGGTGGAAGGTAGGATGGAAAGAGAGGATGATACCCAGGTGTGCATTTGTTAGATCACAATTAGAGCAGATAAAATGCAAGAAGGCATTTACAACAATTCTTCTGTTCCACCCCCAATGCTATGAACGGTTTGAAGTCCTTTTTCAGGACGAGTGTCACGTGAAAATTGCTAGCCTGGTGGTAGTGATTTTTCATTGTTCACCGAAGGGTGAGCGAATACCCCCCCACCATATCGTATTCTCAATGTCCGAGTGGCCTGTCATCTAGCATACCAGGGGCGAAGAGCTTTTTGGATCACCGAGTTGGTTCAAGCTCATAATTGGACAACCAGCCGAACTTTCCGCGAATGATGTGGTTAGGAGAGGGGGGTAACCGAAGCCCCTAAGCAGTTAGCCTTCCCAGCGGTTCGCCATGCTGGTGCGGGCTACTCTCTTAGGTGCTGGCATCGCCCAAGTTGAAGTGTTTCCAAAAGGTTCCGCGTCATCGTGCATTCCATTCACGTTTCTGCGGTGTGAATATTTCATTCAAAAGCAAGTTGATTTTGGATTTTTATTGATATTCTGAGATGTTGAATCGTTATGAAATTGGGAGGCCAGCCACCAGGGCGTGCAAGTTGACCTGACGTCGAGCGACGCACGCAGACTTCTTTTAATGAAGTGGAAATGGTAAAAAAAAAGTCAAAGGATTTCTCCCTGCAATAAACAACGGAAGCCCCTGATTGATAAGTGGAGGCCATGTTGGTCAGCACTTTCGAGTACTGAGCAAATGAAGTGGGATGTTTTCGGGTCCGAATTTGAGCATGAATGACTTCGTTCAGCAGCATCTTTTCCAACTCAGCAACACCGTTGCTATGCTGCATCAATTTCCATGAGTCTATTCAAAATATAATCAATTATTATTGATTCACTAAACATCTGGCAGCAGGTTGTCGTATATTCGCAATCGTATTGAGTGGTGCACTTACAGGATCTCCAGGTTGTGGTTTTGGTTCGGGTTGAACATCCGCACCATCCGACCCGTGGTCCAATAACAAGTGGCCTTGGAACATCGCGAGAGCTTCAAACTCGACGGATTAGGATAAAAGTGAAGTCTGCATCGAATTTTGGTCAGAATTTTTTATTTGATACATCGTTCGGCGAGGATGAAAGGAGTATTATGGCGTTGGTTTTAAACTGCTTCGCAAAAATGGCGGTAAGGAGGGAAGGAAATACATCCACTTGCCTCCACAACTACAGGGTCAAGTCAACGCACCTTTTAGAAGAATCAAGTGTGTCCGAATCGTTTTGAAAGTCTGAGAAGGTTGCGAAGAGAAATCTTTTCGAGAGCAGGTGGGCGATGGGCGGTTCATATACTTGTCACCCATCTTTCGCCGCCTCAAGGAGCCAGCAGAGCCCAGACCTCCTCATGATCTCTCAGTCCACTCATTATCAAGTATCCAAAGGTAGCGCAAATTGAAGAAGTGGGTTTACGTTGCCGCCATAGTGTCCTGAAGATACGGGCGATCTGGGAGTACTCAAGCTGTGCGCTATCGTCTAACACTACACAGAACAACATCAAGCTAGTGATGGAAGCAGGAATTTGGTGGTGTCATTACTTCTTCATTTTCCAGAGAGCAAAGACTGACGTTGCAATCCCAGTCGTTGGTCGATCTGTGTGTGCCCTTCGTGGACGGCATTCCGGGGGTAATCTTCTCGGAGGACAAGAGTTTTGGCCGCTTCAGTGCATTGCACACTGTATTCTCGCCTGAAACTGAATGAAGCGCTGCGTGATCCCTGTAATGAATAAATAATCGGCGTAGTCAACTTATTTTGGAAGATAACGGCTCTGAGTCGCAGCTAACACCACACAAATATGTCTGTTAAGGAACTTATGGGATGGGAGAAGCACATCAAGCTTCCACTGTGGCTATCAATCAGTGTAGGGTGAGCTGCTCTGCGTTTCATTCTGAGAAGCAATCTGAAAATGCCTGGAGAATCCAAAGTTTGGTCCTAAACCGTGCAATCGTACAACTTCAACCACAATTATATTTCCCAGTTCATTTGACACTTAATTTATTCACGGCCACCAGGGCACCAGGGCTCAGGAAATTTAAATACCAAACGTGAGTGGGAGAGTTTTGGACTTGCAGTCCGAAGATTATCCACACGTGCAATAGCTCTAAATGCAAGATTTTGTAATAGATCCGCACGATGTCTTTCAGTTACGGTCCATACTTTCAGTGTCCAGCATGATATCTTGTTCAATTACGTAAGGGTACACGCATAGTTTCGGTTGTGAGGCTAATGAAATTGCGAGTAAGCAGCGCATATGCCATCAATTTCTGAAGTGTACTCAAGCAGCGTCAAGCTACGAATGTCTCCATAATGCGCACCAGCTACCCCTCAAGTAATGACAAGCCCCAGAACAATGACTAACCTTCACGTATCTGATGCCATCATAACCTCAGAATCTAATAGAATTCCAAGATATCAATCCTGGTTCAAAGCAATATTCCCTTCGCAAGCATTGAAAAATTGATCGTGTCGTGTCACTATGGTAATAGCTTGCTCGTTTGACGGTTTCACGGACGAACTCTCATCGCTCGCAGAGGATTAGTTCTCTTTCGATGAACGAGAGATACCGGAGCCAACTTGAGGTTTTGGGGGTAGCACAGTACTTTGCGAGTCAGTAGAGGAATGATAAGGGCAAAGGAGGCGTAGGGAAAAGATGCACCTACACTACCGGTATGCCCTCGATCTTGAACGCCCAATCCAACGCCCAATCTATAGCCTCTGTACCATAGCCTTTCCCTTGATACGGCTCAGATATGGTGATGGCCAGAGTGCCAGATCGATTATGACGTGAGCTGTAATGTGCAGAGAGACGAAGATAGCCAATCCGCACAGGATTTGCAGAGTGCGCAGGAATTTCACACTCGGATGGAAGGCATATGGAGACGGATAAGAGCTCTTTGGTCCACTCGGTGGTAATTTTGAAGCACTCTGAGGCAGGGGTTTGCATCATCTCATCGTGGTACTGAGCGTAGCTGGGTGGGTGTTTGAGAATGTCGTCCTTGGTATCTTCGAGGGCGCGGTAGACGAGGCGGGAGGAGCTTAAGAGTTTGTTGTATAACATCCTGGAGTCTGTGGGGGAAGGTGAGGGTGCAGAGGAACGTCGTCTGCCCTTAGCGATTAAAGCAAAGAGTTTCTTGAGTTGAGAGTAAACATTTGTATTAGCTTGGAGGCAGCAAAGGAGGGAATGTGGAAGGCAAGAGAACAACCTGGCTAGTTAGTTGTGTAAATAAGTCATGTTGGAATTCTCTTCATGATTGACATAATAATGAATGCATAAGTGCTTCGCGAATCACTCCAGGTCTTCCAACGTCACGAGCGGCGGCAATGAACTCACATACATTCACTCACATGTATCCTTCGCTGGAAGAGCCTTCTGGCATTCCATGATTCATTTCACCGATTTAACAATTAGCACCTCAAGAAACAAGACTTACGAAATGTCCCTGAATGTAACGGTATCCATTTCTCATCCTCGTTGTCGTTGTGAGTGCCACCGAGGATATAAGATCCCATTTGATGCTACCGTCCATACTATGGATAGACATTGCGTGGGACATGGGGGGAGGGGGGCTTTTTGGGAATTCTATACATTATACATGAGGACAGTGTGTCAAATGATTAGATTAGATTAGATTAATGGCCATTAACCTAATCTAATCACGAAATATACTCATTAATCATACTCTATTCACGTATTAATTAGATTAATCTGATTAATACACACGTGATCCTACACGTGATCGTGCTAGCCTAATCTGGTAACGCTCCTGCCCTCTCTAGCTCTAGCGCTACACTAATCAGGTGCCGCAACGCTTAGTAAGCGACCCGAAGCTAAATTAAAAAAGGGCGAATATAGGAGAATAACTAGTTTATTATTATTGAAAGCTAGTATATAGCTACTATTATATAAGCCCTGGCTTAGTTTAACTAGGGCTACCTGATAGGTGCCTTAGTTATTTAATACTTATTGAGTAAATAGTGATTTACTATAGTCACGTGACAGATTAATCTGATTAATTATTCTAATCTAATCAAAAAAAATCTGAATTACATTAATCATAATCTAATCACATTAATTGATTAATTAATTGATTAATTTGATTAACGTGATTAATCCTTTGACACACTGCATGAGGATAGCGTAGACTTTCACCGGGAACGTGTATCAAGACTGTTGAATTGGTACTAGCTTACTAGTCCTTCCAGTACCAGGTTCAACTACTAATATTAGCTTCGCCACTCTAATTTATAATGGTTTACTATGGAAGCCTATGGAATAGCTCACTATGGAAGCTCAGGGAACGCTCACTAATATATATGAGTCATCTGATTTATAATATACTGGAGGAAATCGCCACCCACTAGTGGGTATATAAGAACTGTACTTTAGATTCCTCCTCTCCTTTTTTACTCTTCACTCTCCTGTATCTAGTCATTTTACAGATTGTCAACCTCCAATATATCGATTTTCCATCAATAAATCGATCACTTTCCAATAAAGACCCTGTCGTATCTTGAGTCTGCTTTTTGAGTGAGAATGTACAATTTTCAAACTTGGCGGAACATTCAGATCACTTGCTTCTCCGCACTAGAGGAAACTACTCCTATCAATGCCTCCTACCATTTATATCTCTAGAGGATGCGCAGCCAATCCTGGATCCGCCGCACTCAGCTTCCCCAATTGATGGAGTATTTCCTCTTTCATCGCCATGTGTAGCTAGTACTACATTTATGTGGAGTCAGATGGTTCGAGACTTGAATGTCAATTTCCATATTTGCTGCCGAATCTCAAATGGAAGGTCGGCAAACGTGATACGCGGGGGCTGGGCGGGCGGTGGGGGATGTGGATATTGCTGGTTGCTGATGTTGTAAGTCAATGATAGGTGTGTATCTATCGTCATCAAATATTTGAGTCGTAAATGCAGTGGTGAAGCGAACGAGAGATGCGCTGAGTCAAAAAAGAAGCTGGAGCCGGGATGCCGCTGTCTGAACAGTGTAGCTTTGCCCCTGACTTAAGCGAATCCATCAATTTTCAATCTCAATCACCCTGATTTTTTTCGACTGATCCCGTAGATCGACAGAATTTGGTCGTATATCCCTCGCACAATGCATATTTGTTCTTCTTAGTCTAAACTCTCCTCAACACCTTTCCAGGTCCAGAAACGTAGAAGACCACGTGCTCGTCAAGAATGACGACCCGAATACACCAAGCGACATCTTCTCAAACCAAGGAAATTGTCACATAATAATCGCCGCCACTTGAGCGATATAAGTGTATTGGTCTTACTTTATTCTTGCGAACTCAACTCCTCGACATTCTTAACAACAATTTGAATCGCATCGAACTTTGTCATTTCCTCTTCAATTTCCTTTGCTTTCAGTCGATACGTCTCATTTGATAGCACCTTCTTGACAGCCTCTTGTAATTTCTCTGGAGATGGCTTGTTTGTTCCCAAACTGACACCAACACCAGCCCACTCTGCACGAGCAGCATTCTCGGGTTTGTCGGTAATCCCGGTGGCTGTCACAACCGGTAATCCATGGTTCATCGCATGCTGAAGTCCTCCATAGCCTCCATGATTGACGAAGACATCTGCGTGGGGGAACAGCTCGTCGTATGGGAAATAATCAACCACTCGACAATTGTCTGGAATGGAAACCTCGGAGGGCAGTTTTGCTCCTGAACAGCCGAGCAATACCACCACAATCACATCTTCGTTGGCGAGACCTTGCATCGTTGGAACAATCAAATTTTGGTAAGGGATATTGATCGTTGTGCCCCCACATACCACCACAACTGGTTTCTTCGATTTTGTAACTTCTCCCCACCATTCAGGGTATTCAACTTTCGTTGAGGATGTCAGCCGATGCCTTCCTTTTGGGAGACTGCCTGCAAACTGAAAGCCTTTTGGAAACTCAGACCTGGGATATTCAAGACCTGGAACACATAATTGTAGGTATCGATCCGGTAGTTGAACTTGGGCATCCAGCACATGATAGCGAGATGTTGTACCGCCTAAGGACTCGACCACCCTTTGGAACTTTTCATCGGGTACCGAATATGCACCCTGGTAAAGCTCTTTAATCGCCGCTGCATTTCTCTCGTGGCTTTTTGGGGTTGGATCATATTTCAATCCAGATCCGAATGGCGGAACTTCAGGACTAGACAACGCCAGAGGCTGAATTCCCACAGAAATGACACCCAGTGGTCGCATCCCAGAACCCATGAGGCTCGGAAGTGCACCCCAGAATGTGCATTCATGAAGAATGATCACCTCTCTATTTTTCTCGTTCGCCTCCTGCAAGAATTTCTGAATTCCTGCATGTTGATCAGGAATCATCCCAACCTGCACATGTTCCCAAACTGTAGCATTGAATCCCGGTCCAGGTGGCTGGAAGAAGTCCTTGTGCTTCTCTTGTGGTATTGCCATGAAAAGTGATCGCTCAGTCCAGTCTGCCTTTCCTGGGAATGGAAGGAAGGAGGCACCGATGGCCTCCGTTTTCTCGCGACAAGTGGACCCCGTGTAGATTGTTACTTCGTAGCCGCATTCAATCAGGCCTTTGGATATTGTGGCGATGGGTCCGAAATGGCCATCTTGGTGGAGGCAGCAGGCTAGGATAAGAGGTTTGGTTGTTTCTACCATAATTACTGATCAACTGATGAAAGTAGATATGTGTCGAGAGAATGGCCGGAGTAAAAAAGGGTTCTTAGCACATAGTGTGGGATTTATACATTGTGAGCTGCGGCGCGTGGCAGCCTTGTGGCTGAGAGGGATCGCGCGAGACGGCCCATCATTGAGCTGACCAAAAGAGCGTATTGGTGGATCTGCATGGCGTCTCTCATATCACACTCGGCTCTCGCGGAAGGTTGGCTCCTCAGCCAACCAAAATTACGAAAAATATCGGCGCAGTGGCGTGAGAACTTATGCCATGCAAAGCACATTTCAAAGCGGGCTCCTATTCCAAGGAAATTGACTTGTTGTGTGGTCCCAGCTGGACGGGCTGCAAGATAGGGGTAAGCACTTGCGTTAAAGACAGCCATTCAACTCCTTGCTGACATCAGATTTGTTGCAGTGTTTTGGAGGTTGACGACTTGATTTTTCAGCTCACGCGGGGTAAGCGCTCTATATATACATCTGGTATATAAACTACAGTGTACCAGCGTACACTCAGTTCCAACAAGATTTTGGCCAAGTCTAGGCGAGAGAAAGGAGCAGACCGGATCCCGAATCAATCGGACCAAGTATTTTTGGTATTATTATTTTCGCTAGATTGTTAAAATCATTCAATTCAAGAATATGTGAAAAAGTAAGTTTCCGCAGCCTTTCATTTTACGCTTCAGTAGGAGAATTGCTGTCCATTTCTTGCCTGTTGAGGCACTGGTAATCCGACTGTTTCTGACATGACACATTTTGACAGGATTGCTCAAAAAGGAGGTCGACAAGTAAACGGAAGGCAGGTAATCTCCAGAATACAGCAGCAGGTTGAGACGTACGTCGCCAACTCTGTAGATTTGCGAAGAATTGTGGAGAGACAATTTGAAGGACTGAGAATGATTTAAAAAAATCCCGGGTCAACTGCGAAGCTCATTGTTCTTCTTGTTGCCATTAAAAACCAGAGAACCGGCTTGCTTGTTATGTGATACCACCGGAATGTCAACGCTGGGCGTACTTGACCAGCGCCGCCTTTGCTCAGCCCAGCTCAAGAACGGTCATGTCTTCTCAGGTCTACTTCTCTCTGCTCCACCACCACTAGTTATATAGTTATTGTGCCCAAGATCATTCTGACTCCATGAGGTAATTACAATAACTAATAAAAATAATTAATATAAAACAATCTTAATTTCAACCCGGTTTATCCCGGGAGAGGTGAATCATAAATTAATTAAAACTTGGATTATATCATATCTATAATATACTGCTTAAGGCCAACTTCCACTACAGAGACTTCAACATATTCGCTATTGTCAACTTGAGTCTCTGCGTCCTCGCATAATTCTATACGAAGATCACGGCATAAAGTGACGGGATTAGAGCGTATTTGTGCTTTAACAGCAGTTCGGTGTCTTTTTCTTTTTTTAAGCGAACTCGGTCACTAAATAACCCTATAATTCTAGGCCATTGCCCTAAAAATACGCTAAAAGGCGAGAGCAAGGGATATCACACCTTTTTAGGCTTATCCCCTATACTTATAAGGGATACCTCGCTAAAGAGCCCTATAATGATTACTTATTTAGCGTCTAAGCACTATCGTTACTCCGCTAGTAGCACTATTTACTCCCAAAGATCTTTTTATACCTTGCGAGTGTCTTATAGCGCCTCTTGATATTTGCTTAGGGGACATGGCCCGGAGCTATAGGGCTTTACTGCGGTCTCAACCCCCTAAATTGTGCCCTGGGGATGCCAAGGGCCCAAAGGTCGCAAGGCTCCAACCTCTCCTGTGATGTGGCAGGGAACATTTGATCTTAGTCGGCCGCTCGCGGGAGTTGGAGACTAGCAAGCGTGTGCATCAGCCCACTGAAGAAACTGAAATCAATTGAAATCGCCCGGCTGTAGGACTCCCATTACCCGTAGACGTCGAGATGTTATAAAATCATGGGGCTGAGCCATGTAACGTCGTCACGCGCACGGAAGCGAATGTGTTATGATTCGATCAGGTAGACAAGGCAGTGTTCTTGACTTCCTCAGGTCTTTAAACCCTTGTACTGAAGTATGAGGGTTGAACTTTTGACTGACTAGTACATAATGTCATCAAAATGGATCTATCATGTGACATACAATAACGGTAGAACCCAAAATAGTTCCGGAAGGATCCTAGTCGGAGTCAAAATGGGACCCGCCTATAGAGACAAGACGAGAAAGTGTAACCGGGCTTCAAGGGAGCCAAAATGAGCCCCTGCGGATACTAAAATGGCTCTTTAATGCTAGCGCGTTCTCAGGCGGTGCTTAGGAATGCTCACCCATATATCAGGCTAAAGCAGCAACAGCTCAGCTCCAGAGCCGAAATGGAAAATGCCATGAAAATAATCCCATACTGAGCTCCCTGTTTCAGTGCTAATCCGTTTCTTTGTTACTCCACTAGCTATTGTTTCGCTAAAAACGTTGAGAGTAGACTGGTCATCCCAGAGATTCATCGTTGAAAATTCAGTGAAGCGCTTCTGCAGTGCGCCCTTTATATTCAAAGAAGAAAAGGTCATCTTTTTATAAGACAATTTTCAAGTATCAATGTGGAGCTTAAAAGGAAGCGTTGAGTTTTTCAAGACAAAATACACATACGAAGGTATAAACGTGGGTTCCCTCGCTCTCACTTGTCTTACACAACGCCGCTTCTTCCAAACAAGCTCTATTCAAGCCTCCTCTGTTTCAGCGAGCAAGTTACCTTCCCTCAAAACTCATCAAATTTCCGCGAAAAATTCACATCCCCCTACGTCAATTACGATAATCCCCAAAACGAGCAGTTCAGTACATTTTAGACTCATCTATTTGAGGATTGAGCTGCTGAATACGCAGCAAATCACGGAATCAACTACAATAAAGATGGTACAGTCGGTGGTCTCGCCCTCGGTACGTAACATCTTGATAACTACGGAGTATTCTATAACCTTTTCCCGCTCGAAGATTTACGAGGCAGCAACAGTCTGAACCTTTCGTTCTTTTGATTGCAACTCATATTGGTCGACGAATATCATTCGTCCACTTCAACGTCGGCAACACCGACCAAGAGAATTGCGTATTGCGAGCAAGGCAGCCGATGACGAGGTCCGCATGGGGCATGCTCATGATGTTGGTCTTGACACCGGCAGCACAATCATCCTCGCTTCTCAGAAGATCAGCTAGGAACTGGGCTCGAGCCACCCGTGGACAAAAGCTTCAAAATTCTGGTTCCCATAAAGCTGACTATCAATGTAAGCGAGCTAGGCTGGCCATCCGCAAGCCTCTATTCGAGAGCGTATTAAGCCAACATCCAGGCCCAAAACCCCGAGCAAACAATTTGCGACTATTGGAGTTGTTCTCCGAGTTCCATTGCATAACGGACGTCCGCTCGTGGATCGGTTGGAGCAATTGGTACTTGGCTAGATCAAATCTGGTCGGAATTGGTGTGTGGAGGTCCCGAAGCAGTTGACAATCCGAGCTCAGCAGGTTGCACTCCACAGGGCGGCTGTGGAGGCATTCGAGCGTGCTTGATTGGGGAAACCAGAGCTTCACCGAAGGGGTTCTGAGGTTTCTCCTAAGTTGGATGCAAGCAAAGAGATGTTCAACGTAGCTAAAGGAGTTTTTTGAGATATTGCAGTCGTTTGCCAGAGACGCTAAGTTCACTAATTTTCTGCAGAGAAAAAAGGTCTGAACGCCAAACATAAATAATACTACCAACGAGTTGAATAAAAATATTTCCTGTAATAGTATATTAAATAATCTAATTAATTATTATTATTGGCCAGTAATTATATTAAATTGAGTCAAAACCCTAGTAATTAAATAACAATTAATTATTTACTTAATTTAATTAAATAAAATTAATTATTGGGTAACGTGGTATTATATAGTACCAGCGGTTATATTCTCGGTTAAATCGCATAAAACCGCATTTTAATGCATTACTCTCCCTAACCTTCCTTTATATCTACTACTATTATAGCTTACATTCGCATTTCCTTTAAAAAGCTAAGTAATAACCCTCCAGAACAGAAGTAATTAACCCTATTAAAGAGAGGATATATTATTAGACGATATTCTTTAGATATAAGTCCTATATTTATTACTACTTACTATTTCATATTTAAATTAATAATTCAATTAATAGTTATATTTGTACTATACCGGATCCGAGAATATAATTTACTCAAATCTGATTAGCTAAAAGTTTATATATATTATAATTATTAAAAGCTTTTTTAATATATATACCTATACCTAAAGAATATATATAAATAAATCTGAATAGCTATAAGTTATACTTTTAAGAATAATACTATATATAAGTACTTAGCCTTATATAATATTACTAATTAGTATATAAAGCGCCGTTTATATCTTATATAGGTATATATAGCTACTAGGCTTATATAACATTTATAGTATTAATTTATAATATATAAGAAATAGAGTTTATTTATATAAAGTAATAAGTATTTTATAAAATAGAAATAAAGCAAAAATTAAAAGTAGTACTTTTATATACTAGACTAGAAGTAAAAAAGGGAAATAATTTAGCCTATAATATATATAAGAATATAAGTATTATAATCTGAAAGTGCTTTTAGAACTATAAAAGATTAGATTTATATATAATAGACTAAGACTTTAAATTCAAGAATATAAATACTTTATTAGGTTTTATTTATAAGTTCTTAATATATAAATAGTCCTATAATATAGAGAACTAGATAATAATACTTATATAATTCGTAATTAGTTTATTATATAAGATATAAAATAGATTAATTAGTTCCTATATTCTTTTAATTTTAATTCAATTAAATATATCTAATAAATACTTAAGAAACTATTAATAGAAATATATCTAGAGCTCTTTATAAATTATAAAAAAAGTAAATAGAATAGAGAGAATATAAAAGAGGCTTTAAAGATATATTAAGCTATAATTTTAAAAGAGATTTTTAATAAGTTATATATAAGTATAAAATATAAAATTAATAAGTATTATATAAAATATTAAAGTTATTTTTTATTATAATTAAAAAAAAGAAATTATAATAATTAAAATATACTATTATATATATAAATTCAATTATAATTAATAAAAATTTAAAGATTTAAAAATAATAGCAAAATATAAGATATAAAATAAAAAATACTTAGTTAAAAATATAATTAATACTATTATATATAAATCTAAAAGTAATATAAATGTTATAATATAAAAGTAAAATATATTTTATTTTATTTTAAATATTACTTTATTATAATAAGCTTAATAATTAGTATTTCGCTTTTATTTACTTTATTTATCTTTATTAATAAGTATTATAATAAGGGTTTTAGCTTTTTAAGTTATATAATATAATTATATAATTTATATATATATTATATTATTTTCCTTTTTTGGAAATTAATTAATTTTTACTTTCTTTATATTTTAATTATATATTATTTAAAGAAAAAAAAGAGAATTTATTACTTATATAATAATTAAAAATATTTAATTTTATTTAGTTTAATAATTAAATTATAATTAATTACTTAAGTATTTTTAATTATATTTTTAATATATTGTTTTATATACAGGCTCTTATTTATAATAAATATTTTATTTATTATCTTTAAAAGCTATTTCACTTTTAAGTATATATATTAGGCCTTATATATAAGAAATTATTTAAAAACAGCCTCTTCTCTCCTTATTCAAATTATATAAATTCTCTAATCTTTAATAGAATTTAATTTACGGAAGATATATTTGAGTCTTTTCGAAGTTTAATTAATTAAACTTTAATTTTTACTCTATATTAGAAAAGTTATATTATTTCAAAATTAGGCCTTTCTATTATCGAACTGGGCCCACGATTGGCCAATCGCTCGTATTAATGAACAAGGGGGAAGAACACCTTGTTTGGGGAATCGGCAAAAAAAAACTCTAAAACGTCAACACCGACCTAGAGTCTCTGCCAAATGCAGCTTCTCGTCGACCAGTCCGAACAGCTGGTGATTGATGAGCTCAACCCGGGTTGAGGCCGGAAAACTAGTATTCCAGCTCAGATGACTGCTCGAAAGCAGCAGTCTGAACTTGAAGATACATTCATCAACGTTTGATATGGAGCGGTGGATGAATCGAGATGCCCGCTTATTGATTCAACATGCATGGTTGCCGGCTAGGGATGGCATAAGTATGGTTTTAGGAAGACCAATATTGTATGTATATAAAATATGGGTTCTAGACCAATATTATTTATTATATTGGGTATTTTTAGACATTATTTCCAATTAGGCTAGAACCTGCTCCCAACTAATAAAATTACTTGAAACGTGTCACGTGCAGACAGAATTTCGCACGATGATTCAAACTTCTCTTTCTTAATATTATTAATTAATCAGACCGTCCACAACAATGCAACCATGCCACCTTTAACTAATCGGAATGCTACGCACGCTGATCGATATACGCCTGCGCAGTTCACGATAATTTAGCCAGCAGTTGGTTGCGGGTTTCGAACGCCTAAGAGCCAGTGCAAGCACTGATATTGCATAAGCACCATAATATTAGTATAAAAATTATGCATATAATATTGGTAGACCAATATTATATACATAGATTGTGTATTTTTTTCCAACCCTATTGCCGATATAGTTGCCGGTATGGTTGCCGGCATGCATAGCTAGCTGTCTTGCTATTGGATCTGTTGGTATGGCTTGCGCGGCATGGCGGATCGTGCTTGGAGGACAGAAACTTCAGTAGCAATTTAAAAATACTGTTTTCTTTTCGGTTAAGCAATTTCCACCAATATTAAGCAAGAACCCAAGAACGGCTCATCCCGCAAGCCGTCTGAGACTCTGAGTTCGATCTTACAGGCTCGGGTATTGCTTCCGTGAAACTTAGTCATGGATCACCACTTTGTGTCGGCCGGCTCATTGCTCCATCGGGTTGGCCAGACCTGTGCGGAGTCGTTACTTTGTGCTGGCATCGCACCTACCACCCAATCAGCATAATAAAGACCGAGAATTGAAAAGTTCGATGAGGGACGTCTCTGACTCTCTTCTTCAACGACTGACCATCACGAATATGACTGGCTTCTTAGCAGAACTCAGCCCTACGGCGCTTGTCCTTCTCTTAACCCCCATCACTTTGATCACCTATTACATCCTCTTTGCTCCCCGCATTGAATTCCCACCCAAGGCTCCTAAGCAAACTTCAGAACAGTATCCAGTGGTCGGTGCTTTAGCCTATTTCTCCGAGAAATGGGACTTTTATCGAAGATCAAGTCGTGAAAGTCCTTCTGGAAACTTCAGCTTCTATCTCGGGAAAAATGCGGTTGTTGGTCTTGCTGGGGAAATCGGAAGAGATGTGTTCTATAATACAAAGGAGTTCGGGATATCACAAGGGTAAGTTTTTACTCCACTCGAGGTTCCCATTCCTTGGTGAACCTCACCCTGCTCAGGGTGATAATTAACATGAGCAAGCCAAGCTCTAAATCCTCGAATACCTGGTCCTCCCGAACTCCCAGGGTTTCTAGGAAAGGCATTATCCTTGGACGATGACGAATTCACTCCCATCTTTCTCCGCTTTCTCCGCTCAATCCTCACCACGGAGCGCTTCTCTCGAGGTAAGAATATTCCTGACTGGCTGGATTGTTACACAACTGATGCACGTCCTCCAGATCTGCCAGTGCTGGTTCACGACGCCAAAGAAGGATTACGCACATTGGCCACTTCTTCATCCACCATTATAAACCCATTCGATGTCTTATTTAAGGTTATATTCCAGCTCACTGCGCGTGCACTCTGTTGCAACGATCTTGCCGACCAAACTGAACTACTTGATAAGATAATACATCTTTTCTTAACTGCTGGCACCAGTTACAATCCCAGAATCATTCTGTTTCCGTCACTTATGAAATTATTAAGTCCTGCGTACTGGAAGCAAATGAGCGCATCAATAAGAATGTACATGCTCGTTAAGGGTATCTTGGATCAACGAAAAAGATCGGCAAAACGTGATGCCGATCCGCTGCAACATCTGATTGACCAGGGAACAGCTGATGCAAGCATAATCCAGGTAAGGTGGAAACCCTTATGCTATGGGTCCTTAGCTGCTCACATGTTGTACTTAGATGTTGCTCACCGTTCTTTTCGCTGGGATCGAAAACAGTGGCAAGTTCGCAGCCTGGAACCTAATTTATCTCTCCCTGAATCCAAAATGGAAGACACAGGTTCTTGATGAAATAAAAGCGGCTGTAGCGAAGTACACAACAGATAGAACTGCGCCCTTGATTGAGCAACTTTCGTCGCTGCCTTTGGAAGCTTGGGAAAGAGAGTTTCCAGTCATCGATATGGTCTTAGCGGAGACAATCCGACTGCAATTACAAGGAGTCCTATTTCGAAAGAATGTCGGTGGTAGCGATATCAAGGTCGGCGATGAAATTATCCCAAATGGCGCTTATGTGGTAAGCCTCAATGAACGAGCAATACTTGACAAAGACTGTGACTAACGATGGGCTAAACAGCTCTATCACAACGCTGATGTTCACCTTGACCCGTCAATATACCCTGACCCTCTCAAGTGGGATCCTTCGAGACACTTGCCAGGGAACCCAGAAAGCAAAAAGAAGCGAACGGAGTTTCTTGGCTGGGGTGCAGGAAAACATAGTTGTGGTAAGTTTTTCTGTCCTACTGTAAGCGTGGAAACTGATCACTTTCTTCACAGGTGGAATCCGAGTAAGTCTACGCGTAGTGATTTCCATCTCACAAGGGACTAATATACTTTCGGTAGTTCGCAAAGTTCGAAAACAACATTGCAGTTGTTTCATTCCTTGCGACATACGATTTCGAGCTCTGTGATGAACAAGGGACAGTACTAAAAAATGGTCCTGAGTACAATGTTAACAGTCAGAGCTTCTCTCAACCGGACAGTCCGGCGTACCTTCGGATTTGGCCAAGGGAAGAAATCGGTGAAGGACTTCACGAACAGTGCGGCTAGTCCGTTAAACACATTGTTAGAGAGTACTATATTTAGGGCATGGTTAACAACTCACGGTGAGAGACGTGATCGAGTCTTGTGAAATCGTTGAACATAGCGGAAAGATACTCTAGTCTCAATCACGTCTCTTCTTCCTGTCAAACATTAATGAGAGCAGCCTTTGCCAAAAAAAGAAAGAAAAAGGTGGATCTATGTTGATCTGCTAAAAGAGTGTGCATTTGGAATTTCGGATTGAGAGCTGATGTTGTATCAGCGAAGGGAGGAGCATTCCAACGCAAACCAAGTCTGACGTTGAATCGACCAAGAAAAGCAGCAGAAGTAAATTGGATCACCTCTTGTGTGCGACGAAGGTACCCATCACAATAACATACAACGAGATGTAGGTGAACATGAAAGCTGATCAAGATCGACAGTCTATTACTTCGTACTATCAGCAGCCTCCAAGACATTCACAAGCCAATCCGCCCCTCATACACCCCAGCCTCAATGTCAATTCCAGCAAGCCATACTCGTCCCTTCACAGACTGAACTCCAATCTATTCCCCGCATAATCCCTCGCAAAGAATCTCGTCGGGTACTCTACCCCTTTCGCTCCTGTACAAAATTAGCTTGACCCCCTTCACTCGACCCCATTTCCGCTCAACGCACCACTATTCACAGCCCCTGGCTTGTCAACAGCCATCGGTTTCCCCTCCCCTCCCTTTTCGTAATGCGCCCATATCCTCTCCCTCAACTCATTCAATGTCTCCACATTCTCAAGTTTAAAGCATGGGTGGCGGGAGGCGGTAGGTTCATTGGGAACAGCAGAGTTGGAAGAGATGTGGATTTGTTGGCCTCTGGGGGTGATGTCGAACCTTGTTCTCAGTCAGTCGGATTCCTTTTCCATTCTTCGATGAAAGTGAGTGGGTTTGAGATGAGGGGTAGCGTGGCGAGGAAAGGATTTGAAGTGAAGAGTGGGGGGCCTGAAGCAGGGGCAGGAAGGGGTGAAGGAGACCGGAAGAAAGGGGAAGAGAACATACCACGCCAAAGTGTCCTTCTGTAGCACCGGGACAGCTACTCTCGTAAAGCCAAGCGTGTTACCGTAGAACTCAGCTGCCTGCTCGAGGGTTCCGGGTGGGATCGTGAGGTTTACGTGTGCGATGCCGATAATCATGATGTCTTATTGTGTGAGTTCTAAGGAAAAGAATAGGTGATGAGAATGAGAGAAGATGAGATGAGGGGGTGTGGATGTCACGATGGGAGCGATGTCGCCAACGAGGGGCGGCAGGTGCGGGAGGTGCGGGTTTGGTGGGTAAACTTTGACGCGGTTCACGTGACTTGGATCTTTCCCCTTTTGATCAAAATCTCCTTAAGCGAGAGCAAAAGGGGTGAGCAGCAGCAGCAATATATGGTGTCAGTCGCGGCGTCGATGACATTGCATGTTTGCCCGTTCTGGTTATTCAAAAGTGGATGGAGCCAAGCTTAGTTGGCTTGCTTGGCCAGGGCTTCGCAGGAAAGAAAGTTCCAGCCATGTTACCGGCGTGCCCGGGACATCAAGTAGAGCTAGCGCATTATTTGGGCACTAATATCACGGTCTTATAAGCCGTTCCACGCTCCTCTGATTCGATTAGGAATGGTCTTATACTTAAAGAGGGTCTTAATACATCGATCCTACCAAAGTGACCTAGTTTGCTATCCTCTTTCCTAATTAAGCAAGAGGGCGAGGACGATGTGACTGCTGATTAAAGGGTTGATTCTAACTAGCGGTTTGATGCTAATATGGAAGAAGAGCAAGATATCGAGTCTGATTTCGATGATGTAATTGACAGCGATACGGTCTCTGAGGACGAGACTATGTAGAAGTGCTTTTATTATTGCTCAAGCACTACGTTTCCTAGTAATTCTGTTTTCAATATACATGCCTAGTTTTAGGATGTGAGATATTGAACCAGGGCCTAAAGAGAGTGCTAAAAATTAAAGGTTGACAATACCGTGAACTATACGAACCGACCGACCACGTAGCTTAGTATTATTGAAGGATCATGGTCTTATATGAAGTGGGCCCCACAGCTAAATTCCTCGGGGAATGGTCTTGTATTAGAGGGGGGGGGGGGGGGGGGGGGGGGGGGGGGGGGGGGGGGGGGGCTAATGCTATTGGGGTGGGCTTATAACCCAAATAATAAGGTAGAGCTGGGTCGAATGCTAAAATTTGTTAAGCCCATAACGACATAATCCGAGGATTAGAGTGGGAAGCATTAATCGTCAGCCGTCCAACGACCCAATTAAACTTTTTCCCTCCACAGTGTGAGAAGGAATTCCCCGATTTCCTCGCTGAGTTGGTCCCCTTGAAGCCATCAATTAGTCTCTTCTAACAAATGTCGCGCTATGCATGTGACAAGGTAAACCCAGTCTGATGTTTATCTCCCTACCAGGTAAATGGGGTATTTACAGCACCTTGTCTGCCAACACGTCGGGCAATCTCTGGCACCTATTCACGAAGAACATATAGAGAACAAATGACAGGAAACCATTAAGGGAGCTACAAGGTGGATTTTAGAAGATATTTTTCGTGGGCCCTGGTCACCATATTCATAGCCACACCGATCCATTGCCCATCGTACCCAATTCGATTTGCCAGTGCCACAAATCGCACCCAAACTCCCTCAGCCTCCACAAACGCCCACCTCAACACCTATCCCATCGAGACACCTAACCGTGCGGACAAGTGGGGCATACAAGCATCGCAGCGGACACGAATTGGAAATTGAAGCACGTCGTATCAGTGACCGAGGCTCCAGTAGTGGTCGGCGCGTTGCAACAATCAAAAGTTTTGTAGAAATTGACGAAATACTGGTCGGGCGTGCCAGCACCGCCAGTAAACGTGCCAATGGCGTCCGAGAGTAATTGGTCTGTGATGACACATTGCAGCATCTGTACAGCTGAATAAGAGGTACTGAGTGGTGTCAAATCTAGTGGGTATTAGAGATATTTGAACTGAGGATCTGGATTTGGAGGGGGCGAGTCTTACGTTGGAGGGGAGACCACTACAGTGGTAGAAGTGACTTTCTGCGTGTAGATCGAGGTCGGAGCCGTTGTTGTCATGGCAGTAACGCCAATGCATGAGCAGGCCGAAGAGTATCTGACGCTGCCAGAGCAAGCGGAAGCGTAGGCTGGGATTCTGGATGGAGCGGCGGTTTGCTGCCAAGGAACTATCATTCCCCTATCCCGTTTCTTCGTGACAACCAAGCACGTTACAGTGGCGGCTGTGGTTGTGGTAGTACTAATCTAGGAGATTAGCAGTGATTTGTCCCGGATGCATGACATGTACATGTGTGGCAGCTGGCGTGACCGTTGTCAAGAAGTAGGAGGAACAGTCTACAGTGGCACTTCTGGTCGTGAATGTTGAGGCGGTAATGGCTGCACAGCGTTAATATCGAGTCCCATGACCAAAAAAGTAGGTAGTAACATCTCAGGCAGTTGTCGTGCGGGCAGTCTCTAGCATCCCAGGCTGGAGCAGGATGAGGAACAGCTGCCGCAACACCTTGTAAGAAAAGAGTACAGGTGACTGGAATGGCGAAAATCATGGCGACTGATGGAGTTGATAATATCTGTTTAAGATTCGAGAGATTGGAGAAAGGCGGCAGATGTTCTCAAAGTGCGGTAAAGATCGACGGGAAATTTTCACTCTCTGATGGCTGTTTATATCAGTATCAACAGGGACACCGCAACACTCTGTGATGACCCAGGGGTCGAGGCTACATGGTTGACAGCTGGGAAGGGCTTCAAAGGAAAGGATCACTTACAATCACGACCATACCTTGAGACGATTGGATCAGAGGCGAAGTCGCCTGAAAACTAATAGCTGAATGTGACCGCGACCAGAAACTTCCAATGACCTTACGAGCTCAAAGCATATGCGGACCTAGGGTAGCATCGGCGGCTTCAAAACAGCACCTGGAAAACAATAGCTTAGTGCGAAGAACGAACCCCTTCGTGCAGCGTGGGTTAATAATATTCCACCTTGCGAATGTTTCGCCTTGGTCGAAGCTGAAAGGGCGATAAGCAGCACACCTTGCAGTTATCCTCCCTGCTCTTGTGGGTCCTGCATGCGGATACAGTTGGGACAAAGTTGTACAGTGAGGCGATATGCAGCACGGTCTAAAGCTACCGACGATGCTACCTGAGCACAACAATTTTCAAACACGACGCAAACCACGCCGTAATTTGAAATCCTGCGTGTGAAAAGAACAAAATTCAAGGCGTCTCATTAAACTGGACACTCTAGTTGACTCAAAGAAGAATTGGCTGTGCATACATAACACGAATATTGCTACCCCCTTTCGCTCACTTACTGATATGGCTTGGCCGAACCCGCCGCTTACCCGAACTTTCATCCCATCTCAGCTTTTGAGCTCCTGGAATTGGTGCCGGGTTTTGAAAGAAAATAAATAAAAAAGGAAAAAGAAGGACCACTGGCCGAGAGGAGAAGGACAGGACGAGGTAAACAGAGTGGTGTTGAAGAATCAGAGTCACGTGCGGAACTGCTGTTCTTGACTGCCGGTATGTCAAACCAAGGGCAATGTCTCGCCAGTACTTCCTGCTCTGGCATCTAGATGGTTGCTATATCAGTGCAGGAGTTCGAAGAGCGGTTTAGCGAGTCCCCAGGCGAGGGTGCCGATTTAAACATCGCGGGGCATATTGCCAGCCGGCACATATGTATTGTTCAAAGAGAGCAGAAAATGCCGTTAAAAATTGCGTTTATTGCCTCCGGGTCGTCTAGGAATGAAAGCAGTGGGTAGAAAATATAAAATCCGACACTGTAAACGCCTGCACTTGCCACTAATTCAACTCATCCACTCACACGCCAACACGACTCTCATGCCGAGACCTCTCCACCCGGATACCATGATCCTCCTCTTCCAACATGCTCTCCCTATCACCTGGCAATTGAATGGCTTTGTCGATCGCCACTGGTAATCCTCGATGCCGACCCCGCAACATCAGCGCACAAAGCACCAGCTTCCCAGAAGCATGCCATGCACCGCAGAAGCTGTAAGCCTGATTCGGCAAACCGATACTGAGTCCCACGCAGCCATATGCTGACACAACCTCGAAGATGATGCTGAAGATGGAGTAAGTTATCGGGTCCTTCTCGTAGCTGTCCGTCTCGATCCAGATAATGAGTATCATGCAGGCAATGACAAACCAGAGGTCATGACCAAGTTGCCTCTGAATCTGTGTCCGGACGAAGTACATTCTCATTTTGCGGACAGAGTTGGGAGTGCGGAATTCTTGTTCTCGTTGGTCCTCCTTGATGTCCTGAGCATAAATGCCCAGAGACCTCTCCTCGTAAACATTGGAATTGCGCATGGTGATGACCACTGGGAAAGCGGAAATATACATCATCATGATATATAATGCCTGTAGACCAACCGCCAACGAGCCGATGGGGATGATGGCAAAGCGACTTGATCGGACAGCCAAGGATTGAAACAATCCATCGAGAAGACGGTATCCGATTGGAATGGCTGTTACCAGAGGGTTGTTGCGATTTAGTATTTCGAAGCCCGTCCAGTCGATTGCATTGAAAATGGCGAGAATGAAGAATAGCCACCAGGTTTGTGCGGAGGGAAAGAGGTTGGTGTAGACTCGTCGTGGGTATCTCAGGACAAAGTCGATGGTTTCTCGCCAAGACCTATATTGATCGTTGTTCGGAAGAAGGTAGAGTGTTGTCCTGAGGATTGATCGTAAAAGGACTGGATATCTGCGGTCATTAGCTGAGTCATATGAGTTGAGCCAAATTGGATGATGTACGCGGTATTTCCAGCCAGCATCAAGATGCCCATTACAGACAGGAAGAAAACGGATCTTTGGAACGGAATCTGGATGCAATCAGCGGGCAGTATGAGCAAGGATATGATGAAACTTACTACACTGGCGTCCAACAACGACATCCCGACATTATTGAAGCTAGCAATAGCATAGAATGTTCCTGCCCACCTGTAAAGTGTCAGAAGGATTCACGAGGGAAGTGGAGAGTACGTACCAGGGATTGACGGCGTTGGCAGCTGCAGCACTCTGTCCTTTACAGGACATATATGTACCAAGAGCAATGCATCCAAACAGCTGCCAGGCGACGATGTAAATGGGCACCACATAGCTGAGGAGTCGCACGGCTTGGTATTCAACACATCGAATGTGCTCCCTTTCTTCGAATGACAGACTGTGAAATTGTGCGTTCCTGTCGACGGTGCCACGCCTGAGATGTCTGCTCTCTTTGGGCCATAAGGGACTGGAGAAACATCTCGGATCTTGTGCTCCGTTCGAAGATCGAAGTGTGTCATCGTAGTGGTCATGTGTGGATTGTGTTGGACTGATTTTATCCTCCGCTTTGCTACCCATCGATGTGAGGCTCGGGTCAATTCGAAGACGGTAGTTGTGTGAACTATCTGAGGATTGTGAGTCAACGTTCAGTGCGTAGAAGGGGAACGTACTCGATGCGCAGTGAAGGGTTTGCCTCGGATGCATTGCAGACTCCGAGTTGGCAGCGAAAGAAGACTGCCAGGTAACCGGTTGCACGCCTGTAGAAGAACTGGTCTTCTTTTTGCTCTGCTTATCCTCTGCAACTTTTCTGAATCTCGTATGGAAAGCATGCTTTCGAACGTGGACCACGAAGGCGCTGACGAAGATTGGGTTCCCGAGGATGATATGAACGAAGATTATGCACTGTTGGAAAGTGTTCAGGCTGCTGAGATTGACAGTATTTAACCCAGCTTGGGTCGTTGCGGCAACGATCAGAAACAGGGAATCAACGTATGAGACATAGCCACGAGGAGTCGACAAGTGCCAGAAGATGATGGATGATACCATGCAGGTTGTGATGATGTAGGCCCAGTGAAGTAGGAGGAAGGTTGGTCGAGGCAGATATCGTCTAAGTCGATGGAGAAGATTTCGAGGGATTGTAGGTCTGAAAGCCTTCAAGATGGTCGCTGCGCGTGTATATGCGGTGGATGTATTGGGCATCTTTGCATTCAGGACGCCCGGAAGAGAGGTCGGAGGGCGCGAGACATTTGAGGGAGGAAGAGGCTCGAGGAAGAGGATTTGAAGAAGCAGAAACAAGATCGACACATCTCAGATGACATGGTTTGTGTATCTTGCAATGGAAGGAAGGAGCCTGGGAACATCATCGAGGAATCGGAAGTCACGATCGACCCCCACGACGTACTTGAGTAACATCATGTAACTCGCCCTGGATCATATGGTGACAATGGTTGATACCATATGTAAGGAATATAAGACCAAAACAGTCGAAACAAAGCTTCCGCTCGAGGTTATCGCGTTTTCTTCAGCCGCTTGGCAGCAGGAGAGTAACCTCTTCACTCTCCCACATCTTTCACACTTGCTGAGCCCAGGGACAGGCCCGTCACTAACTGTACCGAGACCGAGAAGCAGGAACATGTAGGAACATGGAAACTTACTATGATTTGTAGCATGACCTTTGCTGTTGAAACGTTGATGGTGGAACAGAGCGGCGGAGGAGAGAAGTTGGGAAGATGCAGCCTCAGTCGACAGGTCATCTCGGCTAGCCCGCCCGGCCAGCCCAGCTCACATTCTAACCGAAAGCTCCTCGAAACACAAAAAAAAATCAACGCCCAATCCCCCCCCCCTCTTTCCTGCGAGTTAAAAAAAAAAGATAAAGGTTTGCATTAGGTAGCAAACGCAAAAGACAAAACGTCGCGAGCAGGATTTGAACCTACGCGGCCGAAACCATATGATATCTATTGTCTCAGAGGAGAGTTCGAGTCATACCCATTACTACAAATGTTAGTGACGGTGCTTTGTGGAAGGGTGGGTGTAACATACACCACTCTGGCATCGCGACGGAGTTTATCAAAATTTAGTCTTATTTGAATACATACAGCTTGAAACCTAATCTGCCAGCTCTAAAACGGCACAACCTCGGGAGTGAGGCATGAACCCTGTGGATTTTTTGGTGATGTCTTTCATCTGAACTCTGAAGCTTTGCAACAGCATTCAGCATTGAGTTTGCACAAAAATTGCGATTCAGCACAACGACATGCGATTACCATAACATCCTCCACACCTTCAGTCCCACTGCTCGCTACATCTGATCACTCTGCAAGGATGTCGCAATCAACCCCCCAGGCTCCATCACAGCCTCCTGCTCCATTTGACCGCGCCAAACTTGTGCGTCCTCTAACCTCCACCATCCTCCCTTCACCTAACACTCTGCAGATACACAACGTCTCCCTCGGCGCCTTAATAGCCTGCCCAATAATCATCCTCCTCCCACCGCGAAAACTAGACATCTACACGCTCGCCCTCCTGTCCGGGACGTTCGCGGGCGGCAACCAGCTCTCAAAAGAATACACGGGAACGTCTATGTTGCAGCGCTTTGGGAATCGGCTTGAGAGTGTGAGTGGGAGAGAATTACCGCCGAAGGCACAGGAGATGCAGATTAGGTTAAGGGAGGAGAAGGTTCGTCGGGAGGAGGCCCTAGCAGGTGGCAGGGGCATTGGGGGGATGAGGAGGAAGGGAGAGGAGTTGGCGGAGCGGGTTAGGGTAGAGAAGGAGCAGAAGCAGACGGAGGACAGGAGTTTGTTGGGGAAGGTTTGGATGGGGAATGAGGGTGAAGATTGGAAGGAGAAGAGGGAGAAGCGGGAGAAGGAGGCGCTGGAGGAGGGCAAGGGGTACGGAGGCTTGATTATGGACCAGATTTGGGACGTGTGGAATTGGGGGCGTGATAAGACGGAGGAGATTAAGGAGAAAGATGAGAAGGTTGTTGAGGAGAGGAAGGCGGAGAAGGCAGGGGGAAAGAAATGAGCAAGATAGCTGGGATATATTCTGGAACGACGCCGGCACACACTCTCACGGGTAATATGATGGCTACATGGGATGGTCAGGCAGACAGAGTGCGGTCGGGACTCTGAAAGCTGGTGTGTGATAGGTTAATTTGGGCTATAATGTTTATATGCATTGCGTGGAGTTCGGGTCAACATGCATCGGTGTCGGAATACGGTTGATTGGACTGTTCTCTACTTGTACAGTAAATTCACGTGCAAGAGGATTTAAGATCACAATGCACAAAATACTCTCCTCACAACCTACATAAACCCCTTGATTCTCGTCTTGGACTCGCCGCACAAGCGAACTGTCAAGAATTTGCAGCACCATCCCCCGCCCACCCCTCCCTCGGATATATAGTTAATTCATATGGCGGCTTACGCAAATTGTTTCTTGATCTGGGGTTATCGGATTTCAAGATGTGGAGAAGGTTTGGAAGAAGGGACCAAGAGCGTTTTGGTTGCGGAAACACCAGGGAACCCAGCTAGCTCCAACCCCAGATGCACATGAGGCCGTCTATTTCGTCATTTTAAACGGTGGTTCAGGAGTTGAAAGCGTCTGGTTGTGGTTCTTTAGTGAAGGAAGAATTGATGAGTGCGAGAGGCGTTTAGACGGGTGGGAGGGGTGTTGCATTTGGAGAAAAGTCCTTATTTTAGTCCATGTAGCTGCAAGCAAGAGAGTGGAGCTATATATTGGAAAGGCGGAAAGATTGAACTTGCGGATGTTTGCAAAGAGGAGAGAAGAAAGAGTCTTCGAAAACGGTATCTTTGTCCGCATCTGGCTAGCGCGCAGCCTTCCCCGCCAAAATTCCCCAGCCTCGCGGCAAAAAGTTCCCTGCAAAATATTTTTCTCGAAATCACCTTCAACACCACAACCTCGACCACCACTCTTCCACCTTCCGCTATTTCTACCATGGGGAAAGGCAAAGGCAAGAAAGGTCGGCACGAAGCCAAGCTCGCCGCCAAAAAAGCCGCCGAAGTCCCCAAAATCCCCGGCGCACCACGGCCCGCGAATCCGGTCAAGAAAGCGAAGAAGCTGCTCTCACGCGAGAAGAAATCCGCAATCAACACCAATCCCCCTGGACCTGAAAAATTCCCCATTCCTATGGGGCGCCCGAAGCCATTTACGAAGAGCCCGCAGCATGCGAAGTGGCCGGCGCTGTTTAAGAAGCACTTGGGGCTCATCGAGTCGCATATCCGGGCTCTGGATCGCGTGATGCAGAGCATGAAGAGTGAGATGGGGCAGATGCCGGAAAAGGAGCGGATGGAGTGGGAGCTGGGCGAGAGGGGCAATTGGAGGGCGATTTGTGAGATGATGGATAGGGCGAGGGGGGTGCTTGCTGATGCGCGGAAGGCAGCGCAGGGGATTGTGAGTTCTTGGTTTCATGAACGGTTATGATGTGTTGCTAACCCGATCTGCAGCTACCTGCGAAGTCATTGAAGGATAAGAAGGGACTTGGTGTCACAGGCACGAATTTCGAACCACTGGGGCCGAAGCTCGCGGAGAGGGCAGCTGAGCTGGGCTACACGAAGAGGGGGAAGCTAGGGAGGGACCCTGATGCTGTCAGCTCAGACAGTGATGGCGATACCGAGATGAGCGATTCCTCTCTTTCGAGCGACGACGACGATGCGGTTGTGGAGGGCGCGGATTTCGTTCCGCTGAATATTGGCCAAAAGGTACCCCGATTCCCGATTGTGGAGGATTCGGGCGAGGACAAGAAGAATGAGACGGCTGCGAATGGAGTTGAGCCAAACCCATACTTTGTCGTTGATACCAATCCTACGCCCGTTGTTTTGAATGTCAATGGCGTTGGGAAGGAGAGCAAGAAACGAGCAAAGGAAGAAGACGGCGAGGGAAAGAAATCAAAGAAGGCAAAAAAGGAGAAGGATACCGCTCCCGAAGCTAGACTTGAACCTGCCGAGCCAGAAGTCGACTTTGCCGCACTGGAAGCCAAGTTGCAAGCCGAAGTTGAAGAAGCAGAAGCGGCCAAGGCACAAGCTGCTGAGTCATCCGAGGACAAGAAATCGAAAAAGAAGCGGAGGCGTAGCAGTGATGGCACGGGGGGAGTAGTTGAGAAGAAGAAAGCCAAGAAGGACAAGTCAAAAAAGGTTGAAGATGCGCCTGCCAATAGCGCCCCCGAGCCCTCCCTGACCGCAGAGGAGACAGCTGCTAAAGAGAGTGGAAAGAAGCGAAGACTCTCCGAGACGGCGTTTGGCGTTGAAGTCGTAGAGAAGAAGGTCAAGAAGGAGAGCAAAGAAAAGAAGCGGAAGGTCGATGCTGATGGAGCTGATGTCGACGACGGCAAGAAGAAAAAGCGGAAGCATAAAGTTGGCTCTGATTCCGAGTAGGCGGGGGGTGGCTTGTACAGACTTGATTGCTTTACGATACCATGGTTTTTCATCTGTTGGCTGGACGGAGTGGCATTGCTGGTGTATAAAAATTAGAAGTGCTTCTCTTCCACTTGCTTCCGCTCGATTGTGTTGATGTAGGAGGGTGCCATTGCCCTGCGTACATCCCACCAAAACTGACCCCAACTACCCACGCTTCCCTTATTAATTTATAAGGAAAATGAGGCTAATTCGACTAACTACTCTATAATATGCTCCCTAGAGTTTTCCAAGAGATATAATCTTATTTAGAGGGTAGCTATGGTGGGTTCTTCGCTAGGTGTAGGCTGAGCAAAGGATCGCGCTCTTCAAGCTGGGGATGATAATCAGTCTTAGAGCTATGAATGCCCGCCCTCTCCAGCAAGAGGGCATACAAAGAATTCGAGTTCTAGGAGCAGGAGTCATCAGAGGTGGCCTGCAAGCCGCAAGTACATCTGGCCTATCTCCTGTCAGGTGTTTGTGATTTCGCTTTTTTTCTCCTTCTTTGCCTTTGTCGTTCCCAACTGTTTATACAAAAAGCTAGTAATTCTCGGCACTGAACAATCTGGATTGTTGGTTTTCGAATAAACGTAAAGAAATTGTAACTTGTCAAGTGATGTGGAGAAATGATAATTACTGCACACGAACATGAGATCAAAATCCCTTAATACAAGGCTCGTTATGACTCGAGAAAATGGACAAAAATAACAGACTCAGGAAAAAAGATCTCCTATCCCTCGAGCCCCGGTTTTCCGTCGTGCTAGGCTAATCCGGCAATTTTTGTGGGAATGAAGCTCTCCAGCGTCTCCCTAAACCTCTTATCCTACCATCCGCTCCTCTTTCTTTTTTCAGCCTCTCCACTCAAATCCATTCCGTCAGATTTGCCCAACTCTCTACCCAGGGGGTCCAACTTGAATGGATGGAATTGAGAGTCTGTTTCAGACTCTCTGCATTGTTCTAAAGCATGATTGATGAGGAGAGGTTTCCCAGCTATGCATCGGTAAGTGCTAGTCAGATTCAATTACAAGACCGAAGGAAGAGGTGCTCGCGTTAGCTTATTTATGTAGAAACAACTTTAACCTCCATTTAATCAACCTGAAAAGGAGAGGTCAACTTGTATAAGGTCCTAATATCCATACGTATTGCCATGGACTCTGCATCAGCTGTAGGCACAATCCATTCTTGCCGGCCCGTCATTCCCTTCTCTAAATGCCCCGTGGAGAGATCCGCACTGCCAACAAGTCTATAAATGTCTCTCACTTCTTCCTTGCGAAGTATTGCTACGACATTCGTTCTGTCAAACTGGCATACAAGGTCCCCTTCTGCAGCTTGCGTTGGTCCGAGGCCTAGTAGGAGACCGCTTCCTAGAAATAATCGAGCTGTGGGAGTCGAGGATGAGAGATCCAGTTTATCCTCCCACGAACGACCTCTTGCCATGTTCAGAGCGTTTTCTTCGGAAACCTCCAAAGCAATTTTCTCAACAGCATCTTGACTGAGGGGCGAGCCCCAAGCCCCGCTTAACAAAGTTCCAGATGATTCAAACACCAAGGGATTTATGGAACGGACGTTCGTTGTAGCAGTTCCCAAGTTATGGAAGAGAACCTCTTCATATGCTTCATTTGCCTTCCTCAGCCTTTGTATGTCAACTGACGAAGAGTAGCACTTCCCAAAGCTTCGCTTCCACTCCTTGTATACTGCACTCGATGAATAGAGCTCGTGGAATGTTGGCCCCATATGGAGGATCGTTCCACCAACGGCGCCAACTGTCAGAACAATCTGAGCTTGATTCATGCGAAAAATTAGCGTCAAGTCATGCCCAAGAAGTCTTTAGACTAATTGACTGAATCGCACCACTTTAACAGCCTTGTCGTGGCTGTTGAGATCTGCAAGAAGTGGGCGCTGCCTGTTGAAGAAATTGATCACGTCCAAATAGACATCAAACAATGACTTCGAGTAGTTTGCTTCTATGCTGCCGTCTTCGCAATCATGAGCCAAGCCCAGAAACCTGTAGATCTTATCTCGCGGTTCGTGACACTTAGCATACCGGAAATCTTCTAATAGAGTTTCTAGGCGGTTGGAGTCACCATGTCTGTCTTCACGCTTCTCATTGAGAGTCTCTATCAAAAGGAACTTGGAATTCCAGTCTTTGAAATGAGAAATCACGGGGAAAAAGTCCTCCCATGGAATGGTTCCGTAGCCTGTACAAACTGCCAGCCTCCTCGCGAGCCCAATCTCCTGGACAATCCAGACTCTGTTCCAGTAGTCGTTCTCGAAAATCTATTGTTCGAACAAGCGCAAACCATCTGGATTAAAAAGTGTGTTCGATGGCGCGATCACTGAATAGGCCTCGTCCCAAAAAAGTTCGAATTGTTCAAATCTGGCCCTGGCAGACCAAGCCAAATTATAACACACTGCGCACGGGTGTAAATAAAGTCCATAAGGCGCACTTGGCTTGTGCGTTCTTGAAGATTTTGCTGATCAATGCAGATTGCATCTACCCAAAGCAAGAACTCAGCCCCCCGTTCTAGACGTTCGTAGAAATTAAACAGGGCATCGTACAGATTTTGCCGAATATCAACTACAGCCCCGTTAATTGCGATGGTCTTCGTTATGTCCGGACTACCCCAAGTATATGAAAGTGCTTGGTATTTGGGCATTGTTGAGAACTCAACGTTTATCATTTCGAATTGCATAATCTCGGGCCCATGGTTGAAAGGCGATGAAATGTTGCTGTTAAAGACAAGGAGTCGAATACTGTCAACGGTAGTATCAAGTGGCTGATACTCGTATTTGAAGCTTGGTGCTGCTATCTCCGGAGTATCGAGCGGCCGGCTAGAAGGCGCTGTAGACGCTTCCCCTTGCTCCATCGCATACCGCAAATGACAATACTATGGGATAGTATGATTCGCAACGGTATTCGGAGGAAGAAGCGTAATGTAAACCTCTAGTAGCACTGGCGGATGACGTGCAATTTGCTTTGATAGCCTTGACGAGAATGAACCGTCTCAAGCCTTGAACTCGACTGAACGACAGACGGAGTCATCGAGTGGCATATCGTGAAAAGAAACCTGGCCTTTGGGTCCTGCGCCGTATGTCAATGTTGAAAAGTTCCTTGTTGATTGAGATGGCGAGGCGTAACGATGGTCGGAAGATGGTCTTGACTGACCGAGTGCATAGTTAGGCAGGCGCTGCCGATTGGTTGACCCTATCGACGAAATGATTGGAAAGGTTTCAATTTCTGCAGCCTCACACCTTCACTTCTATGTGGGTGATGTTGAGTGAAATCGGATGACAGAAGAAATTTGAGAAACTAGTTCTTACGTTTTGGGGGGTAAGGATTATACTACGAATTTGCAATAAAATCCGTTTAGACTATTCAAAAGACAAAGCAGGTACCCCGTTTATTTCAACTAGGACACTTGAAAACAACAACTTCTCCTTATAAATAACACTTTTTCTCGCAGGAATTCTTTTGAACATTCGAGACTTTGTGTTTTGATTTGCTTAGCGATTTCAAAATCTTGCAATCTAATTGTGTTGCGTTTTTGAAGTGTAAAATTGAATATACTAGACTATATATGTTTTTGTGCTGTTCTCAAGATTTAGTAGAGAGGGGGGGGGGGGGGGGGGTTATAAAAGTAACCGTTCTAGTAGTTGTCGCAACTAGGTATTGATTACGAAGTTACCCTCCCCCCGAGCAGTTTCAGAATTAAACAAATTAGTCAGGCGGATTGGGAACACTTACATCAGGAGGAGTAGTACTAGTAGCCGTCACGGCTAGCACTAGAATTGAGGGAATAGAACAAGCGCTTGATACTAAGCAATAAGGAAGTGGCTTAGATTGAGTGAATTTAGGATAGGGGTCGAGGCTCTTGAGGTCTCCTCCCGCTCGTCACATTCTTTTCCCCTCCCTCATGAATCCTCAACCTGGCATCATCAAAGCTTCCCTCAGAGTTATGACTCTTATGGGAATAGAGAACCCTTAAAAGCTATTCGCGACTAGCTTTTAAAACGTATAAGAAAAAGCGATATGTTATGTTAAAACCCCTTTTTTATTATAAGGAGCTCATACGTGGCAGTCTCCGTGTTCGTGGCCGTAGTAATCGTCTATAGCTAATATCTATAACTATAGGGTATATAGACGTACAGAGGTTAAGCAGACCCTTAGTCGTCTCACTTCCCTAGTAATCACTTCACACACCATCAAGAAGCAGCATGGCCATTACACAGTAAATTACTCTGCCACTTACATACTGTGTCACATGAATATAAACGTACTGAAATTACTCTGCCTCCTGCCGGCAAAGGTATTACTGTATGTCCAAACCATCCCAGAGCCCTTCTATATGTTTTCGCCGCCCTTTCCTTTCCCGTCCGCCCAAAATAGATGAAGAAAAACCGGAACAGAACCACTAATTCAGCGGATAAGGATTTGCCGGCGTACTCGGCGGATTCACAAGACTGCCCCAAAGATTCGCGCTAACCAGCGTATTCTGCCCATTCATATTCGTATAATCGGCCGTGTTGCCGGCAGCATTGCCCTTCATGGCAATACTCTGATTCGCGCACACTGTTCTGTGACTGACAGGAATATACAGCTTCAAAGCCTGTAACTGAGTCGGGGCTTCGATGAAGGTTGCGGTGAGCCCCGCTTCGACGTGCCACTCGAGATGGCAGTGGAAGAGCTGGATGCCCGGGTTGTTGGCGACCCAGCGCAGGGTGACGGAGCCGCCGGCGGGGACTTGGATGGTGTCGCGGCGCATGGGAGCTGCTCCTGCTGGCGGGTTGTAGGGGAACATGCTGCCGCCACCAGAGCGGCCGACGAGCTGCATGTTGTGACCGTGCAGATGGAAAGGGTGCGGGTTGGTGTCGTGGTTCTCGAGGAAGATTTCGACGACGGCGTTGTAGGGGACGACGGTAGGTGTGGTGTGCGTACCGTAGATGGTTGGATCGTTGACATTTGCTGCAGGCGCGTTCATTGCGGTGTAGAGGGTGGGCACCTTGGGTGCGACGTAGTCAACGGCGTTTATTGTGCCTCGTCTTTGGCCGTTGGCGTTGTTAGTGAAGTCGACGGCCCAGGAAAGAGGGAGTGTGACGGGGCCGAACTCGGGCGTTGCATCTAAAGGAGTGAAGATGGAATCGTCGAAGGGCTCGGGAGTGATCGTCAATGGTGGTGGGAGGCCATTGGCAGAGTTGTAAACAAGGAAAGCAGAGACCTAGGAGACGTTAGGGAAATCAAAAAGACTTTACACAACAGTCACTTACCTCGGTGTTGAAAGTAGCTGGAATGAGCGGAGGGAAGAACATCCCAACGCTCATCGATGCTTTAATGGCAAAGTTCTGCGTGCCAGTCGCCTTGGCCTGGATGATGACACTGTATCTTTGCGCAGGAGTAATGAACAGCTGATCCTGTGTGCACTGAGAAGTGTAAACTCCATCTATCTCTACAATAGTCATGCTATGTTGATCGAATTGGAGATAAACTGGCGTGAAGGCTCCCACGTTGATAATTCTGAATAGGTACTTCTTTCCTGCTACCATCGGGAATTGAACGTTCTGCGCTTCGTTGATTAAAAGAGAATTTGGAACAGGTTCCGCCCCGTTATTGTCATTGGCATTGCCCAAAGACTGATAGTAATTGATCAATGGAGGTGCTTCTGAGTGATATAGATCACTGATCGTCATCACATATTCTGTATCAACCCGGTATGGCGCATTGACGTCTTTGACGATGAGTGGGCCTCGGAATCCATCAATGTACTGTCCACCAATGTGAGCGTGGTACCAGTAAGTACCAGGTTGGTCGACGATGAACTGGTAGACGAATGTTCCGCCGGGCTGGATGGGACATTGAGTGACCATCGATGGCCCATCCGCATAAGTCGTGTTGATCTGGCGAAGACCATGGAAATGGATCGCAGTCGACTCATTTCCAAGGTTGTTCGTAACGGTTAGGACGACAGTGTCTCCTCTGTTGACACTGATTGTAGGGTTGGGCCATTGTCCGTTAATGCCGACAAAAGGTCTGGCGAATCCATCCGGAGCAGCTCGTACCCAACCAACACTCCAAGTGAATGATCTTCTTGCTGGATTTGGAGTGGCGACGGGCGCAAGAGCCGAGGGGCTTGAGCATACCGCTCCCGTTGCACTGGTTACGGAGCTAGATGTTGTGGAAGTCGTGGCAGGAGCGGATGATGACGTCGATGCTGTGGTCGCTGCAGAAGATGAGGTTACTGATGAGCTCGAAGAATCACTTGATGAAGCTGAAGAGGACGTACTACCTAGTGCACTTGACGTCGAAGTGACCGAAGTGACCGAAGTGGGGGTTGAAACAGTTGAGCTCGTCGAAGGTGCTGAGCTTGATGTTGAGGATGTTGTCACTACCGAGCTACTCGAGCTAGAAACAATGACCGGATTAAGGTTGTTGTACATCGACAATTTACTCGCACCGCCACACTATCCAATTAGCCTGGAGAAGTACGAACACATAAGATAGACTTACAAGTTCATTCGTGTTAGCCAGACAGGTGTCCACGCAGCCAGATGTAGTTGGAACACTTCCTGCATTAAGAGTGTTGCCACAATAACCTATAAAAGTCAGTGAATGCCATAGTCGATTTTAGCAAAACCCTTACATTCTCGGTGAAACTCGATTCCAAACCAACTGTAATTTCCGGGAAGCGCAGAGCACTTTGCGTAACAAATCTCGATTGTCATGTTATTGTTCGCGTATGCAAGGCCGCTCAAAGCACGGCCGACAGTGGCCTCGGTGTAGCAACCAACGTATGAATACGTTCCGATTGTAGCCAGGTTGGTTGGTCCCGTTGGCTTTGCAGAGGTCGTTGTGCTGGTGGAACTTGTTGGTGCTGTCGAAGTTGTGGAAACAGTGGAGATGGTGGACACTGTGGAGACCGTGGAGGCCGTGGAGACAGTGGAAATCGTGCTGCTTGTGCTTGATATTGTCGAAGTTACCGAACTTGAAGTCGAAGTAGTGGACGGTGGGGCTGAAGAGGTGGTTGACGTCCCTTGTTGTGCATTTCCCTGCATGGAGAAAGTGATGTAACCCCCATTATCACTCCAGATCGTAAGATACGAGGCATGGATTCCGGTCTCTCCGGGAGAGAACACCAGTGGCACAACGATTGAAGTACCAGCAGCCAACGTAGAGCTCAGAGCAGGGAAACTTGACGAAGTGTATCCATTTCCGACGGTGGATGAAGTGATGTTGACGTATGTCATGCCTGCGTAGTAATCCTGGTAAGCAAAGCCTGTGAATGTCAATGCAGTGCTGCCGAGGTTCGATAATTTGACCCAGCCCTTTGACTGAGATGGCGATCCACCACCAACAAACACACCACCAAACGAGACCGAAGTCGCGTTGACAACCAGATATCCTTGTGAAGCAACCGCGGTTCCGGAAACACTTATCACAGTATCTTGCATGTAGCCAGCAGGCGCTGTAGCGAACAGGTTGAGAGCACCACCAAGGGCTCCTGGAGACAATGGAGTTCCAGATGAATTTTCGTAGGTGATAAGGTTAGCATCGGTCAAATTAAGCGTAACTGGGAAAGAAAATGTTCCCCCGGAGGGCACCGATGCTGGGAACGTTGCAGGTCCGACCTGGAAAATCGTCGAAGCAAGACTTGGACTAGGTTTCGTAATGGCAACGTTTGCCGTGCAGGTGACTTGGATGGTTGAAGTCTGAGTGACCATCACATTGCCGAAGGCGATTGGGTTCGGACTGCACGTCAACGGCGCGCTCAAGGTCTTCCCGCCTCCTCCTGTAACCATCATGAGGGCGCTGTTCCTAGTAACATAGACTTTCCCATTCCCGAATACAGCACGCTGATATTTATTGATTCCGTTAGTGGTGAACGCGTTGGGGAAAGTAATCGGTGTCAGGACGCCATTGACAGGAACGGCATTCCATGCGCGAAGACCCCAAGTACCGTCGGCTACCCAAACAATTCCAGTCCCAGGAGCGCCGTTGAGACTGGTGACGACGGGTACTGATTGGCCGTCGAGGAGGAGGGCTGTCTTCCCAGCTTGTGTAAATACTGGCTTTCCGTTGCTGTCACGACTGAAGGAGTACGCATACAGAGAGTCGCGAGTAGAACCGGGGGTGGGTACTATGCTATTTAAATAGTCAGTATTATCAGCAAGAAATCAAAATCGAGCTTACTAGATATAACCTCCTTCCAAGGGATAACTAGCAGGGCCACTCCTTAAACCATTACTTAAAACTATCGTTTGAAGAACTCCTAGATGTTAGAATACGACTGACACCTCGAATTCGAAGTACACACCATTATCTGCTCCAGCATTTCCTACATGGCATTAGTATTTGTTCGAGACTTCGGTCTGGTGAAGAACTGACCTCCAGCGAAACCTCCCAAATTATCCGCGTTCATGAAGTAGAGTTTGCCGTCCTTGCCCCCTGCAACGGCGATCCTGTTTACCCCATTGCCATTGAAAACCGTCGGATCGAGTAGAGCAATGCCAGCTGATCCGAAATCAAGATCGCCTCCATTGTTGCTGTCATAATTAAAGGGCTCGAAGTAATCTTGCTGCTGCAGAGCGCCCGTGGATGGATTGACGGCCATATTGACAACTGACTGTTCAAGTGTGCTCAAGTAAACCTTCCCGCTCGCTGCTTTTCCATTGGATCCACCGTTTGCACCAGCGCCACGAGAATTACTAAGAATTGTTAGATCGCAGAAATGGTAGGGAGTAGATAAGCATACCCAGTAACGAAGAAGACTCGGTTTGTGTCGGCTGCTATTCCCTGCAGAAAGTATGAGTCCTTGAACTTATTCATAATCCCAGAAAACACCTACCATTCCACTCTGCCAGATGCCTGCCTTACCACCAAACTCCGTTGTAACATCGAGATCTATAGCTTGGCCTGGATATGATCAGCATTCAATGATTCTGACCTGCGTTTCGGGCCTGACTTACCAGGACTGGCTTGCATGGCTTGGATATTCGTAATACCAACGCCTGGAGTTTTGCTAACTGCCACAAGCATTCCCGTGTAATTCCAATGGTCACAGTGGCCACCAAAACCGGCGCTGTTAGAATCGAGAGGTGAGTAAAGCTCAGGGCAATGGAGTTATAGAGGGGGACCCACACGATGGTATTCCCAAGCATTGCCAAGCCGGGTCTCTGAAGGACAGTCCCGCCAAGGAAGTAACTAAGCTTTTGTAAACAGCAGGAAATCCCCGGCTCTTGAAGGATTGTTTACCGAGTAGGATCGTTGTTGGCAGAGTGGCCGTCAATCAAGACAGGAAAGCCACTCGCATCAGTCAGCGACGGAAGGTTGACGGCGTACAGTTGGTATTGACCTGAAACTGTTAGCGAATTCAGCAAAGCAAGAGGGTTCAGTCCGTACCAGCGAGAACACCCGCTCCATTCGTGACTCCAAGGGGCCCAGTGATTCCTGCGTAGACTGTCAGCTCCCTTCATATCATCCCAGGCATTCACAAACCTCCTTTGTAACTCTTGGAATAGAAATACATGATATCGGTATTCGGGTCAATGATCGGCGTGCCGATGATTCCCACCGTACTCGAAACATCCCCGCAATTGGTGTCTGTTGATTGGAAAGGGGGGAGGAGGGTCCGGGTCTTGAGCAGAGTACCCGTGTTTCCATCGTGAATCCGGATGATATTCTGGTTCGACACTGTGATCACAGATTCGTTTGCAGCCCCGTTGAATGTGTAGACGAGTGGTTTTGCATAGAACACCTCGTTCAGATTGAATGACAACTTCCACCCAAGTGCCAAGGAGCTTGCCACCGCCGCTGGGTCCATATTATGATTAGGCAGGTAGCCCGATTGCGGGGGATCCTAACAGTTGTTTAGCATCTTTAAAACATTACTTCGCAGCCGTTGACGATACGCACGGTATCTTGAATCGAGTCGGTCGGTGCATAGCAGCGGATGCAGCTTGGCAAGACTGCCAATGCCAGCCCCACCAACCCCTTCCCGGTTAGCCACCTCATGGCGATTAACTCAAGAGCTTCGAAAAACGAGTGTGGTGAAAGGAAAGACAAGAAAACAATCGCTCAAAGGCAAGTCTCAGGAGGAGAAGCTGGGGGGAGTGAAGTGAAGATAAATTAAAAAGAAGAAGCTTCGAAGAGCTGGACATGGCGGATGTATGATGCATCTTAGAGCAGCAGTAATCCCGTGCTTAGGTACGAGTGTCCAAGGTACTGATACGCCAACAGAAATACGCCTCACTCGCAGGAGCCAGGAACTCTATTGCCAGTGACAGTCTTGTACTGCGTAAGTGGCCGCCTCGCGCCACACACAGCAAAGCTGCCATGTTGCTTTGGGAGGAAGCTGGCCAGGAGCAGCCTAGCGCCGCCGCTGGCCAGAAGCACTAGACCGCCAAAAGGGGCAGCTCGCGTATGGTACCTGGCATATCGAGCCTAGCCGGTAGGGGGGTCGCAACCGCGTGACAGCCAGGCGCTGTGTGTGGCTGTTGTCTCCCCCGAGCTCCCTATCGGGGCTCACTACTACCCCCCCCTTGAATACTTACAGTGGGTCCTTTAGTAACGCTACCCTGAAACCTGTTATCCCCCAACTAGGAAACATCAGGTGTTTTCCAGAATCGCTATTGGCTATACACCCTTGAGATGGCCAGTGCTTGCTTGGGTAGTGTTATCCTTGGGCCCACTGTAAGTATTCAGGGGGGTAGTACAGTAAATTTACTACCTGCTGCAGCTCTGTTGGGTCCTGCAGGAAGCAAACTATCGGATTGTTTCGACGAGGCCTCATAGGGCAAGATATTCGTCGGCTTCGAACAGTCCAGACTCGGAAGTAATAAATTCACGAATCCTGCTGCCAGCGCAAACTACGTAAGAGCGAACTTTGGAGCGAAATGTATTGGAAAGTAATCGATTTATTAAAGGAAAATCGATATATTGAAGGTTGACAGACTGCAGAATGACTAGATACAGAAGTGAGTTCTGGAAACAGAGGAAAAATGTCCAAAGTAAGGGATTTATTCCCATTACCCTTCGGTAATACCGGTAATGCCGAGCCCGCTTTCTCCGATACATTATCAATTAGCTGATAAATCAAAGGTAATCAAAATGACGATATACTAGTAAGCTTCGTAAGCTCGGCGAGTGACGCATGACAAATGAGAGTGGAGAACCCTAAATTAGTGGTTGAACCTGGTGCTGGAAGGACTGGTAAGCTAGCTATGGTAGCGTACCAATTTCAACGAAATGGCCGGCTTCCTATCAGAATAAGGACAAGGCTTGCCTTTGGGTAGCACTGTAGTCTGTAGCACAGAGTCGGTTGGCATCAGCATTGCGGCAACCACCCTAGCAGCCTTTGATTGCGTCCAGGAATACAGGTAATCTTTCCTTTTGATTCTGTCGATTCCCGACTCTACGCATCCTAGAATCCCATCCACTTCGTGATCGGACCTCGAAAACTAGGCCGAGTCCCTCCATAGTGCCCCTGCAATCACACCCGCTGTCAAGTACAGTAGATCAGCGCAATTTAAGCTCCGTAAAGTCTACACAGTAAGACCACGAGAAGACCGTATCCCCTCGTCTGGTGAGATATTGGCTCGCGAGCGGCTGCACGCGAATATCCCCTGTTCGGTCAGAATAATACGTAGTACAACCATTTCCTCCATTAAGCCATCCGATTTATGCGGCCGCTAGCGCTGCCAGTGTCTCACCGGACGGAGGGACAAGACATGACATCACCAAGATTCGCGATTCGTTCCCCCTGACGATCTCAGCCGCTGGCGTGGCACAGGGACATCCAACCCACCAAAGTCGACCCATCTCCATCTCCATCTCCATCTCCCGAGCTGCGGTGCCCCAGTCTCTTGCCTCTTGATGCCACCACCTTCGTGTTCAGAGGAGTACAGGACGACTTGCTTTGCACTCCTCATCTCACAAGCGGCAGGGGTGTCCAATCGCCAGAAGCATCTCTGCCGGCCCAAGACTTGGGCGTGGCTTGCGCAAAGCTGCGAAAATCTTGCGCGAAGGCTTGTCGTTTGCGCCTTGGCAGCCCATGGCTGCAAGGGATACTGTAGCCGAGCTGAAGAATGGGAAGCTAACGAGAGTTTATCAAAAGGGTACGGGACATGGGATTTTGCCATTGCCCTGGCTTTCTTGAAGAGTGCCGACTCCTGAGATCGGAATTCGGATGGACTGGGAACAGACTTGCATAATACTTGTGTTCCACTGCGCACAGCTTCGAAATAGTGAAACGTGAGAGTAAGGACAGTTCAAAGGTACGCTTGAATCGAACAGCGTTCCAGTGCACATGGAATGATTCGGGGGAAACGTTTAAAGTTTTTCCGTTTCTTCCAGGGCAGTAGGGCTATTTTAAGCAGATCTCCAGCCCTCCCTGCCCGTCCAAACACGGCCCGAACCCCTCCTTCTGTTTCCCAAAATACGCGCACGCTCATTCTCATTGCTACGCAGTCGTTCCTCATCCTCCACGCCCCTTCAAGACCAATATCAACCTCGACGCCTTCCCCCCCCCCCTCAGCGAGCGGAACACCATGCCTTCTGTCTTGTGAAAATCTCCACCTCCGCCAAAGACAATTGTTATCCCGGCCGCCGACGCAAGCGCTTGGGGTCCGGGACTTTGCGGTTCAGGCGCTGGAAGCCACAACGCCTGGAATGTCACTGGAGGCCCCTAAAATTGGAGAGGATGTCACTGAGATTAGCGCCAAGCATTATAATTCCGACAGCCTGCCTCTGGATACGAGAGAGCAAAATACTTATTGTACGTTTATATCGATTCAACAGAAAGATGCATGAAAGGGGGGGGGGGAATCCCTGCGCGAAAGTCCACAGAGAAGCATAGAGTTCAAGGAAGAATTGGAGGAGATCTAGAACATTGGAAATCCCTAGCGACGGCGGACTGAATTGACTCTGAAGTTGCAGGATTGCAACTGCGCCTACTTCGAGGGCATGTAGATTGCAGAGCAGCGCGCGGCAGCAGTTTTGGAGGTGTGCCTGCGATTGAATCTGGAAGAACGTCGAAGCAGGGAAAGGGGAGAAAGGGGCATCGCCAAATAAGCGAGCGAGAGCCAAAACCCGACATCAAAGAGTCCTCAATCCACACAAAGAACCTCATGGTACAGCGTCTCCAAATAAATATATGGGGACGAGCTGCGCTTTTCAAATGATTACAGAATCTTTCCACACGTGAGAAAAATCTAGGCACAAAAAACATGCATCGTGGTCGAAACTCCACAGCCCCTTACTGCGTACCCACTGCAAGCTTTCTTACCCTCAATGCAGTGTTAGCAAGTCGTAGAAACTTCTCAAGAAAGTCCGTCTCATCCCTCACTGCCTCGCAAATGCCTCTTGTGTCGATCTTCCGATTAATTTATAAATACTATCTAGTCGCAACTTAATGCCTACCTATTCTATCTACTCGCCTTACACTTTTCATGCCTTCCTTCCCACAGAGGCGGTTGCTACAAGGTACCAACTGACTAACAGACACCGAGTTGCCCCTTTTGGCTCGTTTGAGACACTCCTTTGAAAACCTAAAAACCAGATGATCGGATACACCTCTCCTCGGCCATCAAACCCTCAAGTTATTTCCGTCTCAAATCACATGAGCACGGTCATATTTTATGCACGCATGCAGTCGTGATACGGATGGAAGCATACTCGCCTGTCATAATTATCGATTTGGCTGGCTGCTTATGCTCCAGCTGAACGGTGGGTGGGAGGTGGCTGCAGATACGATATTGCAGCCGTAACCCCGCATTTACCCCGCCATTTTTCCACCCCAATAATTCCTCTTCTCGGCCATTTCACCGCTACAAAGATCATGGGACGCCAAGTCAGTACATTAACTATTGGAAAATGGGTTTTTCTACAATGGAGAGCTGGGATGGAAAGTTGAGTTGAGCTTTAATGGTAGGGTGAGCAGAGGAGTACGAATGGTGGCGTTGCCCCGCAAACGCTGCTGTGAATTCTCGTAGGTCAAGTTCTGCATTTCAGTTGTCTACCAACGTACCTGGTCTTCCACTAAGTGTCGGTAGCTCGGCGCATAGTATTGATTTTCAGAATGGTGCTTTGAAAGTTCGTATACGAAGCGCGGTCTGGCTCCAGCGCTATGCAATCATTCAATCACCAAAAGTAAGTTATTTTCGTACCCATTGTCACTTTCTCACACGTGTTTTTCAAAGTGCTGAATCCCGTTCAAGGCATTAGCATCTTGGGAAATCCAGGTTTTCTTCGAGTTGTCGGCTACACTAACATCAGCTCCATTTTAGCAGGAACTGGAAGCTAAATATTTCTCTATGTCGGGGCATACCTTTTAATCCTCGATCTTTTGTTATAAAAGGTTTTCCACTCAAATGTTGGGAGCTTTCCCGTTTCTCTCATTTCAGCAACTATTAATACCGAACACCATGGAGAAGTCTCAGCCAAGTCAGTGCCGAGACCGTCTCAGTCTTAATTTCTCCGCCGATCCAAATCCCTTAGTATGCTGGCTCATGTTTGCTGACACGCTCACAGCTAGGATTACAAAAGATCTAAAATTGGAAGGGAAAACACTTGAAGACGACAACAATGTACCCCACCAAGAAAGAAAAAGTCTAATGGACCTGCAAATTGCAGCACTAGAAGTTCTCTCCTATGCACCTTACAACGCTCTTCTTCGGCACAAACCTTTCCCCTCAAAGCTGGAACAAGAAGTACCCGAAGAAATCAAAAAGCGACCAAGTTTCCTCGCTCCTCAATTTGGAAAAGGAAGAGGAAGAGTGACCAGGACATTGTCACAAGGTCAAGGCGTTAATTGACAGAGTGTATGGTCTCTCTGCAGTGTATACCTACAATTTCCCTGAAGACTTCTGACCCTCCACCTAAAACGAGGTTTCTATACACGTCATTGGTTCCCGCCAAATAAATTACAAGGAACAAGATATACTATTACATCCTTAACTCTTATTTAGGCACGGAATCACTGACCTTCAAGTCTAGATTTTGAAGGAATGATTGGCATCTTTCGATATCGCTTCGAACTCATGGAAATGGTGGATCGATACCTTAAATTTCTTCAAATTCCCTTCCCAAGGGGACAAAACTGTCGTCAATATGACATTGAAATCTTCAGGCTCGCTCGTCCCATTATCGATCATGAAACGTGGGGGAAAATAACGTAGAGCAGAAATGAGACCTTGTGCCCACTACCATATAAAGCCGGTGCTATAAAGCTATATTAATCAAGCCTCTGGACTACTTCGATGCTGCTCGGCAACCAAATCAGGAATATCGTTTGATGAGTGTTGCAAAAGGATTCAGCAGCTAGCAAAAGCATTTCAAAACGAGTTGGATCGTTCGATAGCTTGTCTTAAGGCTCTGCCGGATGTGAAATACAGAGCCCAAAAGGTTTTCTAGCTTTATCGAAAGAATTTCCTTTGAAAATGCAAACTTGGCGTTCATCTGGGCCAAGAGAAATTCAGGACTATCAAACGCATGGAACCTGTGTTGAGTAGGGAGAACTCGAGTAAGATGAAAGGACTCTCCACATGCCCATGAAGGGAAGCAGAAATCCATAACTTACAGAAAATAACTAGCCCTGCGACTGGGCTGGTCCGGGAAGGGTTGTGAGGGTACAACGAGAGATGCTGGAGAGAAGAAGGGATCAAGGAGAGATTCTTAGGTTGCAGGGGTTTGGATCACTGGAGTGCGAAAGACAACCAGAGAAACTGGTTTCAAGAAGCATGTTGCTGTCAAATTTTAAGCAGTTGTCAGTCTCTAGCCATCGTATTTCTTGCACCTGCCTCAAACCTCCAAGGTAAACTTTTGCTGTAAAGCTTTCCCCAAACCCTTGTTCTTCAACGAAGTGTGCAAGGCTCCCTTCAGTCCCTTAAAACACCGCAATATCAAATCCAAATTGGTGATATACTCCTTCTCGTAAACCGTCAGTGTGATATCCATCTCATTGAGGAGGTTCCCCAATTTCAGTGTTTTAAAGAGCTGTAGTACCTTCTCCAAGAGAGAATTGCCACCTCGGTTTCCCGCTGTTTCTTCAGTGAAGAAGACCCATGTTCTGATTTCTTGTTTCCTCAACCACGGGGAAGAAGGCCATCCCCTTTATTCATCAGAGGCTGGAAAATTAGAGACATTTTGAAGTGAAATGGGACAGGAAATTCGAAAGCAAGGGATGCGGGCTTCTGTGAGCTTGAACTACTAGCGGAGGAGGCTGCACCGTGGCCAAGTGACTGCCAGTCTGTGAATTCTTCGTCTGGAAAGGGAAAGAGAGTGAGCACAGAGCACAGAGCATAGTAATAATTCCACAATTTGGAACGCGGAAGGGTCTATAAAATCTTCCCGAAAGTGGCTTGTCACTGACCCGCGGTGCATTGGAGGGACTGTCCGAGGACTTCTTATTGTCAAGGCTGAAGACCTACAATGAAGATCCGCAAATACTTGGCTATTATATCCCCTCGCTGCCTCAAACTGTTCAATAGGATATGAATCACCCTGCGTGACAGTTTAGTGCTGTCGGAATGGAGATTTGTAGACAATAGCAGCTGGCTCTTCAAGCCAAGGACTTGAGAGCGTGTATATACATGGTAGCGTTGAGCTAATAAGCTCCAGCTTGAGTGACGTGTAGGAATTGAGAAACTGGTACAGTGACGAATAGTAAAGTTACTTTCAATTGCCCTGCCAGATAGGTGCCTTCCCTTTTCAGTCATCTAGCCCTCCATGGTCTCAAGATCCTCATACTGCCTCTTGATCGACAAGAGGATGTACCTTCGTTCCTCTTCCGACGCCTCCTCCCATTCCTTGAATCCCTGCACCATTTGTGCTTCACTAACATCCTTGTGCTCGTCGATTCCTCGGGATGTCTGAACTTCTTCATAGATACCTTTGGATACATATCCGGCCAAGCCGACAATCCCTTCAACATGCGTTAGCTAGCCCAATTTTACGTGAGAACAACTTCCTACCTGCAGCCGGTTTGAAAACGGCTCCTCCAAGCCCCTTCCCGAAGCCCATCAATCCGCCCATGAAGCCGCTTTCCTCCGCTCCTTTCATGGGCTGGGTAACGAGCCCGGACATTCCATCCCATAAGCCATAGCCAAAGCTCTATGCAGCGTCAATATAACTCATTACAATAATGGAGGAAAATCGAACTCACCTTTCCGGCGGCCTGGAGCCCACTCTGCACATCCGTAACCTTCTCCAACGGCCGCACCGTATCGTCACCATACATCTTCGGAAGGTTATGAAAGCCACGAGCTACGTTATGAGTAATATCCATGGGGGCCTTCAATCCAGCGCCAAGGATTCCAGTCATGCCTTTGTTTGAATCCTTGGCGAACTCTGCAACGTCCTTGTGCACTTGGTCATCCTCTTTCGCCTCAAGAACTTTAGCAAGTAAAAGAGGATAGTCCCCTACCCGCTGGGCAATGGTCCCGACTGCACCGAAGGTAGCCGATAAGGCGCCAGATAAGGGATCGGCAGGTCCATCATCGGCCTTTTCCTGGGCGGCAGGATCGTATCGAGAGGAGAGTCAGTTCGGCAACGCAAAGGTGAAATATGAGGACCTACACTTCGAAGTCATCATAAGTGAAGACTCCTCCTTTTACAGCAACCGTGGCTTCAAGGGCACTGAGCTTCAGAGGCAACGCCTTGACTTGCCAAACCTTTGGACCGTGAGACGCCGGGCGACTATCAGGCTTGAGCAACTCCTCACGCTCAAATGCAAGGTCGGTATCAAACTTCTCGGGGGCTGGGAGATCAGATTCTTCAATGGACTGATGAGGCTCTTCTCGCATGGCTGCTGGGGTCACTTCCGAGGCAAGGCTTGGAGTCTTCTTCATAATGTTAGGCGCAGCGGAAAGCTCACTCCTTTGGTCGATAGAGACAGCGCGCTCGACTTTCATCGTAATCTTGACGTCTTGAGCGAATGATCGATGAAAGTGATGAGGACTGGTTCAATGTTGGACGTTGACAATGTGGAGGTTCAAGGCTGTGAGGTGTCGGGCTATGCCCCGCAGTCAGCCTTGTGGCTGTTGGTTGGCTGGATACACGAGGTGGTGTGACTTGCACGTGCCAGACACTGCTATCTTGATTGGTATTTATTTTGATGTTCCACAAGTTTTGCTAAGCAGGATTCTGTAGTTGTCTCTTATCATTTCATAAGTGCTAGTTGATATCCCACTAGATGCATATGAATGATATTGGTTCCGAACTTCATCCGCCGCTCATACGCTGCTTAATGGCTACCGAAGCAGACCAAACCACGTATCCAAAACACAAAACTCCATGTCGTAACGGGGACAAGACTTTATAAATTTGATTATAATTTAATGCAACAGTGCCTAGCAGAAAGTACCGTTAATGACGGCTCGAAGAGTGAAATATGAGGAAACAGTAACCAGGTCTTCAATTATTCTGGCTTACCTTCTCTTTATGTCTGATAGAAGTGCTTCTGGATCATAAGAATACCCTAGGCTGTAGAAAAATTACAAGTGGGTAACTATTGCAAGCAGATGCCTCTTCTGAGTTCAAAGGCTAATCAGATCCACTCCAGCTTTACCGCTCCTGTCGGGGTGTCCACCTTCGTCTTCAACGTGATCATCCTCTAACCCTCATCTCACTAACGAGCGATGCTTCCACATAACCGGATCCACGTTTCTCATTACCATAGCTAACATTATTCTAATCATGATTTGACTGCGGGGTCCCCGATTTCTCGGCATGTTTTTCATTACAATGAGAGTCCAGCTAGCGTTTGTGATCACCCTCGCCTGAATTTCAAACACATTTCCTCGGCCTCTAGGCAAACTCGCTGCTATTATTGACATTGCCATTACGATCGTCAACTGCTCTAATTCTTATGGCTCTTACTTATGCCCTGCTAAGGAAGCTTCTTAGTACGAGTTTGGGTGGTGCAACGATTGCTTGTGTTGAATAGCTCTGTATCTTACTCGCTTTGGTTCTTCACTGGGATATCTTGAGAAAGAATAAAATGATCGACAGCCAAGCAGCGCTCCTTGTGTCAAACCCAGTCTCGGAGCAGCCTGAAAAAACTGGACCTTTCACCCATTATTTACTAGGGATGGTGGGGCGGAAAGAGCTGGCAAAGAGGGGATATCGGTATATGTATCAACGGATCAGTGGGATATTCTTGGGAGGTGATGTCGAGCTTCTTGTACGCAATGTGTGTACAAGTGATCGATGTTCACATGGGACTGGAACCCCACGTTGTAGGCCTCACACTCATGGTTCGAAATTGATACCCATAGTCAATTTTGTTGCCCTGGTCGCGCGCCAAAAAGGTAGGACAAAGGAGTGCGTAGGCTACAAGAGGCCTATAGCGAGGTATATACTAACTAAGCTAAGATGTTTTTTCTTCTTTCGGAGATTGTCTTTAGAGAGGTAAATTAAGATTAGAGGGCCGAGGAGAGAGGTTAAATAAAGTAAAACTAGCTAATAAAGCCGACATTAAACTTTTAGCCCTTATTTAGTTATTTTTATTCTCTAATAATTTTATTTTCAATTAGAAGTAGATATTGTCTCTTTTAAAGACGAAGAATATAAGGGGCAAGATGGTCAATCTTTAAATAGCCGCAAGGGCATCAAATCCAGCATTAAACCCAATACTTTTGGAAAGTGGAAGAGTGTAAAGGCCAATATTAAACGAGTAAACTAAGTCTTTTGTTAGCTATAAGTGAAGAAGGCGGATATGAGAAACGTCCAACCTGCCGGGAGTGCCTGAACAAGCTGCATATACTCAGTGTCATATAACCGCGCATGACTTGCCAACCTTGAAAGTTCTTACTGACTGTTGTGACTGCCAGTAATGTTCGCGATTTCTGACTGGTCGTATCGTTTGGTAGATCAAGCAGTATATTAACGGATCTAATAAAATTGCCCTTAAAGCCCCGTGTACACTTAGAGGATAATGTTTTTGAAAATTCCCTGCCAAACCCGAGCGGCCTTTTCTCGTTCGCAAGACTGTTCAAAGCAGCTTAGGTGGTGCTTGACATTTAGGATTGAGACGATTTTTCAGCCAACATTATGGCCCCTTGAGGTCTTGTGTTAATTACTTGACCCGCCTTGGGTGAACACGTATAGCATGCGTCTCTTACAAGGAACAGTGGAACACTTTATTTTCTTGGGAGAAGAAATCTTCGCGCCTCCGCGCGTTAGAGTATGCAGACCACCAGAACGTATCCGCAAATTCCAACTTATAAGGATGGAAAATCCTGCATGCAGTAAATTGTAAGTTGTCCAGCATGACCTCTTTGGCGTCTTGCCCTTTGGGAGTTTAATATAGAACCGAGGCAGAAAAACGCTGTCACGAGGAATAATGAGCAGGCTTCCAACTTTTGTCCTCATAACCGCTTTCTTCCGGATGTCAGGGAAGTTAATTAGGGGATACACATCCTCGACTCCACATACTGCGTCAGTGCTATTTCCTATCATTTTGAAACCAAGAGATCTTCTCACAATACTGTGCGCTCATCGCAGTAAATCTAAAGCAGCCATATATGTCCCTTAGAAAGGGTAATTGAAGCCTTCATAAAAACCTCTTACCTCCTAGACCCTTGTGCTCCCTACCCTGCCCCGCTTAGTGTGTCAAAAAAATAATTAAGTTAATTAATTATATTTAATTAAATAAAATTTCTAATTAATTATAATTTGATTACTAGGGTTTTGACTTAATTTAATTGAATTACTGGCCGATACTTATAATTAATTAAATTATTCGACACACTGGCCCCGCTGCCCACGTCCGGAACACCAATCACTACACTTAGACATATTCTAATGAATCTAGATAGCGCATGAACGGATTCTCAATCGCTTGCGTGACTGGCAAGACCGGATAAGCTTTTCTGGCATTCGTGCACCATTTCAGTACTCCCACGGGTCTCGAACACCTCTCGGTCATTACTCACAGCTCTTCACACAGATTTCTGAGATTAGCACTGAGACCGAGCATCTAGAGTATTGCGCGTGCACAATATGTATTTTCCATGTGACTTTGCTTCGCTATGGGTATGGGAGGGACTTATCCGGGAGCGCAAGCCACCACCTGCTCCTTCACTATCGCTCAACGCAGGGTGCGCTTTGAATATTGGGCCTGAAAGAAACAGCACAATTAAATATGACGTTTTGTCCCGAGATAATGTTGAAAAGGGAGACTTTGTATCTCGCTTTTTGCGCGAAAATAAAACCCTGGGTATTTTGTTATTGAGAACTTTAAGAAAAGTTGCTGTACTGAAGCCGTACGGAATTGTGTTCCGGAAAAGTGACTGCCTCTCCGGTCCTTGAGCTTTTCCGCACGCAGGGAAGGGGTGGCTGCTGCTAACGATAAGATAAAGCAGGAAATATAAAGCCACTTTACATCCGTCCACTAAGAACTCCGGCTTTCCACCAATTGTGTGCTATCCCTGAAGTTATGTTTGCTTCGGGAGATTTCTAAGATGAGTTGCGGGGTACGGGGTGTTTGGCTGACTGTCTTTTCCGGGGATCAGGGGTGGGGATGGGAAACTGGCACGGACCATATAATCTGGATAAAAGGACCCCCTTAAAATCCCCAGCTCAAGTTGAAAGCGCTTTCTGCAGATATGAGGAGCTGCAAACCCTTTTCTTGACAACTTTCTGACCTCCGCAAGTCACCCCCTCTTATGGACTTGAATATCTAAAACCTTTTTCTCGACCACTTTCTGGACACCTCAAGCCCCCCCAGCGTCCATTTGAATATCTAGAAATCGGTGGCGGATAACCCCAATCCCTCAGCAGCATGGCGGAGAAAGGCTTTTTCAGGAATCGCCGCTTGTACTTCCTGGCCTTGACTACGTATATGGGCTCTATTCTCTTCGGTATCCCATCCAACATCTTCACATTTGAGATAATAAAATGCTAACAGACGACTCGTTAGGATACGACACCGGTGTAATGGGTAGCGTGCTAGCCCTCAAAAGCTTCAAAAAAGACTTCGGACTTCCTACCGACAGCACCGGCTTTGCCAATGCCCACAACGCCCAAGTCTCCTCCAACGTCGTTTCATTGCTTACTGCTGGCTGTTTCTTCGGAGCCATCGCAGCCGCCTTCCTCAATGATCGTTTCGGACGCCGCTTCACCCTCATGGGCTTCTCCGTCGTGTTTCTCATCGGCGCGGTGGTGCAAACCACAGCCCATCACCACATTGGGCAAATCTACGCAGGGCGCGTAATAGCCGGTCTTGGGGTTGGAGGAATGTCTTCTGTGACTCCCTTATACGTATCTGAGAACTGCCCCCCTAAGATTCGTGGCCGGGTCACTGGACTCTTCCAAGAGTTCATCGTCATAGGAGTCACTTTTGCATATTGGCTCAACTATGGCGTTGCACTACATGTTCCCGCAGGCACAAAGCAATGGCGCATCCCAGTCGGCATTCAAATCATCCCCGGCGCTTTCCTCCTTATCGGGCTATGCTTCTTGAAGGAATCTCCACGTTGGCTCATGAAACAGGGTCGCTATAAAGACGGCACCGCTGCCCTGGCATACATGCGATGCACCACCATCTCGGACCCCGATATCCTCCAAGAAATCGCCGAGATCCGCGCCGCCATCGAAGAAGAGTTGACCGAAAGTGAAGGCGTAAAGTGGAAAGAGTGCTTGAAACCCGGAAACCGTAAGCGCTTCTTCATCGGCTTCTGCATCATGTTCTGGCAGCAATTCTCTGGCACGAACAGCATTGGCTATTACGCACCGCAAATTTTCCAGACTGTTGGTGTCTCGAAAACGAACGCGTCGCTATTTGCAACGGGCATTTATGGGACGGTTAAGGTATGCACTACGGCTGTCTTCCTGTTTATAGGCATCGATAGGCTGGGCAGAAGGAAGTCCCTCCTGTTTGGCGCCGCGTGGATGGGCACCGCTATGTTTATCATCGGCGGCGTGCTGCACGCTCACCCACCTACAAACGTCAACGTCGTCTCCCACGCCTCTATCGCAATGGTCGTCTTCATCTACCTCTTTGTCGTTGGCTATTCCTGCTCCTGGGGTCCCATCCCATGGGTCTACCTCTCTGAGATTTTCCCCACACGTCTCCGTCCCTACGGTGTCGGTATGGGCGCTGCCACACAATGGCTCTTTAACTTCTGTATCACGGAGATCACACCAAGCGCTATTAATCATTTAGGCTGGAAGACGTTTTTGATGTTTGGGATCTTTTGTATGAGTATGGGGACTTGGGCGTTCTTTTTTATTAAGGAGACGAAGGGGAAGAGTTTGGAGGAGATGGATGTACTGTTTGGGGTTGTGGACGAGAACACGAGGAGGGAGCACGTTGAGCGTGTATTAAATAAGGGGGTTGTGACGGCGGAGACCGAGATCGAGGAGGGGAATAAGGGGATGAGTGTTCAATTGGAGAATGTCGGTGTAAAATACTAGAGTGCTAAGCAAAGTACCCTATTTGGCGAGGCGGAATGTTTGGGGGGACTGGTGATGGAGAAGTAGAGGCGCATTATTACGAATAATATTTTTTAATACTCTTTTAAGGATTGGCTCTGGGTAAGTCTCGGAGCCAGATTTTTGACGGATGCCGAAATCCGCACTTTTGACGACTATTTGACAGCCACAGTAAAACTACTGGTTCTAGCCGACTTGGAAATAATATGCGTTGAAACTCACAGGCCAATGTCTTGGTTGCGAACACATGTATGACAAACGCAGCACCGTCGTCAGATACGCTTTTCTTTCGCAAATTTTGCTCGCCAGTCCCAGTCTTATAGAAGCAGATTTCATTTACACTGAGGCAATTATGCACAGGGATTCAAATTGGCATGTCACAAATAGTGCGACTTCCCACCATTCACGCGGGCGGTACCGTGGTGACTGGTGAGATTGATATGAAGAGAGTTTTGTGGACGCTCTTCACGGTAGACCGCTGGTGCACTTCAGGTCTCTGAGTACTTCGACAAATCAATGATATGGGACGATCTACTGGTCTCCCAATGGACGAAATTAGGTTTCGCAACCTGACAATTAACCAAATTGCGGTAGACATTCCTTGTAAAACCCAGATTATGGGCTCACATCATCACACTCGTTTGATCTTTTCGGCCCAATACATGATCTAAATCGTCGAATCGAACAAGAAAATCTCTAGGATGATGAGATCAGCAGGTGTGCTTGCGGCCTGTCGCAGAAAGATGGCGCATGGCAAGACAACCTTCCCACTGATACCAAGCTGAATCAAGAAAATCTCGAGGAGCAGAAATAGAGAAATACGGGAGGACCATTCGATGCTTTACACTTAGAATTTCATCACTACTCAATATTACTATCTTTGCAGTATTTGGAGACCAAAGAGACGTCAACCCTCACATTGAAAATATTTGTAGAACGCTGTCGACATTATGCTCGTCTTATAGTACGTTACTCAAATTTTCTCGCGAACCAAAAAAGCGTTCAAAGCAGTCTTCCCAATGGTTGGACATATGGTCATCGTCTCACCTTCAGTCTTGCTTCATATGCAGTTATTGGATGAAGGAGATCAACTAGGCAGCGCTCGGAACTGCCTGAATGACAACTTCGAAGCTTTCGTCGAGTTGCTTCATCGACGGAGCTCTCCTTTCAAGGACTAATCAACAAAATTCAGCACAAAGTAAAGCAAAATATCGATACGACTTTGGCTGGCTTATTTCGCTCCTAAAATAGGCTATCATCTGAATTCTTGCCGAGAATCATTTAAAACTATGAACGAAATCCGGGGTTGAAAAGGAAAAGTGCTAAAGTAAGTGTCCGCTATGTTCGCCAAGTGGAAGGAAGGAACAGCTCTTTAATGAAAAATCGTCGAACAAGCAAATTTAAAGGAATCCCAGAGTGCTCCCCTCGTGTGTAGTGCAGGTATTTCAAGTGCTAGGCTCTTGTTAACTAATGTAATCTTGGAGAAATTTTTGGCTTTACCACAAAAGGGGCTCTACAATCTTTGCCCTTCAGATTGACTCGGCTTTGTTTGGAGGGTTTTAAATTAGAGACAGAGCAAATTTCGTGGAATGGTCTACGATTTGGCTGGGCTTGTGGTTATAATATTGGCAAACTTCGTGTTCAACCGGTTGTCCCCGGGTCGCTTCTCAGCACAGAACAGTTGCATATTTGAACCTCTTGGGGGAGGTGGCATCATACGGCGTTCTGGCCTAACTATGTTCTCAACCGTATGCTACACATGGGTTCGACGTCGCGAGTTGGGAAAGTATCGTCATATCATCATTACAAAAGAAAACAGGATTTCCTTTGCTCACAGTACAACGACACTTTTCGTAACCATGATCTCATTGCCATCCCCGCCCTGGATAGGCAAGATAGCCTCGTCGCTCTCGTACCGACCCTTCTCTGCATCCCATCCCTCCCCAGTCACCTTCACACTGTACATATCTCTCCCCCTACCCGTACCGCCATTTTCCGTCCTCTCACTCGCAGTGACGCTAGCGAGTTCAAAGGCACCATCGTTTTTGGACTTGAAGGTGTCTGACTTGAAATAGTTGAGCGAGGAATTACGTTTGAATCCCGAGTTCTGCGTCCCAGTGCGCGAGCGGGAGTTGGTTGTGAACGCTTTGGCTGTTTCCAGGAACCAGTTGAAGAGAGGCTTGAGGGATGGGAGGGAGGCAGAAATTATGCCAAGTGTGAGCTCGATTCTGTAGAGGGGCCTTGTTAGCTTGATTTCTTCCTTGGGCTGCTGGAGAGAGGGAAGATCACATTTGCCAGACCCAAAACCATGCCCCGTGGCTATGCGGATGCCAGTTAGCGTATGTTTAAAGTTGCGGAGCGGCCGTCACAAACCCAGTAGGATCCGTGTCCTCAAAGAAATGGTACTGTAGTGGTGTCTTGTAGATAGCTGCGAAACAAGCTCTAGGAAGTGGCAAGTTCAGAGTTTAATCCACAAACGTTACTTTGATAACTTACAAGAAACCGAGACTTAATATTCCGATAAGTGACGTTTTAGTCCGAAAGTTGATTTTCAATGTCCAGATCATCGGGATTGGGAGCGCGGCGAAGAGTACATCAGTGAAGGCGTTGATGGCTGCATAAAGGTCAATAGCTCTTCCAATGCGTGTGCAATCGGAGGTAACTTACAGCTGTTGAAAACGCCAATTTTGCCAAAGACATTTATGTCCATACATTTTCCTGTTCCGGTTCCAAGTGGTGGTGGCCGAAGGGAGAAGTTCCATGCTGCTGCAACTGGCCTGTATTGGAAAATTATTGGCCCACAAGAGACAAACGTGAAGAGGATCAGAAATACTACACGGAATGTTAGACGCAACTACATTGCTTTAGATGGTAATACAAACCGACCACACCGTACAGGAAACGTCTATATTGTGTCCGCTGGGCGAGGCGGAGCAGAAAGAATGCAATTGACAGCTTGACAAAGCTGACGGCGGAGACCACGAGAAGCCCTTGCCAAAAGAGCAGATAAAATACAGAACTAAATTGCTGAGGAGATATTGCAAATATATGTTTGCCGATTCCATAGTGTGTTCCTTGGACGAAGAGAGCAAATACAGTGACCGCAAGGATCTAGCGTCCCGCGTCAGCCACGGGTACTCAATGCAACTGCGGAAGGAATAGCTCCGCTCACAATTGCGACCAGCATAAGGGCGTCATCGACCCCGAAGACTCTCAGCATCACTGTTCGAACATAGGCGCGGAGTAGAAAAACAAGGAGAGCCAATGCTGTTAAACCTCCTGAAACCGAGAGAAGGTGGGGAGAGGTGTTGAAATCGAGGTACTCTGGCGTCAAAGCAGGTATGTTGGGTGCCTGCCTAGGAAAGAGAGCCATATTGAGGGGTATTCGATTGAAGATCCAGCGGGGCCTCTTCTTTGAAAGTAGATCGAAACCAAAGGCTAACCCTGCCGTTCCTGGCAAGAGGGAGGAGTCTATTATTGTAGCCGGGCCCTATAACGAAATCATGGGCATCGTGAAGATAATTAGCGTTCGGAAGCCAATACTAGATTGTCATGCGACCTACAAAATAAGTGTTCATAATCGCTTTGACCTCCAGACTTTGAAGGTCCGGCGATTTGCGCAGGCGAAACCCTTGAAGTGCTGGCCTATCATTCCAAAGAATTGTTCAAGCTCCACCCTGCCCGCAGGACCGATTTTCTGGTTCGGATATTTCAGAGCGGGTTGCCACTGGACGATAAAGAAAGTGGCTGCTGCGGCGCTGTTGCTGGGGTTTCTAGGCGAGTAATGGTCCACTGAGACGGAATACCCCAAGACAACCGAGTATCAGCCACATCAAGCCCGGATCATCAATGCGAAAATAAGGACGACCATCTAGCGTGCCATAAAGCTGATCTGATCAGCCTTTGGATAATCGCCGCTATGACCCATCTTTTTAAGCCCTCAACGAACCTGTTTTGCTCTTGAGGTAGCAAAAGAGCTCCTCGTAAGTATGAATGTGTATAAGCAGAGAGAAAGAATCAGACTCGAGGACGTCGGTTCGTAAATATGAAATGATGGCACTCGGATTATTACCTACGAAATGTTTGGGACAACGAAAGAACCCACAATTCCCCGCTAAGGAACTAACATGCAAGCCACCACGAGTAGATTTTGGATCAAAAAGCACGGGAGGCGCACCAAGTCTGTGCACTGCACACCGCAGGACGTTGGGGGACTTGGGGCTTCCGGGGAAACGGGTCGCTGAATCCAACTGGATGCCTTTCTTTCGTTGGGGATTAAGGTGATAGATAACGTGCCATGGTCAGATGCTCTATTAGCAGCCGTTGCTCGTTAAAGCAAGCCATGAAAGCCTAAAAATTCAAAGGCAGCTCGAACGACTTCTAGAACTGCGCCGGATCGGAAACAAGGCCTTGAATTTACACATTGCGCAACTTTGGGAATAGAACCGGGTTCCTGGAGTGTGTGGCTGTCCTCAGAGCTCGGATTATCGAGGAGTTTGTCCCCAAGCTGTGAAAACGCATTGTTAGAGTGTCCTACTCCGAACGGCCGGAATTCTCTTGTCCACGGGCCGAATTCGACACTAAATATTATAGAGATCATATTGTCTTGTTCTTCGATATTACAAATGGTCGCTAGTATTGGTGAGTTTATTATAAGCTCCTCCATCGTATGTGGCTGCATCGTTAATCGCTTTACTTTATAAATATTGCGATTACGTCGCAAAGGATCCTGAACGATCGATTAGAGTGGTAGGGTTTTCTCTTATAATACTTCAATTTGCTTCCGTTTCATCTAAATTGAAAAATACCATCTCTTCTTGTATAAATCTGTCACATTTCTGGAATTGCTTTCTAGATACAAAGCTTATTTCGAGCCCGGCACAATACTTAGCCTTCCTTCGAGCTTTAGTGAATAGCCTCCCTAGCCTGGAGAGGCAGCACACCTAGAGAGCGTGAGAAAGTGTCTTAAGTTAGGCATCATAGTTCTCAATTTTTGTTTGTGCTGGGCATTTCTATGGGTGACTATTGTAATTGCCATTGGTGCCGGTTAAGCTCGACTGTGCGCACACATCTGTCTACTCCAAACTGCTTCGGAAGTCTTCAAGGCCATGCTTAGGCCCCGTTTTAGCCAAGGCTACAAATTATTTCTAGATGATTCTATGACAGTCAAAATGCTTCGTCCAATATCTTGCTATATTTTCATCCTTTAGGCGGCAGAGAGGAACACACCCCATTGTGTCATCCCAGGTTAGGCATCGAGGAGCTGTCTAGTATTCTATAATCGTGTCTCAGCATACTACTGGAAGGTATATATCTTACTATCCCCCCCCTTGAATAATTACGAGTGGGTCCTTTGGTAACGCCACACTGAAACTTCGTCAGTATCCCCGAATTAGGAAATATCAGGTGCTTTCGAGAGCCGCTATTCGCTATAGACCCTCGATTGCGTGCCTTTAGTGGTGTGAATCGTGGCATGATAGTGTGGCGAATATTGGACCCACCCATAATTATTCATGGGAGGGGATAGTAACAATCGCAGGTAGTAGAAGCCCAAGTTTTCCCAAAACGCCTTTGTAATATTTACAAGAGAAAAAAACGACCAAATGGTATGTACAAATATCCCAAATCCAAAACCCCGGTGTATGCAATTCCTGGGTATTTTCCTTTGCAAATCGCTATTGCGCCTTCCCATCCTTGATCTTATCTATCATAATCCAACAGCAGTGCTACTTGGAAAGTAAAACGTCATGAAGACCCTGACGTCCCATCTCCATTACCATTAAAATTTCCACTCCCATCTCCACCTCCAGATCCATCACCTGTCTCTCCCTCCCCCCTTGCCACCCCCACATACCGGGGCGGCAACAACCTCAGAAGCGCCCCATTCCCCCTCCCGTCCTCCCCAGCAAACCTCCTCCTATTAACCTCCGCCTCCACAGCCCTTATCCTCGCCTCCCAATTCCCCATCCTAGCAATCGCATCTTCAGTCGTAGCCCGCCTCTCCATCTCCTCCTGTGCCGCGGAAGAAATTTGAGATCTCGCTCCTGCATCGCGGCTTCTGCCTCCTCGGGCTCGGCGCCGGATGCGAGTGAATGGGGAGGCCTCGTAGGTGACGCCGTAGACTTCGTCGTCTGTGGTGATTATTTCGTGGGCGGGTATGGGTGTTGAGGGGGTGGCGGTTCGGTGAGGAGGTGGGTTAGGATCTTTTGAGTCGTTGGATATGGATATTGTTCCCTCGTTCTCCTCATTGGGAATCTCGTCGGCTGTAATGATGTCGCCAGCATCAGCATTGATCATGCTTGCTGCGTGCTTGACGAATGCCCTATTGCCATAGAGATAGTTTTGCCCAATAATGACCCCCTTACAATTCTCCATGATTTCGAATTCCAGCTCGTATTTCTCCTCACTTCCGGCAGGACTCCAAATAGCTTTCATTGCTCCTAGACTTGGTGTTGTGCTCCCGTTAATGAATCTGAATGTTCCCCGTTCACCTCTGTATTTGCCATCCCACCCTAGTGCGAGAGCTCGTGCAGGAGAAATGGCGTTAACTTGACAGCCGGTGTCGGGGATAACGTATGATTGCTTGTCGTTGAGTTCGCCGCTCATATTGTTTATGATATTGCCTGTTAAGTGACAGTCATAAATAACACCGCCCAAGCCTCCCGATGAGGTAGGAGGGCCTGGAATAACACGCCGCTTGATTCGGGAGTCGTTGTCGGTGTTGAGCTTCGTGAGGTCGAGAAACGGGTTTCCGAAAAGGACGTCGTGGACGCAGTTCTCGAGGACGTGGAAGAGGAGATTGTGGACTTCATCTGGCGCATCTTCAAAAACCCACTCCAGCGATACGAAGCCAATGGTGTTGCCTTTGGTGCCGTCGGGTAATGTTATTGTTCTTTCCTGCTTCTGGAAGATGATTCTGTTTTGCATTACATAGCTATGTGAAAGTAAATTGTATGCACTGCCAGAATCAGGAAATGCTGCTGTTTTCTGTCCATTGAGTGTGCCGGGGACTTCGATTTTTGTATATTTTAACTTGTTGACGTTGTCATTTGGGAGAGTCTTTTTCGACCAAAATGAACATCGTTGAAAGAGGGAAAGCCATACAGCTCTTCTGCGAGCGATATACGAGAGCCAATCGACAGTATCGAGCAGCTGGCGCCAAATCTTGCGATCATAGCATCTCTTCTGTTGCTTTTCCCCCCAATGCGACCTTAGAATATCTGAAATAGGGCGGTAGGCCCGGTGGCGAGAACAAGGGAGAGCAAGTCCTAGCAAACGTTCCCTGGTACTAAAACCTCCCCAGGACCTCAGACGTCGTAAAGTAAAGGGACAAAATAAGGATTTGTGGGTGAGTTCCAAAGAGTCCTTCTTGCTCAATGGCTTCGCTATATTTACAGGTGAGGACCCTGCAGGCACCGAAACATAAGTCTCAATAACATCATCGTCGATATTTCGCATTTTCCGATGCCAGTGGTCTTTCCAGTCACCCAACTGAGCAGAGGGTAGACGATCGATATTGTTGAGGTATTTCTCCCTACCAGATCGTTGCAGAACGAAGTCATCGAATTCAGTAATGCTTCGATCTTGATAAACTGCTCTTGGATCATTGTGAGGGAAATCGTCTTCCGGCAGAGAGTCATCGCCGATTGCGCCAGGCCAGGTCCAAACTTGGTATGCGAACGCATCGACATGAAACGCAAACATCCCGTCAGAAAGTGAGGATCTCCATGACTGACGTTTATCGATGACGAAACGGTGCCTCAAATAGTTGGCGTTCCGTTTCACATACCACATGTGCTTGATTTTGATTTCTCCCCATGTGACATCTATGTAGTTGCATTTGCCTGCATTGAGGTTCGAGGGGATATCGCGAATGAGGTTGACATTGGGTAGTTGTTTGAATCCGACAAGTTGAATGGTCCCATCCTCAGCCTTAAAGGGTCTTTCCCAGTTCTCGCCTCGGATCTCGAAACCTTCCCGCACAAGATTCTTGTTATAGGCTTCTTTGTATCTTGCATAACCTGCAAGATGCTCATGATGCTTCGCGAGTTCGGCCTGCTGTTTTGCAAGGTGTCTCGCTGCTTGTTTTTGCGCTTGTTGTTTGAGGACTGCTTTCTCTTGCTTTCGCCGAGCCGTGATTGCTTCTTGCTCAACTGCGCGAAGATCCTTTTCTTGTAATCGGCGTACTCGTTGGGTTTCTTCCAGCTGCTGCTGGGGGTTGTTTTTGGCCTTCGGCCTAGGTTTTGAGGATCCCATTCGGACTGCCTCGTGTCTCTTAGCATCTGGATATTAATGCGCATGTGTATAAACTTGCAGATCAGTGATAAATTGCGAGCCCAGGTTGGTGAGAAGGAGAGTAGGAGGTCTTGTGTTAAAACTGCGAGATTACAGTCGCTATTGAGGTCGAATTCGACATCCAGTGGAGGATATGAGGCCTCACCTCGTTTGTTTGCGCTATATCCGCCATTGGCTGGATTCGCTGCACTGCCCCGAAATCACGAGGCCGAGGGGCAGTCTTCCTCCCTTTAAACAGTTGCTTCAAGAAGGACTTGGCACAAAGCTGCCACCATTAATAGTTCGGGCAACAGATCATTACCCTCACCAGCCTCCAGAAATGCCAAATACGAAGAGAAATTGCCGTCCCTCCTTTGTGTTTGGAAACAAGTGCGAGAAAAGCAGTCGGACAGGACAAGAATCATAGAACTCGAAGGTATCAGCTGATGACGTGGTGCGTCAGAGACAGACTCTCATACGACCCCAGCATCCAACGCCTGGCTGATTGCACAAACGGAAACTCGATGGCTTCATCGCCCAACAACCCAAGATCCGATGTAGAAAGCCAACCAGCAGTTGAAGAATACCTCCCTGGCTTTGCCGAATTCTCGGCCTACATCGGCAGCAGTCGTGACCTCGCACTATTCAGCCGGTTTGACACTTTAGGTGCTCGCAACTTATTGTACTTCCAACTGGAGCTACTCGCTCTAGAGGAACAGTTGCAAGAACATGATCAGGAAGACAGGCAAATTGTGAAGAAGAATAGCACTCTTGATACAGATGGGAGATTGGTACCTGGTGGGCCAGCTTGGGAAGTTCTTCTTCCTGCTAAAGATTGGAAGAGCTTTGTGAGACGAGCGCCGACGGAGGAGAATAAGTATTGGAATGAAGAGTCGCCACCACGTTCACAACCGGACACTGAAGAAGGAAGAAGTGAAGTGATGGTTGAGCCGACAAAGCTTAAGGATGAGAGACAACATCGAAAAATGCTAACGATATTGCGGATTCGAGAAGTATTGAAACAATACCGTTCGTCTCACCCCAACACAACTATGCATACCGAAGTTCTAACAACAAAGCAGAAGAGGCACTCATTCTCCATGCTGAAGTTCTCAAGCTGGACTCCCCTGGCAGCCGTCCCCTAAAAGTCTTCCAAGAATGGTTCAACAACAAACGCCCATTCATGAACACTGCAAACAATATATACACCAAAGACGACATCATAGCTTTGCGACCGAATCCCACTCAAGACCGGCTCTCCAAAACACTTCAAAAAAGATTCGGATGGGCATTCCAAGTATGACCCTCTTCACTCTTTCAGCTTGCAACTCTGCAATCTTCCAACCTCAAAAGTTCTTACTGATCCCAACCCCCACCCCAGGAAAGGAAACCCATCCCCAAATCTTGGGGCTCCATGACATTCTACTCCGAAAAACACATCAGCCGCGCCGTTCAAATCCTCAGCGTGCTGTTCTCTGCCTTCGCCCTAACTGCCGCCATTATCTGTCTTCATTATGCGAAAACGATAGCTCAGAGGTTTGGAGCTTTTGGAGGGTTTATTTTTGCGTTTGTGTTAGTTATTGGGACGTTAACTGATGCGAAGACGTCGGAGATGCTAGCTGCCACTGCTGCGTGAGTTTGAGTTTGGTTTTAGGGTTAATTGTAGTGGATGTGCTAATGTTTTGGCTTTTAGGTATGGCGCTGTGCTGGTGGTTTTTATTGCTACAGGGTTACAAGACAAGGGAAAATGTGACTGTGATGTCCCGTCACCGACCGGGGGTTGAATAGACGAAAAGAGGAAAGTAAGGATATACCTTGACAGAAGCTTGTCAGTGTCACTTAGTCTTTGCAAAATACAGCTAGTATACCTTTTATGCACAATCGTTGTTGCAATTCAATATCAAAGACCAACTCGTAACGCATTATCTAAAACATCTTGCAGCAGAGGCTAAGTATACTCGCAATCGAACCAAGTCCATATTTGCGTGACATATCATTTTGCGATCGAGAGTACACTATGTGTAAGCATTGGCCGCTTTCGCGTGCGGTATCCCTCTCCTAAACGGGCAGAAAAGTTAGTATGGTTAAGAGGGTGACTGCCGAGCGTATGGATGAATCAAAGACTATGTATAAAGGGCACCAGGTGTTTTCCAACTCAAGAGAATGGATAACTAGTGAACTTGGGGATGAATAAGTGTACAAGGAGTTGCGCTACCGCCAGGATCTCCTTGCTCATTCTTGAATTCTAGTATCCACCAGTCATCTAGCCACTTAAACATTTCACGTTGCATGCAGTCTGGCTCTGCACCTGGTCTCTGTTGGATAGAATGGTAGCGAAGAGGCTGTAGCTAATTTCTGTCCTTCGAATCTGGTCAATCATTCTTCGTCCATGGCTGAAATCGATTCGGTTAAATACTTCGCCCGGCCCGAAACCAATAGAGTAATATATATTTAGTAGAATACGTCAGAGTTTATAATACGCATACGAAATTCTTCACCGCAGCCGTTTCCAATACTTTTGTAGCAATCAGGAGTGAAGGTTGCATGATCTCCCAAACTGAGGTGTTATTCCCAACCCATCGCTCCCTCCCAAACCCCCCTCGATTACGTAATGGGTACGTCCTTAGAACTTGTCCTGAAAGTTGTTCTTCATTGTACCAGTGCTTAAGAAGAGGGCGATTTCTCTATCGAGACTACTGGCTTACAGTTTTCGCGAGCTAACCACATCGAGGTCTGCAAGTTCTCGTGTCGTGAAGTCATCCAACTGACACTTTTGATTATCTTCTATGGCTTCGCCACTGACTGGTAGTGGCACTTGGTTGCTTTGAGCTGATGGAGTCGTTGGCAGTGATGTCTTGATTGGTGCGAAATCACTTTTATTTGGCTATTGTTCGCGCCTCCAAATTTCCTCACAAGAACGGACTTTATGCTGATAGGCCTACCCGGCTATAGCAGAAATTGTAAGACAGAAAAATGACATAGTTAATATTGTCTGCCCAAAGATGGTCAAAGTCAGGGTAATAATCGAAAGGCTTCATTTCACTATCTTGGCTGCTTTCATCTGTGAGTGGGGGAACAAAGAGATTTGTGCCTGATAAAATGATCCCTTTTTAGAGATACCAATCTCCAGGAAATCGTTTTTGGATAAAAGTTGTAACCCCTTTATTTATGGGAGCCTCAAATTAATTAAACTCGACCACTGGTACGAAAAGTTGGCAACTACCCCAATGTAACGAAGTATATTCAGCTGGTCGAGTGCCTTTTCATTAGAGAAATCCTTCTCCATTTCCTAGCCATCATTGTTAAGACGACTACGGCAGTGTATTCGCATGTGTTTGTACTTGAAGGCAACGTTGGACGGATAAATCAACTGAGGTGGTCAGCTATGGGAATTAATATTACTTTCGGGAATTGAAGGACGAAAGGAAGGGACAGCAGCTTATTTGTTAGAGTGTTGTGCTGTGGAGAACTATTGGAAATATTCATTGAACGTTGGATTGGTTGCCGCTGGATAACTTGGCGGCGATCTTAAAGCCGTATGTTCTTACAGGAGAGATCGAAGGGGAAAGACAGTTTTCAGTTACATAATATTCTTGCCATGCTTCACGGCGAGTTGTTTCCTGGATTCGGTATCAGCAATCGCGATATTTAGATAGAGAGATAAGAGGCCGACTCATATTAACCAGAGTAAGATCTTGTAGTAATTATTTTCATTATCTGCTCCCACTTATAAGTGCGGAGGGCAGACATAAGGCGAAATCACGTGCGTGATTTACGCGAGGGAAAAAGGGGCATGCTCGGGAAGCCAGACAAAGGGAAACATCATTAGGGCACCTAGAATATTGTCCAATCCATTCTCTGATTTCCAATATTGTGCACTGGCATGTTCAATTCTAACCGGTCTTTTTTTCACCTCGGCCAAGCATAAAATGCTTGGTTGTATGGTGCCTCTTCAGCCTTTTCAATACGGAAAGTTCCTTGTGGCGACAACCCATCCCAAAACATCTCTTGGCAATTATTTTGAGAGCGAGAGGATATTAATGTCTTAGCTTCGCCATGTCAGAAGTTGCAAAATCTGCCCCGCGGAGCCTCATCTACTGCTTCAGGTAACCTTGCGGCTGGAAAGACGGCAGGTGATTGTACGACGCTGTTGTCTCCCCTGCAGCGCTGAGGCTGATTTTCAGCAGAACCCATCGTCGTTCAAACAATATGAGGATGAGGCGTGCAGAATATTGGGCTGGGCGGCAAAGATACGACCAAGGATGGCCGTGAGCTCCATTTAGAAAGTGAGATGCTCTCAGCTGCGATATTCTTTCTTCCTTCCTTCCTTCCTTCCTTTCTTTCTTCATCGCCATCTCTGCTGCCCATCTGTTTTGTATCATTCATTTTCGCCAACAGAAAAGATGGCACGCATAACACTCCTTAAATTTGTTTCCTTGGTTGCATTGGCTCTACAAAAAGTATCAGCTTCCACTGCAGCTTCCTTCCTCCCTGGCACAGCCTGCAGCGGACAAACTGCAGTTGTTTCTCGGTCCTCAGGCCATGTCGATATATTCTTCAGTGGGTCCGATGGAAGGGTTTACACCGCTTCGCAAGGTCCGGGAGATACTCACTTCGGCGCATCCAATGTGATTGGGAACATCCAAGTCGCTTTCTGCTCCTCCGTCTCCGCTATTTCTGCTGCAGCGGATAAAATCGACATTTTTGTGACGGGAGCGGATACCTTTGTCTACACAGCATCGAGAGATTCGGATGGCTCTTATTCAGCCTGGACACAATTGGCAGGTGGAACCGCGAGCCCGGGGACAACTATCACTCCAGTATCAGCATCGTCCGGGAACGTCCAAGTATTCTGGGCCGGGACCGACGGCTACGTGTACGAAGCCGAGCTGCGCTCTAGCAATTCAACTGCAATCGCACTGACCAGCGGTTCAATAGGAGCTGGTGGGCAAATCACTGCGATTCCGCGATTCAACAATCCGAGCACTGCCGATGTATTCATTTGCGGTGGGAATGCACATGTCTATCATATGCTTTTCGAAACGTCAGATAGGACCGGGACGTGGACCGATATAAGTTATCCCGGAGCTCATGGTTGTGATGGTGGTAACCCTGTTACACCGATCATGTTGCCAAACGGAGATCTGCACTTGTTCGTAACAGACCAAGACAACAATATCTACACCGCCGTGCGAACACAGTCTCCCGCAGTTGACTTTTCAGGCTGGACGAAGACTGGAAATCTCGTTGTACCTAGGCAAGCACCAATATTCGGCATCGTCTCCAAGCCCAACACCATCGAGCTGTACGTCACGGCGCAGGATTCCCTGGTGTACTTGTCGACGTGGAACGGAGGGTTCAGTCCCTGGACCGCGCTTGGAAACGTATACACAATGCCTGCCGCGTCTATTTCCGGAATCTCCACCGGCGACACGACGTTCCAGCTCTTTGCAACAACACTCGACAAGAACGTTTCGACGATCAATTGGAACGTTGGTCAAAGTCTATCTTGTGACTGGTGGCATGTCGGCGCTTCTCCAATCGCATGCACTGGCAAAGCTTCCGATCCAGTTGTCGGAAGTGGGAATTCATCCGTATCCAAGTCCTCAGCCAATGGGCTTAGCATTGGCGTCGGATTCATAATTGGGATGATCATTGGAGTTGGGATTACGGCTGCTGTGGTATTTTTCTTGCATCGACGGCAGAAGGCTCAATTGGAGAAAAAGGCTTCCCTGGATACACTGCCGAGCATGCCTCCTTGGGGACACCCAACAGACACTCATCACAACCCTGTTGAGATGGATTCAAAGTCCGATGGGCAGTGGAAGGGAGATAGTACAGAACATCTGTCGGAGGTCTCTGGTACACCTGTTCACCGCTGATCGGCAGTTGTCGCACGTGGGTTTGAGCTCACTGAGCCGTTCGGGCAACTAGATATGAGTGTAATCAGATGGAAATTTGGCGTCCTTGGCATAGCCGGTGAGATTAGTGTTCTTTACTGTGTATGTATTATAAAATATGAAGCAATTCCTTGGGAAGGACCGAATGTCATTTGCCAACTCGCATCCATAAAGAATGTTGTCCCGCCAGTAGGATTGTGATGAGTGGTGAGCACGCAAAACTCAGACGTCAGAGGAAGTGAACGAGGGACGGAAGTGTACGGGAGATGAAATTGAACGAGATATCAACTGCACGTCACTTGACTATTGAAAAGGTCCGGGAGGGACGAAAAAAGCGAGCCACTGCATATTAGAGCCACATTTCAGAATCATTCCTCAGTACACACGGGCAAAGTGAAACTCTCCAGCACGCGCCAACCACCCCCTTACCTGCCCCCTATCTCTCTCTCACCCGGGCCCCTACCTCCCACAATTCTTCTCACTATAAACAGTAACCTCATGAATATACCTGATCATTCCCCCCTCCACACAAACTCGGGGTCTCATTCGGCTTTATCAATAAAAGGAAATCAATAAAGATATCCACGCCGCCTAGTTCCTCACCAACCACATACCTCCGATTGCCCGCATGGAAAGTCTCAGGGAACTGCGGCATCTTCCACGTATTGATTGTCCCGGTCGCGGTGCCGGCGTATGAGCCGCCTTCGAGACGCGCGCAGGGTACGCCGTAGGGAGCCTTGACGGTGCTGTCGCCCCAGGAGTCTAGGTACGCGTCCCATGCTGGTTTGGTCACGGCGTAGGTGTCGCGTTTGCCTTCGGGGATTGAGGCCTAGGTTTCTTGTTTGGATCCTGGGCGTGCAGAGTTAGCGTTGCTCTCTTGTCTTTCCTTTGCAGAAACATCAAGATTCAAGGGGAATTCGCGGCCCTGGGTGGGGTAATCATGGGGAGTGAAGAAAAATTGGGGAGAGAGCGAGGTGAGGGAGGAGCATGACGGAAGGAATTGGCACACTTGAGTTGCCCAGCAGCATTGAACGCCCAATCCCCCTCCTTCGCGAGAACAGTTTGGATACCCGTGATCTGGGAGCCGTCGGCGGAGAAGAGCATGCGTGTATGGATGGCATACGGCTTCTTATTGCTCGCGCACGACAGCTCCGCGAAGTCGTATACTGCGTCGTGTCGATGAGACTGCGACTAAGATCAATCGTGACTGCTTGGGAGAGAACGCCTTTTGCTGATGTCCATCGCGACGTCGTTTTCTAGTAGCTGGCGTTACTAGATTGACCAGGAGGATGGGAGTGCCTGCCGCTTGGGCTTCGACTAGAAGGGTGTTAGCTTCTGAGAGCTCGCTTCTAGTATGGCTTTGGGAGGAGAAAGAGAAGGGAAGATATACCGTATGCGCCGGCGGCAGCTTGGAGCGTTGCTCGAGTGCATGTTGCTGGGGCTTGGGAGGCAAGGCTGAGGCCGACCAAGAGAACTGAGTAGATCATGACCTTCAATTTCTTTGCCCTTTCTTGATCTTAGACATTACCGTAGTTTTTCTTCCCTTTAAATACGAGGGGCAAGTGGGAAAGCGGAAGAAGGGCTCCGAGATTTAAAGGAATCGGATTCAGAGCTTTGCCCAGCCCTTGATTTGGCTCATTATTTCCGGCTACGAGACTTGCAAAACGGCAATCCGGTAATTGAGAAATGACAAGGTAGCGAATCAATAGGTATTGCGATTAAAGTTGAGATGTTGGGATAAACGAACGCGGGGATGACGTTTATATTAATTGGTCTGCCCATGCAGATTAATTACCCCTGAATTCCAATACAAGCGTAGACGTGGAGGCTTTGCCGAACAGTTATCATGTTCAAATATATCTGATATACCACTTAGCGGTGGAGGATTAAGCATATAAAAGGATAAGCCCTCACACTTCAAGAACCAAAATATTCCGGCATGAATCTCTCAAACATAGATGCGAATGACTCTGGCTTTTCAGGGAACGAGAACACTCGTCCTGAATATGTTCTGGGTTTAGGGGGTTTGGAAGCAAGGGTCAGTCCTTGTGAATTGGTCTTGCTTGGGTAGGAAAGAGCTTGGGAAGGACTGTCTGTGGAGGGAACTGCCAAACTCGAAGCTTAACAGCAACAAAAAGTTGACAGCGATGATGTCGTCCGGTCACCATTTGCAAGTTCAGGCGAGGCGCAAATGGTGAGTATCATTCTCTGCACCACTTGGTACAGCTAATTTTAAAGAAAGAGCATCAGGAAACAGGCGGTTCAATGCCACTTGGGAACGTCCAACTCCTCTCAATCATCATTAACAAGTTCAGCGGGAAAGAAGAATGGCATGGACGTCATTATATTACCCCGTCTTGAGCGCTCGATATGCAGGGGGTATGTCTTTCCTCCGCATGCTCTCTTCATCCTTTTCCATGTATTTGCTCCCCACTTGTGTGATACCCTCAAGCAGAACGCCACCGCTATGCAAAATCAAACCCTTACATTCCCCGCCTTGCATCTCTCAACCCACGACTGCTTATTCGGTCATGTACAGCTTCGCCATCATCTCCCATGTATCGAAAACGCTTCTCTTCGACGTTGTGTTCGTCCCCTGCTCAATGAACTGGAGGTTGCCTACATTGCACCAGTTGTTGACGTTCTGTATTGTGTTAGCAAAACCCCTCTCAAAATCCAGCTATGGACGACGACTTACCAGGCAACTCAGATACTTGCACCAACTACACGATTTCCGATAAACATAGAAATTATTCAACAACAGAATGAAGACGATGAACACGAAAACCAGGCTGCCAGCTCTGACGAGCCACCAAGCCCACCATGCGCCTCTTCTGCCCTTAAAGAACCCAACTGGACTCTTGACGAAGCCTACTGCCCCTCCACCACGTTCATCCGGGGCGACTTTGTATGGTGTGGTGCCTTCAAAAGGAGGCTCGTATTCATTTCCTTGATTTATACGTTTTCGAAGGGCGTTAGGAGAGTGCAAGATGCAGATCCCGAGGACGAGACCCATAAAGAAACCTCCGATATGGGAGAAATTGTCCAGCCCGGGGAGGAGTCCGAGGACGAAGGAGATGACGACGTCGAGCATGATGAAGGCGAAGTCTTTCCATGGGCTCTTTCTATCGTTCCAGGTGTAAAGGAGGTCGAGGAGAGTGAGGGCTAGGATGCCGAACAAAGCACCCGAAGCACCGGTTGAGGAAATTCCTGTCGCGGCGAAGTTGCCTCCTAGCACGAAGCCAAAGATTCCGCTTGAGAAGTAGACGAGGAAGAAACGCAGTATGCCAATCTGCATTTCGATTTCCCTGCCTAAGGTGACTTGCAGCAGCATGTTGAACCCAATGTGTATGATTCCCGCGTGCAGGAAGATGGGAATGATGAAGCGGTACCACTGATCTGGAGCGGGATAGTCTGCGATGTTCGTAGATGTGACGGTGGGAGGGAATACTGGGTCTTGAGAAGCAGTCATGCCGAAGCCGCAGAGATCGTGGAGCTGACAAAGAGCACTGTCGTTGGTGGTTCCGGGGCAGGGCCACTGGATTGCGCCGCCTTCAACGCGGTTTTGCAGTCCGTCGATGGAGTGCATGCACGGCACGTAGCGGGAACCCATGTTGATGAGGACGTAGGGGGAGGGTCCGATCATTGGGTTAAATTGGGGGTGGATTTCGATGGGGGAGCCGGTGAGTTGTGCTGGGGAGGGTCAGCATCGCCCCCAAGCATGATTAGGATATACATACAATTTTTCACAATCTCTACGATGAACACCACTACCTGGACAGTTGTGAGGATATACACAAGCCATGGAATACGCTTTCCCGGCTGCTTCAGCAGCCCCATCCCACTGAAGCGATTCTTGCGTCCTTGCTCCAGTTGTGACGGAGCAGGCGCATCGTAGACGTGGTCTGTAGAATTGTTGTCCTTGTTCGGCATACCTGGGTGATCTCGTAATGGGATATCGTCTTGAAATGAAGGTGATTGATCCGGCCGTCCGCCGCCTCCTTGTCCATAGTATCTCGAATCCGCCCCTAGGCTGGTCTGACTGTCATATTGATGTCCTCCAGGTCTGCCCATCGGGTACACATGGTCGTCGAACGGGGCTTCGAACGGCGATGCTCGATCTTCTGGTCGTGGAGGATTCGTGTGGTAGGACGGTGCTATCGAGGGCGCTGACTGTTGGCTGTAGCTCTCGTAGTAAGGCAGCGAGGGCTGTTGCTGTTGCAGCGATTGTGGGATTGATGGAGGGGGTAGTTGTGATGCAAGACGTGGTGGAGGTTTGTAGTAGTCGCTCGGTGCCATGATGGGCGATGGTGTTGACACTCAGATATCTCTGAATGCGATGGTACTCGTGTGTCTTGGAGGCGAACAGGAGAAGAGAAGAAAGGAGGGAGCTCAAACGAGGGTCCAGAGTGCAATCAACAACTTGTACCAAAGCGCGCACGCATGGCAGATTAGAAGCTGCAAACGATCGGACGAGGCTCTGTGGTGCTGAGCAGCGGTTTCGTAATGCCTGCGGGCGGAGTGAGGAGGGAGGGAGTTGTGGTTGGGTCAAGATCAGACTTTCGCTGCACAGCCCCGGCCTGTTGCTAAAAACAGAGTTGTAGGTTTCAACTTCTCGCTTACAGCCACCCACGTCCAAGGAGTGGCGGACGTGAAGGATGATGTAAGAATGATTGTTTTATTCGAACGTACGAACAAACCTTGAACTGCTTGAGGAGATGATTCAGCACTGTTTATTTTGCCTTAAAACACGTTCTCGGATGCAGCCCTGAGCACAACGTGACCGCGCCCCTTTTGCTCAGGCGTCCCCACTGCAATTCCGAGTCTGACTGATGTGGATCCTGACTCGCATGTTTTTGACAGTAAATTCAAACTCAATGGATTCACTGCGTAAGCCTTGGAGAAGGTATGGCGCTTCGGGATGGATCCTGGAGGATAGGGTAGATAAATATTATTAAAAGCAAGATTTTGACTTGTCAAAGCGAAGCTTTAGTTACGCGCGGTGGGCTGGTGTGGCAAAAAACTCACGTGACTACGAAAAAGCACAATCACGTGATTGAGAATTAAAAACTTAAAAGAAAACTAAAGGGGGGTTTGGGGGGTCTCCCCTCAAGATTAAAGACTCCTTTTAGTTTTTCCCACTTCCTCTTTTTCTTTAAGGGGTCTAGGGTAAAATACACTATTACATAACCCAGAGAAATATTTGACTACCTGCCGGAGGCTTAAGGGGGGATTTGGGGGTCCCCCCCCCCAAAGATTAAAGACTTCTCTTGCCTTCTTTTACTTCCTCCTTTCCTTGGGGGGCTTTGGGGGCCTTACTCCAAGGATGAACACTTTGCTCTTCGAACTAAGCCCTCTTTTAAAAGAATGCTTTCTCTTATATAGCTTTGTTTCGGGGGGACCTCTAAAATCACAATAGTCTCTTAAAGTGGGAAAATCTGGCTTTTACTTTTTGCATCTGCACCTGCTTATGCGGCCCCTGGTTGTTCTGATAAACCAAATCAGCGCACTCGCAAACCACACGAGTCGGAAAATTCCTCTAGCCATACACAAATTTCAAGTTTTCTTGGCGACTTGGAATTTCGGGCAATTCTGCCTTGGTCCTCATCTACGGAGTATTTACGGCATCTCTCTCGGGCCGCTTCCATGCAATTGGGCCGTGACGCCGCGTAGTCTGGTGTCGGCAGGTGTCTCACGCCCGAGAATCAGGGCAACTCCGCCTTGGGCGACACTTGCAACTCAACGCACTAATCTGCGTCAACGGAATGACGGTGTAAACCACCATTTGCCTCAGAAGTTGGGCAGCTTTGCCTTGGGCGTTGAATACCAGCGCCACGGCGTCCGTATGTTGCGTCTTCCCAGCTACCTGCACTTATCAATCTATCAACTGCCTTCATTCTTGGTTTCAATTGGTGCGCTCATGGCGCATCTTATTGAAGCTTACGAGTTATGTCTTCGAATCTTCCATCTGGGCAATTCGGGCAACAAAGGATGCATCTATCCATCCTATTCGGTGTGAATCGTACTCGGTGAGCACCCAACACACCCCGTCACGTCGTCCATGGCCATATAATACCATGATTCTTCCCCATTTCGATTTTCGTCCACAACGAAGTGCTGCCAAAATGTCGACTTGAAAAGGAGGCAAGGCCCACAGAGTGATGTAAGTTATCAATTGTCACCTCAGTCGCCATGGCAAATTATGCTGACTTTCCCCGTGCTCAACAGCCTTACCAAGACTGGAACACCTTACCTCAGAGTGGGCATTTCCTTCAAACCACTTCACCGAGGCAAATATTTCCTAACGCCAACAAAGACATCAGCTCTCTACCTCACGGCTCTCCTCAAGCAACCTTTGACTCTATATGTGAGATAAACTCCAGACTCGAGAATTGTCACTTCTGATTAGTTCTTACCACTGATTTAATATAGTTTCAGGCGCTTTCCTTCCTGAGCTGCCCGCAGATCAACAGGTTGTCACATACGGTATGTGACAATATATTAAAACAATTTCTTGTTCTGCCGACAGCCCTCAATCCCAATTGAGATTGGCTATAGTGGGCCATCCCCATTTTACTTGGTGTCAATCTCGCTTCACTTGCATCTCGACTTGATCTCACCTCTCTTATCTGTTTACTAATTTCGCCAAAGACTCAAACTTGAACAACTATTTCTCGATCGACAATTCGATAGACCAAAGTGGTGAGGAAATCGGAACCCTTCACGTCACAGAGAATCGAGTCAAATCGACTAATCTATCCCCAGATGCGAACTACATGCCTCTTGATGAGGCAGAACTGCCCTCCTGCGTAGAAGATAGACAGAACTTCACTATTGAGTACGTTTCTTGAACTTCGTTTGTCCTCAACGTCCGGGTCAATTTGAGACAGCTAGAGAGCTGTGATGCTGACGAATCCCTCACAGCCCCCAACTTTCTTCCAATCCCTATAACACTTTTGCTATGAGCGCCGCAAGCTCAATCCCCTCTGCTGTCACAGAGTCGTCTGTCCAAGATGGTGCCGAACCTCAAGTTACGCGGCTGAGGTGCACATTTCCAGACTGTTCGCAAGATCACGATTTTCCCACCGAGTCCGCCTTACGGTACATCTGTTCTTTCCTCACCAACCTTCCCACCTACAAGTACTTGACTCACAATGTTTAGCAAACACCAAGAAAAGCACAGCAAACCCTACATCTGTCAAGTCCCAAATTGCAAACACCCTCGCTTCGGGGATAAAGGAGGTCTAGACCGACACAAGCGCGAAGTGCATGGCTCAAAAACCTATTGTTGCCCCAATGCCTCCTGCAAGCGTCACACCAAGGGCTTTCCGAGGAAGTACAATCTCTTTGAGCATCAGAAACGATGCCATCCTGCTGCATCGGCGTCGATGCAGAGGTCTCTCAATCGTACCCATTTTGATGTGGTAGTGCCTGAGGAATTGGGAAGGGGAGATGAGGAGCCTTCATCGCCAGAAATGACGATCACGGGAGATGTGGCTAGATTTGGGAGTGGTAAACTTCAAGAAAGACTGGAAAGGCTCTGTGCGCTGCGAGTGGAATTCGAGAGCAACATCATGGAACTTGACGGCGATATAGAAGCCTTGAAGAGGACTTTGGATATTTTTGGGGAGTTTTTACCCTGAACTGTCAAGGTATAAAATAAGTCCTTGCGCAACAGTTAAATGGCCTTTTGGTGTATGGTGTTCCATGATTTGAGTGACCTTCACTTGTGTTTGGTCTTGATTCGGCCTACGCCCGTGAAGTCCGTTGGCGAGAGGAGAATGAGGGATTTTGGAGGGTCTGGCACCATTTTCTCAAGGGATGCTGCAAATGATGGCGTATAGATAAGGGAGTAAGAATACGTTCAATTATTTTGACCAAGACTCAATCTGCGAAGGCCTCAAACTCTTGAAATCTTGCGAATTGGAATGAGCGAAGGGCCACATTTCCCACCCAACAGATCTCTGCGCCGACCCCCTTCAAAATGGGTTCTCATTATTTTCCCAATATACTACGACTTGGAGATTCTCGAAACACCCTGTTGCCCTGACCCAACATCAGCTCAGGCCTCAATCTCCACCAACATGTCCTCTCTCACAATGTGAGCCCTCACGAGTGTATTCGCCGGGAAGATGCCTTCACAACCGAACCGCCAACCGTGGGCACGACTGACTTCACAATACTTCAAATCCATTCACTCCAAGCCGATTTGTGCCTGGTAGACATAACAGCTCCGCGTGGTATATTTCTGCTCGTATGGATACTTATCGGTCTCGATCAAGGATTTGGGTTAGGACTGTTTGTGTTTCGTCTTGTCGCTTTATGAGTGAAATGCAAACGATATTTACACAAGAGTAGGAGCATCTCCCGTCTCTAGTAAACACGGGATGAGAGTTTGAGAGGGCTGCTGACAAGGAGGCATAAACGTTGGGATTTATACTACCGCTCCTCACATAGAATAGAGATGCAAAGTTGTCGTGCGAGTCTCCCACCAGCATCAGTTGGGCGATTATTTATGATTACAAGCAAGTGATACGAGTGTTGCCAATTACAGGGAGACGATGCCCCAATTCGCCATGATTGGCTTAATTCTGGTTAGTGACTCACACGATAGGGGCCCAATTCAAGAGCGGGATTTGACTAAAAGTCAATGCAACTGTGAATTTCGCGGCTGCCTAACTCGTTCTGCATCAAAACTGAAGGACGCTCAACATCTCCGAACTGAAGGCTGTGTCAAGTGCGTATCCCTTTGTCCGGCGAGATATTGGCAGCGCAGCTTGATTCTCTCACTTGCCACGATCCCACTCTGAACCCGTCTCTCTGAACTGACCTCCCCTATCCATTTATCGTCGTCGTCATGTGATGTTATATGCTCCCAATGCAGCCCGCTAATAAATTATCCCCTCTGAATGCAGCGCAAAACCGTCCTTGATCGATGAACGCGCCAGGAGACGACTGGAAGCTGTTGCGTGAATCAGTTTGAATTCCTCTCCCAGGCCTAAAGCGGCCCACCATTGGATTGCTCAAGTAGTCCAGCCACCAGTCATGGGGCTCCATCCTCACCTCATGCAACAACAATCGTCCTCACCGACGCCCATAAACCATGAATTCCAAGTCTAGTCATATAGCACGCCGCGGGAATGAAATGATGTATTGATAACATGACGAGCGGGCGAAAGATGATCTGTTCGGTGGGCTGCATTGAGTAGAGAGGAAGCGTTACTGAATACTGGCAGCACATCAGCTGGAGTTTCTCGTTGGCGTGGGCGAAGAATGAAGTGTGTTGGGGGGCGGAGGACGTTCGGGAAGCCATTGCGACAGCCTCTTCGTTCGAATGGTCGTGAAGAGAGATCCAGTTCGGGGCGAAGTTGCGGGAAGAGGTTGGTAGTAGTGAAGTGTTGTTGCAAGAAAGGGACCGTCTTGGGATTCATCACTCACCACCGATACACCCTCGCTGCCTTCATCTCATGCCAAATCGCCGTATTATTGACACTAAGATTATCGCTCGCACCCGCATAGAACCGGACACAAGTCCCACTGCAGCTCTCGCAACCAGCTTTGGAAGGTAGGTAGCCATGCCAACAAAGAGAAGCGTCAGGAGCACCACCACAATAGTGTTCAGCACGAACTTCTCCCCCCGCGTCAACACATACGGCGAGAAAGTAACCTCGTATTGGTAATACATGAGCTCAATCTTTCCTAACAGCGTGGAGAGGACGGACTGGTTCCGGCGCATCGGAGGGCTGGCTGTGGAAGGCATCGTCGCACGACAAGAGAAAGACAGCAGGAAAATGACGCGAGGAAATCTCGAGGGAGAACAATAATAGGAATCGCACTTGGGGCTACTGGCGTGGTCATATAAAAACAAGAGCATGTACTGAATCAATGCAATGCACAAGAGTGGAAACAAGAGGTGAGGTGTTTCGCCTTATATCTCGGACTGTGATGTAATTCCCAGAATTTCCGGCCAGGAAGGACCCGAAGGGCACAAATGCAATCCCTCCCCACCACCGCAGGAAAGCCAAAGCTTGGGACCGACTAAACCTTACTTGTGATCATGGTAACCACAGCAATTGGCTCCTTCACTTCCTCTGAATTGAGATAGTGTAAGTTTGGTGAGTGCCGAGATGCAACGGTGTAGAGCCTCGCGCGGAAATTTTGACCTAGCTGGCGGAGCATCCCATGATTCAAGATCTCGAGGATTCCGGAGCTTCCTCCTCGATTTCTGCTGGCAAATAAGGGAGAGATGGCCTGCGTTGATGGTGCTGCGCTGGCAACATTAATTGAGTGCATTGAGGCTATCCCAAGGGGCCTGACCTCATGGTGAAGATGGGACGAGAGAGGACGTTTGGGCTCAACTCGCATTTTGCCCAGCAAATTGTGCTTACTAAACTCCCGTGATGATTATCAACCCCTGCTCTCACGTCGCGAGCTCGACGCGACAAGCCACAGAAATGCCATTGCCCCATACCCATCACAAGTGCTCAACCCTCACCATTGTTGACACCTCCAACTTCCGCCTTGAAGCTACAATTCCTTCACCATGGCGACACGACTCCCGCAAAAGCGGATTCTAGGAGAATCAACCAACACCCGCCGAAACATCCCCTCTTCTCCCAACTCGACAAAGAAACGCAAGCTCGAGGCGTTATCTTCGCCTGCAGCGCGCTTCAAGAGCTCGCAAAATGGACCCAGGGGCAAGGTGGGTTCGAGCCAGCCCTCGTACTTCGAGTCTGAGGTGCTGGAGAAGATGACGCAGGATATGGCGGGCTTGAGGAAGAACAATTCCGAGAGGGATCAGGAGTGGGCGCGCCCCAGCTTGGCGGACTTCAATGCCGAGGCGGACAGTCTTATCTTTCAGCAGATTGAATGTGAAGAGGGTACGCTGCATGATGGAAAAGCTACGGTCAAGTTGTTTGGTGTTACGGAGGTGAGTAGCCAGCCCCAGAAAACAGGCTTGTACTTATTGTAGTAGACGGGCCACTCTGTCATGCTGCATGTCACCGACTTCCTTCACTACCTCTACGTTGCAGCTCCGGATTCGTTTACGCCGCAAGATTGCGAGAAATACAAAACTTTCCTCGAGTCGCAGATTGCTCAACACCAGCCGGCGATCCACTCTGTTCAGATGGTTATGCGAGAGAACTTGTATGGCTTCTCGGGCAATATACAAAATCCATATCTCAAGATCACAGTCACCGACCCGAAGTTTATCAACAAGGTGCGAAGTACTATCGAACATGGGAATGCCAATTGGAAGGGAATGTGGAAAGGTACTGGTGATGGTGGAATCTTGACATTTGATAGCATTCAATACGTTCTGCGGTTCATGATTGACTGCAAGGTAAATTTTCCCTGGAGGTTATCGGGGTATTTCTAATAACTGCATAGATATCTGGCATGTCTTGGGTCGAAGTTCCTGCGAAATCATACAAGCTCATCTCCGAACATCAACGGCACTCCAATTGTCAAATCGAGGCGGAGGTCACATACCGAGATCTGATAGCACACAAGCCAGAGGGAGAGTGGGCAAAGATGGCACCTCTGCGAATTCTGTCCTTCGATATTGAGTGCGCGGGACGAAAAGGAGTGTTCCCAGAAGCCAATCAAGATCCGGTCATCCAAATCGCCAACGTAGTCACTCGATACGGAGAAAAGAAGCCATTCGTCCGGAACGTGTTCTGTCTTGATACCACGAGCTTGATCGTCAATACGAAGATCTTCGAATTTAAGCGGGAAGAGGAGATGTTGATGAAGTGGCGGGACTTCTTGGAGGAGGTAGATCCAGATCTTATCATTGGCTACAACATCTGCAATTTCGATTTTCCGTACCTCCTCGACCGCGCGAAGCATTTAAAGGTCAATGGATTCGATGCTTGGACTCGATTAAAGAATGTGAGATCTGCCTCGAAGGACACGAATTTCTCTAGCAAGCAGATGGGAAATCGAGATACGAAAGCGACGAATACTAATGGTCGATTGCAACTCGATTTGTTACAACTGGTTCAACGAGATCACCAACTCCGAAGTTACACACTCAATTCTGTGTGTGCTCAATTCTTGGGCGAGCAGAAGGAAGATGTACATCATACCATGATCACAGAATTATTCAACGGAACCCCTGAGTCGCGACGACGGTTGGCAGTCTACTGTTTGAAAGATGCTTATTTACCTCAACGGTTGATGGACAAGCTCTCGTGTCTTGAAAATTACACGGAAATGGCAAGAGTCACCGGCGTACCTTTCAATTACCTCCTCGCTCGTGGTCAACAAGTCAAATTTGTCAGCCAACTGTTCCGGAAAGCTTTGGAGCAGAAATTGGTTATCCCCAACATGCGAACCGACGCTACCGACGAACAGTACGAAGGTGCCACAGTCATTGAACCTACCAGAGGATATTACGATGTTCCAGTCGCTACCCTCGATTTCGCATCTCTGTATCCCAGTATTATCCAAGCGCACAACCTGTGCTACACAACACTTCTGAACAAAACAGCTGTCGAGAAACTGAACTTGGTCAAGGATGAGGACTTCATCGTCACCCCTAACGGTGATATGTTCGCCACAATCAAGCGGAGGAAAGGTCTCTTGGCTCAAATCCTGGAAGAATTGCTCACCGCCAGAAAGCAAGCAAAGCGAGAACTCGCAGTCGAGACCGATCCATTCAAGAAAGCCGTGTTGAACGGCCGACAACTTGCTTTGAAGATCAGCGCCAACTCTGTTTACGGTCTTACTGGTGCAACTGTTGGAAAACTTCCCTGTCTTGCCATCGCCAGTAGTACAACAAGTTACGGTCGACAAATGATTGAGAAGACAAAGGAAGAGGTCGAGAAGAAGTACACCATTGCCAACGGGTACACCCATGATGCTCAAGTCATCTATGGTGATACCGATTCCGTCATGGTCAAATTTGGTGTTAAGGACTTGGCTACGGCCATGAAGTTGGGCGAAGAAGCAGCACAATTTGTGTCTTCGAAGTTCATCAAGCCCATCAAGCTTGAGTTCGAGAAAGTGTACTTCCCATATCTCTTGATCAACAAGAAGCGGTACGCTGGTCTATACTGGACGAACCCAGATAAGTACGACAAGATGGACACAAAAGGTATCGAAACAGTCCGTCGAGACAATTGTCGACTTGTCCAGAATGTCATTGAGACTGTCCTCCGCATGATCCTGATAGATCAAGACGTTCAAGGTGCTCAAGAGTGAGTTGATTATCCCATGAGTTGATTTTCATTGCTAACGATCCCTAGCTACGTAAAAGACACCATTTCCGACCTCCTTCAAAACAAAATCGACATGTCCAAGCTCGTCATCACCAAAGCCCTCGCAAAAGCAGACTACACCGCAAAACAAGCCCATGTCGAACTCGCTGAACGAATGAAGAAACGAGACGCCGGTTCCGCTCCGACACTCGGTGATCGTGTTGCGTATGTGATCGTCAAGGGCTCGGCTGGCGCGAAGAATTTCGAACGGTCCGAAGATCCAATTTTCGTGCTGGAAAACAACATCCCGATTGACACGAAATACTACCTCGATAACCAGCTGGCAAAACCCCTTGGCAGAATTTTCGAACCCATTCTAGGAGAAACCAAGGCAAACAGTCTGCTGGCAGGAGATCATACCCGAGCAATTTCAGTAGCAGCCCCCTCCATCGGCGGGCTCATGAAGTTCGCAAAGAAAACCTACACCTGCATGGGCTGCAAGAAACCTCTGACCTCCGCGTCTGAAGCCAACGGCGCCGTGTGCTCGAACTGCGCACCGCGAGTAGGCGAACTCTACCAAAAGACACTGAGCAAAGTGTCCGATTTGGAAGTCCGGTTTGGGAGGCTGTGGACACAGTGCCAGCGCTGTCAGGGAAGCATGCATTGTGAGGTTATCTGTAGTAGTAAGGACTGCCCCATCTTTTATATGCGGATGAAGGCCAAGAAGGACGTGGAGGATGCGGGAAAAGAGTTGGGGCGGTTTGATAGAGATGCGTCTGTGTGGTGAAAGGAGAGGTGGGGAGTTTCGGGTGGGTAAACGGCGTTAGGGCTCGATTTGGGATCTCACGGTTTGCATGAGATGGGAGGGATAAATGATGTACGAACGAAGTATGTTTAGAAGACCTCGAATAATGTCCCCTATTGCATTTTCTTCTTCACCGGACAGGTGCGTAGATAACGGCATAAAGTAACAAGGGCCTGTGCTAGGTCTCTATTCACTATTCACTAAGGAACTGGGGATGAGATGGATGCTCTACGAGATAACCGGCCACGAAAGATATGAACTCGTGGCGGCCGTCTCTGTGAGAAGGAGTCGTTAGCCGCCATGGTCTACAGCAATGGTAGATTTACCTTCTCTTTCCACGGAGGAGTGGACACAAAAGGCTGGTCGACAAGGCAAGGAACACCTAAGCGTCAAGTGGAGCTTTCCTCCCCTTTGCTTTTGCTGGGTATATATATCGCCTACGAATATTTAGAACATGACTTGACTTTCACGCGTCTTAGGCCAAGCTGTGGGCGAAGAGCTGGCACTCTCGACTGATTGAGACCGAACAAATCGGCCTTGGGTCCATCTCAGAGCTTGCCCTCCGATGCCTTTGTCGCGACTTGCCACTGGTGCAAAGGAGGCTGTTCGAAGTGAAGCTCGTCTAAGAGTCTGCTTCCAGCTCCAACGACCACACGGGCAATGGCCGCAATGTTGTTGGTTATACTCTAACATTCGTCTTTTCTATTTGGTTGAATGCCCGGCCGAGGTTTGTTGACGAAGCCTTATCTACTCGGTGAGCTGCCCTCGTATAGCTGTCGAAGAAGGCCCTGAAGAACGTCACGCCCTGGGCGAATCAAATCTCGCATCACTCCTCCCACTCTAAAAGCGCAGGAAAAGCACAGCTTCATTTTAAAACTCTCATCACCCCCAACTTGCGGTCGCTTGAGCTGGGAGCATGAGTTCCATGTCCCAGAAAAAATGACAAAACAATCAGATCTCGAAGCTGGCGTCCATCCCCCAAGTATTCCAGCACCAGTACTTGTCTCGTCTCTCACGAGGCAGGTTACACACCAGGCAGACCTCAAAGCTGGAATCCACCCCCCAAGATCCCCAGCCTCGGTGTCTGTCCCAAGTTCCAGTGCTATGCAACAAGCAGGGGTTGAGACTGGCGCTCACTCGCCAAATATCATGCCCGGCGACTCTGTCTCAACCGCCGTGGAACAGATTCCACCTGCAAATCAACCGCATCAACGCGTACAAACAATGAACCCGATGGAACAGGCATGGCAAGAATCCTTTCGCCCAAAGAGTCGAACCTTCGGACCAGCAGAACAATTCTTCGAAATACTTCAAGCTGGGCTGGACCATGGAACACGCACCCATTGCGTCTTCTTCTGTTGGGAGCTGGGCGTCAACGACCAAAGGGCTGCCCCATTGTTGATTGAAGATATTGAGAACGAAGTCGAGATATATCAAGACTTAGAGCGGAAATGGTGTGAGAAGCATGGACGGTGGTGGAGATATGTCCCTTTCTATGGAATGGTTGCTGTAGAGGAGGTAGATGTGCGTATGAATATTTTCAGCATGAAGGGCTGCTGACTTCAACATATCAGCTCCGTTTCGTGAAAAAGAACAACCATGACTTTTCGGTGCTTGTTGGAACATTAGCCATCCCTCAGCTCAAGGCACGGCTCACGAGCGAGCTAGAAAAAGCCGACGCCACGGTTTATCGATCCACTAATCCTAACGGCCCTAGTAAAGATTGCGAGCAAGATATGAAGACTGGTAGATGGGACCATTACAATACCGCCTGTTGGGATGAAAGGCTGAATTGCCCGAATACTTGTGCTTTTCAGTCTCAGCGTGAATGCGAACGGAAACTCAACCACTTGGGGCTTCTAGGCTTGCCGCTATTATGCTTTCAAAATCCCGAGATAGCGGCTGGTCAGAGGACATTACAAGGTCTAGCTCAGGAGAGTTGTATATATTGTACTTCGTGAGTTGAGAAACTGTAGGTCTGGCCTGCGGGGGCACTGACAAATGATATAGGGAAATCAGAGGCAGCTCCTATTTTGCGTCACGGATAGCAGAAGCCAAATTCAGAGGCCTGATGATTCGCTGGGGCTTCACAGGGATGCGGTGGCCATTCGACGTTCCTGTTGTGGCATTGATGATAGTCACGCTGTGGAAAGCGTGCGGAGGAAATTGGGAAGCTGCTTTTGCTGCTGGCGGCTTTTTCATTGTGCTGGTTTCTCCTTTATCGACTCTATGCAAGTAGTGCCTCCCGCTGCATACCTATACACCAAAGAACAGCATATTTCAGGAACCAGAGTGAGATTAGCAATATCTTGGTGGACATTCGGAGAATAATTCTGCTCTAGCAATACAGCTATAACTTGGACCGAAGTGTAGAAACTCAAAGGAAACCTCTACTTTCTTAAATATGCGGAAGCATGAGATTTGATATACATAGCAGGCTTTGGGGGACATTGGGGAAGGGGGGACTTGGGAAGGTCGAGGCTAGAGCTAAGGCGTGGGGACGTCCAAGTGGAGAAACGACGACCAGTCCTCCTTTCCCAGTTCACTTTCTTTTCCCCCTTCTTCTACAATCTGTTTTTCGATTTCCTCGACAACAACATCTTGTCCATCATTCATTTCCTCGTCTGCGTCGTCTGCCTCGTCATCGTCTTCTGTGTTGTTGACATCCGTTTCGTACTCGCTAACTTCCCACTCACTTACAGGGGAGTCGCTTGAGCTCTACACCACAAAACCTTCTATCCACTTCATCTCTGATTCCATCTGTGCAATCAATCTCAACGATTCTGTGTATCTATGGGACTTGCGCCATTTTTCGATCACCTGACGGTACGCGGTCAAAGTATCGTCAAAGCGACCTTGCTCTTGATAGCAGGCTAAGGCTTATAGAAAGTAATTACCAAGGCGTAATCAACTCCTCGATCGCTTGAAATTCTCATCCGAATGTATTTCTCGTACCACCCAGTTGCCTCCGCTCTATTGCCGAGCTGCGCAAGGACATTTGCAAGGCCACACCACGGATTTGATAGTTCGCTGTTAAGCCTTTCCATGTTGCTAGTGGCATAACAGACGACCAGGTCTCTGAAATGTTTTTCGCTCTCGACTAGTCTTCCAACCTCGAGCAAGCTCTGAGCCCGTTGTTCTTGAAGGCCATATACTAAGTATATTTGTTGCGGCGCGAGCAATGGAGTAAATCGTTCCAGTGCAAAACTTGTTATCTGGTAGCTTTCATCAAACGATCCGTTGTAATTTAGCGCATATGCTAACTTATTCATCATCGCGCAGTTGATATGATCACCTTGGTGAGGATCTTGGAGTGAGAGCTGCACGGCAATCCGGAGGAGCATCTCCCCCTCTTTCTTCCTCATTTGAGATGTGGTATGGCCTAGATGAGACAGCGCTTGCATCGTGTTCGGGTGTCTAGGACCGTAGGACACCAACGATATCTGAAGAACTTGCCGGCGGATCCTCTCGCTGTATTTAAGTTCGCCTAAAACTTCGCCTAGCCACGCGGCTAATTTAGAAACACGAATGGCGAGTGGGTGGTGAGGTGAAACCGATTTCGAAATTGTACCGCGAAGATTGTCAGTCAAACGCTTCGCTTTGGTATAATAACCTTGTCCTTTGAGCGAGATAATCACATTGTAGATCCCCTTCGCAGTTCTAATGTGGTTATGTCCCGCAGTCCGCCGATATATGTCCACGAGTTTCTCGTACAGGAATCCAGCTTCTTTGTATTTCCGAACTTTGAAAAGTACGTCCGCAAGCTCTTCCATCCCGGCCATAACGGCCGAACTATCCTCCGGGAACTGCTTTTTCAATTTTGCAACTTTAACCTGGAGCTCCCTTTCTTGCGTTTCAAGATTTGCCCAGGCTGGAGTTGCTGAACAATGTCGCTTGCAGGAAGACTTTCGAGGCGGCGAAGGGGGAAACACGTATATTTCGGTGAGAGGGCTTGGACTATACCCGCAAAAGACAAGTTCGATATTCTGCCAAGGATACTGTGGACGTCGCAATTTTGACTGCTCCTCTCGCGGTCCAAAGTACTTTTGTGCTCGAGATGAACGAGCCTGACAGAAGTGTTCAGTGGTCGCTTTCTGATTCGGGTGGAAGACTTCTTGAATTTCTGTGAGTGAAAGGCAGGAAGGTTTATCTGACTCTGGCTTCTCGAGAGACAAAGCAGGGATACCAGATTCAGACTCGATTTTCAAACGTGCGAAGAGACGAGATAATCCAGGAGAACCGGGAACATCGACCTTCGACCAGTCAAAAGGCAACGCATCTTGGCATATATCCATGAGTGTAAAGTCTTCAGAGGAGTGCCCTGACCACTCCACATTGTTGTTTAAGTTCACAGGAATACCCGGGGCTGGAAGCAGCTCTCTGAGATCGGACACTTGATGTCCTTCTGCCTCAGTGATGGACAATTCTGTCTTGGCAATGGGGAACTCTGCTGTAAAGGCGGAAGCCAATTCCCGAGGGCTATAGCCAACTATGGAGTCGACTTATCAATCAAATTTCGCTCTCAGTAGGCATTCCGACTCACCTGAGTTGTCAGATTCTGGCAACAGAATCGACGATCTCTCACTCAACTCCTCACGATATCTCCTTCTCCAATTCCTCAACTTCCCGGCTTTCAATCTACGATCAACTAGCTGAGGCACCGGATCGTTCACGCTTCTAAGAAGACTTGGCAAGATCGCGCGCTCTCACTGCGTGACGTTCTTCCGGAATCCCCATTTCTCGACTTGCCTTGAAAATTGTCGCTTTCTGGATCTCAGTTAGCTCTTGACCGCTGCGTCGGGGTTACGACGAGATAGAATCTTACGTTGGCTCAAAATCATATTCATCCCGGAGAATCTTCGCAAGATAGGGAAATGGCTTGCTCTCGTCGATATAGATCTGCTTGATCAGCGGCTTGAACGTCTCCCATTGCTGTCTTGCCATCTCTCGGACTCCCGGTTGTCCGGATGGGAATTCTTGGAAGACGAACGGATGTTGAGACGATATTTCAACGGGTGTAGTTGTCTTTGGCTCGACGAACGGTGAAGCTGCAGATAAGGCTGCAGGAGAAAAGTACTCTTCGAAGAGATCCATATTGGTAAAATTAGCTTCCGTTGCCAATGCCACGGCGCAAGGTAAACTCAGGTGCTCGAAATCTTGGTCTTGCATCTTCAACCAGTGATGACCATGGAAGGGTAACATATAGACAGTCTACGAGGTGTGGTTCTTGAGGCTCCGTGAAGTGATTTGGCGGCAAGCGATTGGGTGTGCGCAAAAGAACCGCACTCCCGATTTAGATGACCAGGCGTTTTCGGGCGTAGATGGCTTGACCTATCAAAATCGACATTTGCACAGCCACCGGAAGGGAGGGTAATTGGTGACCTTTGCTACCGGGACCCTGTTGTTATTGATCGAGAGAGGATGCCGACATTGAATCTGTAGTATTAACACCCTAAAGCTTTCATCAATATTACTATTAGCAATCTTGGATGTTGCTCTCCCAATTTCCTTGCTGCTACTTGCTGCTATCACTAAACTTTGGTAAGTGCTTTGTACATCCCTTCATACTTTGGCTGTTGGCTGGCATTAATTTTTAGCTCTCCAAACTTCACGGTTCTGTTGAAAGTTCGAATGGCTTACCTAGCGTGAGGCTTGTCTAGAGAGAAATTGTTAAATGTTAGAGAAACAACCCCCAGCGCTTTATTCACGATGAATGAAAGGCTTGTCGACATTATAACCGTCCTCAACAGTATCTTGAAATTCAAAACCATGTGCATCTCCTCCAAGGAGTACTTTCTCTTCCTCTACAGCTGCAGACAAACTACTGGTAGGCTCATAGACCAATATCCTAAGTCGACTCAGTTTAATGGCCAAGAGAGTTCATAAAGAGGCTACATCACCTCCGCTATCCTCTTAATTTGGGTGGTGAGAGACTCAGTCCAGTGAGAAACCTAGATACTTCATGTGGGTAACCCCTCGTCCGGTGAGACATGGTCCGTACTAGCAAGGGGTCCTGGCTCAGACTGTAAAAGCGTGTCTTTGCTTATAAACATATCAGTCATCTGTCTCCTTTTTGCCGGCCTGCGGCGACTCAACACCTCGTAGTACAGGCTATCAAGCTATGCTCTCTGGAGCATAGGGCCAAGATTGAGTTAACTATTGATATACTATGAAAGCGATGCTTCATTCGAACGCTCGCATAGTATTATATAAAGAGATTTTCCCCTATTAATAATCCTTTACGACTACTTCTTCTCCTTCTCGAGGCTCGCAATAACGCGACTCATTCTATATATATTGCAAAGGGAAATCAGGATGAACACTATGGCTTACTCAACTCGCCTACTCCCTTGAGAAGGCTCTATGGTGGAGAATCCTATAGGGGCTCGATAATATAATATAGCGGATAAAAGGAATAGGGATCATGGGAAGGGAGGAGAGGGAGGGGGAGAAGTATAGAAGACTTGGTATTGCGCCTTTGTATATTGTCAATATGCTTGTCTAGGGAGATTCAGATTACCTGGAATACACTAAATGTAATCTGGTGGCCACCCTAACTAGTCGTGGAAAGTTTATAGTTACAAGCCTTTGGTACGCTTGCTCATGCTTGAAATGCTCTCTATAAGGTCTACGGGGGAACTGTAACATCGCGGGAATAGGGACCCGGGACTACTTGAGAGAGATGTCTTTTTACCCCTTGCGGTTTTTGGCTTCTTTTATATGTAGGACTCTGTATATAAATATTCCTCTAAGCTTAGCGTGTCCCCTTCAGGAGTTTAGTGGCTAACCATAGCCCGGACATAAAAAACTATTATTCAATCAATCAATCAATCAATCAATCAATCAATCAGTCTCCTTTTTGCCCTGAGCCAGGCCCCCTTGCTAGTACGGACCATGTCTTACCGGACGAAGGGATAGTGAGGGCTATTGAAGTCTCGAGTAATCTAGTAATAGTTCTAATATTAACTTGATTATCTTGTTTAGACGAAGGAACTAGGGGTTGGGAGCCAGAAAAGCCGTTCTCAGCCAACTTGGATTGGATTCGAAACACAAGCAAAGAAGCGCCGTTCATATATGACGAGGGATGGACGGTGAATGTAACGGCTGGTGTCACATGGTTGGTTTTAGCTAAGGTTTCAGGCTAAGCTTTAGGCGCTCGGAGTTTCAGTGGTTTTGGCGTTACTTATATATCCACCACCACACCTCACTCTCTCCTTCTCTCCTTAGCTTTGGATTCTGCAAGACAGGAAAAGGGACCTTTATGCCTATATTCCATTGCTCCGCTCCGCCGTCATAGTAAAGCCCAGACTTTTGGAAAGGGAATAAGGAAATAAAACATATTATTCGCCTCACATATATAATAGGACCATTGATTCACTTATAGATGTCTTATACAATGAGTATGTATATCTGGGGATCCCTCTCGGCCTCCAAGTGCATCTACCAATTCTCTGTATATAGTATATTAAAGAATAACGCAAGTCATTTAAGTTACTTATAAATATTCAAGAATAAATCGACTAAAATACTAGTAATATTATACATTTAATAGCTATACTAAAGTAAAATATTTATATATAGTTTAAGTAATTCAAATTAAATTTATTAAGTTATAATTCTTTTTAATATATTTAATTTAATAAAAGATTATATATTTTACATATTTTAAAATACAATTATTTATTAAATTATTTCTTTAAAAATAAAGATATTTAATAATAACTAAAGTTAATAATATATATAATTTTATTATTTACAGTTTTATATATATTATAATAAAGCTCGATATATAAATTTCTTAGAGATTTATTAATAAAATATAAATTATTATTATTTAAATAATATATACTTTAAATCTCTTATAAGTAAAAGAGAAAATAAGAAAATACTGCTTATTAAAAGAATATATTTAATTATATTAAAGCTTTTAAATAGAAACTTATTTCTTATTTATCTTTTATACGCGTGCTAAGAGCTAAAGTATAACAGAAATATAAAACCTTTTTTTATAATAAAATTATAGAAACTAGCCTTTCTAAGAGCGAGAAAAGAGAGCTAGAATGGAATCAAATTCTTGATTCCATAGTCTAAGTTCAAAGGCTGTACTAGTTAGTATTAGCGTATGCTCTAAAAAGAGTTAACCTCCGCTGAGCCCGAAAAGTACTACTTTGGACAGATAATCCTTTATTTGGGAATGCTACGCGACTTGAGTAGAGGGATCTACAAGGGTTAGAAGGATCACTCTGATTTTGTATACAATTTGGTGCATGTAAAGAGGCCCACACTGCGATAATGATAAAAGCAATAGTGTGCTCCTCGGGATACTGGGGATTTCAAACAAATCGAATGTATTTATTTCTCCAAACCTCGCTATTGAAAAGGAAGTTATTGACAAACCAGGCTTGCTATTTGTATCAAGGACGTAGAATCATCGACCTGCCGGCATCCCAACAACTTGTTTGGGTGGTAAATCTCAGGGCACGTCCCTTGCACTCCATCTTTTGATTATCGGTTCCCATTTCCAATAGCAAAAGGTCCGTGAGGAAATAACCTCTTAAGTGGGGCAAATAACGTTTGTTGCCACGAATGGGGCGCTTGCTTGCTCGCAGTGATCAATGACGCCTACGGTATCTCCCTCAGTGCATGCAGAATCGGTGTAGTAGTGAACTTCAAGAAAGCAAGAAAGTTAGCCATATTATCGGATATAAAATGTGGTTCGAAGATGAGCTACTTACCCACGCAGTCAGCAAAAGCGTCAGTAACTGAGTCAGCAGTGACACTGACGACGCTGCTGAGAACAGAACGGATTGGTTGGCAGAGATTCACGCCAGCGAAGGTAGCCTCGCCATCAGCTGTGCCAGTACATCCTCCGCCACTGTAATAGGTCTGCGTAGCATAGATTGCACCTCCTGAAAATTGTAGTGCGTTAGATTTTGTCAACCAAAACTTATTTCGGATTTGAGGGAGACGCACCTTGACGCTTCTCTTCCGTTGGGGCTGCGGTCGCGATGGAGAGGAGGATGAAAAGCGAAGAGATGGTGGTTGGGAACTGCATTGCTGGTGGCTTATTTCGGTTGTTGGTGAAGAGCACTGTTCCCGGAGGGTCCTTTCTAATAAAAAACAAAAAAAGATGTCTAAAAAGGTGTGTTAATACTTGATTGCAGAAGGATTCTGTTTATTGGGGGGTTGTGCTAATTTATAAGGTAGGTTTACATCGTATCTCTGACGTAAGCTTTGTAGACGAGCTGTGATCGGAAACGTTTCAAAAGCGACTGTTAAAGCAACTGTTGGTTACCAAACAATCGAGCAAGATCCAAGTGATCAATCACGAGTACAATGATGACCGCCCTAACCATAGGATTGCGCTGCTGGCAAGTGCGTCAGCGGGGCTGAAGGCATCCTCACATCAGCTTATCAGGGGATCGCCGTTCGTATCAGAACCCTCTCGTCTTCTCTTACATAGACGCAGATCACGGGCTACAAATGTTGAGGCTTAGCTCTGTACGCTCGGCTCGGATTGGCTTACGAATTGCTGGAAAACTGGGGGAATCCTCCCGTGCCCTATAACCCACCGGTAAGTGCCCAGTTGCGATATGGAGGTGGAAAGGTGTTCGCGTTTGAAACATAATGTCAATGATGAAAGAGGCTGACGAAAGAATTTGACAGCGTCTTTTGAAGATACGAGCACTGCTGACATTTTGCAGGTGGCAACTTAAAACACAATATTTATCCCCTAAGTCTACGTATTTGCAAAACATTCCGAGGAACTGTAATAACACGATAAGTCACAGAATAATTGGTGCAGTTGAAGAAATGATTGTATTGATGAACTTTCTGCTAACCCTTGCTTTTTCACACTGACCTCTCGTATACATCCCAGGAGATGGAGGATAAAATTTATAGATGGATTTCAAATCGCACATGAGAACCATTCATACGCCTCCCAAAACTTCCGCTTTCAGCCTTCTTTATCTCGGCGGAAGCGACCGTGTCTTCCCTCACCCTTGTAGAACCTCACCGCTCTCGCAATACTCTCTGTGTAGATATGCTTAATGCCTTAACCTAGCCTCATCGAAAATATCATCTTCAAACAATGTTGCATTATACGCAACATAGTTACAACTTACAAGGCGCCTTCTCTTGGTAGAACTTGGTACTTCGACCCTTATCCGAGCCTCTATGTCGAGACTCGCCCGTCTCAAAACAATTACCAAACAAGATTCTGAATGGGTAGAACAATTTTACGCATCGATGAAACTCTCCCATTAGGAAAGCGCACTTTTGTTCAATGTCCCAAGCTCAAGTCAAACATTCAAGAACGAGGACACGTTCTGAATATACGCTCAGCTGTTGTACTGTACATTCAAATCTCTAGCTCATCGAAACCCGTTACCTAAGCACCTCTCTACCCAAGATTCAAGTCCATTGTCCCACTATGACTGCATACAATGAGGGACACCGCCAAACATAATACCTTAAGTCCACACCCGCACCTCAAGGATCCCTAGATCCAAACCGCATGCGCTTCCGAGATATCCATACCCGTATCCAAGACCAGTTCTCGTTCATCACTTGACCGCTCCACCGCCGCCGTTGCTTCTGAATATCTCACGTCAACTTGTAATTCGGGGACCTCCGAACTCCACTGTTCCACGACAGCTGGCACATTGAAATCCTTCGACTCCGACTTCCGCTGTTCCACATCCGCAGGAATATCCACACTCTTCACAGTCACTCTCCTCAGCACCGTATTCACCCGTTCCAATCGTGACTTGCGCATGTGTTTGCAGCGCCTGCAGTCATTGCCATTCGGACAGAGGAGCTTGCAGGGACTGCTCTCGTTCAGGTGGTACTCGCAACCTATTCGCATGTAGTGGAGGAAAGGCTTCTTGCAGTATTTGTTCGGAGCAGCTGGCTTGGAAGGCTTGCAACCCATCGTGGCTTTGGTGTGCCGAGAGAGTTGTTAACTTGAATACAATTATCGTAGAATCAATGTACGAGAAAGAACTGGGTCAATCGTTTGTTCATTGGTGTTTTACCTTGGTGGTTGTGGTGTTATGGAGGTGATGAGAGTGTGTGGGTTTGCATTTCTTTTCGGGTCATGCGTGGGTGATTCACTCGATAAGGAAATGGAAAAGTCACACGTTATTCTTCCATGTGATGTCGGTACATTTAAAGTCCGCTGTAAATATCCCATACTCCTACAAGCGGCAAGCAAATCCTCAACCTCCCCCCGAACGCCACATCCATCGCCGGCCTTGACATCATGTCGTGCTGCTACCAGCACCAGCAAACCTGCCACTTTAGGCTTCTTGTTCTGTCAGTTGCTGGAACAGTGATGTATGCATTGCTGGTAATTTACATCTTTTTCGCAATTCTCTGCATTTGCCCCGGTCGTTGTGACAATTCTCTATGCCACGGCAAGTGTACCGAGATGATGCAGGCAGCGGAAGAGACTACTCTTGTGGGATTTGAAGTTGGTGATTTTTTTTCTGTTAGAGCGCGAGGAACCTTGCACTGAGAATTGGTGTCGAATTGGACAGTGTTTGTACCGTGGACATGTGGTACAAATGAGATGTATGAGCTGGCTTGAGTGAAGGTCAAGAGGTTTTCTGATATGCTTGCGCAATGGGCAAAGAATTAACATACGCATCATGGCTAGGTCATTGCCACGTTGTAAAGCATTGCTCCAGGTTATGGAGGCTGAATGATTCACGATATCAAACACACGGAAGCCATTCGTGGATGGTACGTTGTACGAGAAGAGCAGAGTATATTGAGATATACCACGGGCTTCAAAGACCCCACGGCCTCTTATAGAACAAAGACATCCGCTGCTGCCACCCAAAGACGTGCCATTGTCCGAGAGTTCGTCATTGTTACCGAAGCCTGCACTGTACAGATCAGCAGTGGAACCTTTGAACCTTCTTTCGGACTTGGCTCACCTTGAATCAATCCTTCAAAGTTCCACGGCGTCTCAGCTCACTCTTCATCCTCTCTTCCATCTCTTTGTTTGAACTGCGGATGTACCGGCAGGTGCCACAGTCTCTGTTGCAGCCATCCTTGTTCGGGCAGTCGGCGACGTGGGCCTTGCAAAGTGGTTGGAATCGGGGGACGTGGCGACCGCATTTCTTGACTTGTGCCTCGGGGCCGCTTGCTGGCAGTGCTGAGTGTGTGTTTCCCATTGTGATGTGATGTCGGTATTTGTGCTTTTTCGGTGTTTGTTGTTTGGTTGTTATGGACTCGGGACGCGTTTTGGGAGTCGCGATTAGGATGTTTGAAGGTTTGAAAGATCGAGTGTGGGAAAAGACAATTTTTTTGAGGGGGTGGGTTGGTTTTTGGAAAAGACTGTGATTCACAAATGTGTTGGCATTAGATCGATGTCGGGCCTCAGTAGATTCGGATTCATTCACCTCTCGGAACATAATCGGCAAATACTTGCCGATGGGGGGGGGGACGAGATAGCTTATCGGACAGTTATGGTCTTTCACATTAATAGTCTAGCAAGAGTGCTCCTCCTCAATACATAAATTCAAACAAAGCAGTGTTTTTGAAATCCTGTTGCTTGCAAATACTATATTTATAGGGGTAGTGCAGTCGAGTTCACTTGCCCCTTTCCCTACTCGCTTAGAATAAACAAAGCTTCCATGACCTCCAAGGCTCCTCGAATGGGAACATCTCTACCCCGGCTTTCTCATTCGTTTTAATTCGCCAAATACTTGAAAGTTTGAGCATCCATTGATTTATTAATCGCTCTACTTTGCTCAAGTCATGTGATATGCAGGCACGCACGGGTGCGGGATCTGCGGACGCTAATTTTAATACAACATCTCAGATATTTTATTCAACTCTTCTTTTCCCCCTCCCATCCGTCAACAGGAAGGTGATACAGCAGCTTCGAGATGCGACGCACCACGCGAAGAGCCTTGATGAACTTTGGCTTGTTCAGTGCATTGCTCTTCCTGATTATATACCTGAACGGCCCAGACTCAAAGACCAAGACTTTTGCCTGGAACGAGATCCGCTACAAGCCCTCCTCAGCCACGCTGCCCGAGTCTCGAGGAATCTGTCACGGCTTATCGAGCAGCTCAAAGCCAGCACTAGTTGTATCCCGAGTCGCAGCGGATGGGGATCCAAAATGGCTCGATCCACTGTCCAAACTGTCCCATTTTTGCGTTTACACTGTTGATGCGCCTGTCCAGGATTATAAGTACCTCCAAGTTCCCGCGAGGCGCGGACATGAAGCGATGGCATATCTGACATTCATCATCGACAACTATGATCATATCCCGTCAGCGGGCGCAGTGTTTGTCCATGGAGCACGCTTCCAGTGGCACAATGATGAGCCTCAGTATGACAATGTTGCCCTTCTCTCGAGGCTGAATGTCTCGAGAGCGCTGGAGTCGTCTGGGTATCATAATCTTCGTTGTGATTGGAGTTTGAGCACTTGCCCCTCCTCCGTCCCACCGCAAGGGAGCTTTGAGACTTCTTCTCAGGCACAACTCGTGCCGTGGGATGATCGCGCGGTCTCAGATGCAGGTCTTCCCAAGGCTCTCGCTGCTCTGTTTGGTGCTGAGGATGCTATAGGAGTGCGCCCAGGTCCCGCGGATGCTGTTCGCTCTCAGTGCTGTGCGCAGTTCGTCGTGTCGCGGGAGAGCATCATGCGTCATTCCCGCGAGGAGTACGCTGCTTTGCGGCAATGGTTGCTCGAGGACAAACGAGGCGATCTTGTGCTTGGAAGGATCATGTCATATGTGTGGCATATTTTGTTTATTAAGCAAGGGAAAGTCCGGGCAGGGAACGAAGGGATTGATCTCGAGCTGCTGAACAAACAAGCTTGTCCGAGTGCTGCGCAGTGCTATTGTCGCTTGTATGGACGCTGCGGTCTTGAGCGCTGTATTGCGAGTTCGTGCTATGGGCAGTATCAGCTTCCACAAGATTTGAAACTACCAAAAGACTGGGCTGAGACACACGGGTAAGCTCCATGTACGTGTGGAGTCGTTGGATTGTCCCGATCCGCTGGTACGACCAAGGGCAAATATTTCAAATGTCCTAAGTTCAGAATGTCCGGGCCGGCTGGTACGATCATAGTCGAGGATTTCAAACGCCCTTACTCGGTTGGTACAATCAAGGGACTCTGGGAGAGGGATACGCGAAATCTTGAGCCTCATTTTTGGATGTTGATACAAGATCAAGTGAATACGTGAAGAGTGAAGTACAATGTGGATGTACGTGAATCACAAGGCACATTCATATATTTCTACACTACAATCACATTCCTGAATGTCTCTGCTCTTGCCGCATATAAAAGTTCCTCCAGGTGCAACCTCTCGTTCTTCTTTCAACCTCGATACCATATTTCCAACACAACATCTTCATCGCCCTTTACCACGAATTCAGTTCTTCCATCAAGCTCATTTCATTCATCAACTTCCACCATGCATTTCAAACACCGCGTCACGCCCGAGAACACCTCAACCTTCGTCCAAAAGCTAGTCGAGAGCAGCCCTATCCCCGCCAGTTCCAACCAAGCGAAGCTCGTCGGCCAAGGTGCAGGGTTCCTCCACCGTAAGCTATCTGAGAAGGCAAAGCATCACTCCGAGAGCTGGCAAGCGAAGATCGAAGAAACGGCAAAGAGACATGTGGAGAAGCATGTCCCTTATCCTCATTCTCCAGCTTCGACGACGGAGATGCTTGCTGCTTCCTCTGCGGCTGCGGGTTTTGCGCATCATGCGAGCACGTTTCCGATCGAAAAGGATGATCAGCATGTGTACAACGCTCCAACATCTCGCAAAGAGTCATCCGAAGATCAATCACAGGCTGCCTTCTCAGAGAATGACCAACCGAACGCCAACTTGGGTCCTCAAGCAAGTGGTGTCGTCACGGCGAATGAAGCTCAGGATGGCCACAATTCACGGACCGTTGCCGGAGAACTAGCCGCTGAATCACTGGCCTTTGTCCCCCACGGCGACTCACGCGCCTCCAACTTTGCTCCTCAAACAAACCACGCAAACAATCTTCCTCCAGTGCAGGCTCCCCAGAATCCAACTGCTTATCGCAAGGATCACCTCCGCCCATTATTCTCCAATCCTGCCACCAGCTTGCCATCTCAGCTTCAAATCCGCCCTAATACCTCCACACCACCTCCTCAACACCCCCCACCTCCGTATCCAGCACCGAATACATCAACCAACTCCTTCCCTCCCTGCATTGCCGAAGTAACAGTTAAAACTATGCCTCAAATCAGAGATATCATCCGCCAGCTAGACGCAGAGGGTTTCTTCAACCCGAATAATATCGCGTTCTTGCTGTCGCAGTTGGAGATGATGTTGAAGAAGCAGGGCATGATTTCCATGGCGGGTGGGAGGGTGGGAGTGACTGTTCCTGCTTGTATGCCTGATGATCTGGCTTTTGGCGGCGGGAAGGTGGAGGGTGAAAGTAACAAGGAGGCTGACGATGAGGATGCGGGTTATGGCGAAGGTGAGGATGCGGAGGGTAGTGAAGCCGAGGGTGAGCGTGAAGAAGGCGAATATGGTGATGACTATAATGAGGCTTGCCCTGAGGGCGAAGCTGCTTATGGTGCTGGAAATGTTCAGGGTGCGATGACGTGAGGCAAGAAGATGTGAGTGTGAAAACTGGGTTTCGGAAGATGTTTCGAGCCATTGAGTTGATAGTGATGGAGAAATCCAGAGTGTATGTAGACTCTGTATCGTAGCGAGGAGAGAGGATTAGATGGGTAGGAAAATGCATCGTTGAGTTACTCGTACGCTCTAGTTTCGATCTTCCATATTCACTTTTGCTAGGTAAGCCGTTCTAGCTTCAAAGCACCGGAGTGGTTCACGGAGTCACGCCCCCGTTACTCCAAGGGATGCTGGGATACCGAACATTGGCTATACCGAATAGGCGAGCTCTGTACACGAGATGGAGTGTTAGAATGTGCCGGGGCCAGGTATGAATGGAACAACGAATGGGAAAAGGAGGTTGTTGTGAGAATCCAAAATCTCCACAAATCAAGAGAGATCGATGCCCACCCATGTTCATTCCGTAAAATGTTCTAACGATTAGGAACAACGAACATAGTGCGTTTTTACAAAGCCCACTCCTTGACTCCGTTCTCAAGTTTCGAGACGCCGCTAGTACGCGGGATTCAACCCCAAATCCCCGGTACCCCGAGGAAGTGGAGCAAGTTTGCGAGTCCAACATTCTTATTGGCTCCTCCACGTCTCGATACCAGAATCGCCGAAGGAAGCGTATCCGTATACTGCGCCGCACGCAACCTTCCCAAACGAGGATCTCAACCGTTGATCTATATCCCCGCTCAGGCTCTAGCAGAGACGATTAGATGAAAAGATCGAAATCATAGGTATCTGACTGAGCGCTTAATGTGATAGCCGTCTCGGAGTTAACCAAAGAGGTTCCTGCGATGTTGTTTTGTGTTTTCGACGCGAGCTTTTTGGGATGAAAGTTAGGAATGGACGAATGAAGCTCAGGGGATGATCGAACTAGGTACGAACGGGTAAATGGTTGAAGGATCGGTTTGAGAAAACTCAGCTTATTAGTCCCATAATATCTGGTGAAAGATTTGGCTGCTGCAAGAAAAAGAGTTCGTCACGGATCAACAAGCTAGTTTGCTGCAAGTCTTCACAGTGGCTATAAAGTCTTCCGCTGACCCAAGAGTTTAGACATCAAGAACAACATTCACAGCACATCGAAACTTCATCCCAGTCTATTTCAACCCTCAAATCAATTTATCAGTCAATATCATCAGACAACATGCAATTCAACAGCCTCCTCATTTGCGTCCTTGCTCTCGTGGTATCTGTCGCTGCGTTCCCGAGCACCTCTCCTCTCGATAAACGCCAGCAAAACTGCGGTTCGTGCCTTGAAGATCTTACGGATGGTGAAGATGCTTGTGGGTGGGGAGAGTGTCAGGGATGTGCGCTTTGTTAGCTGTTGGTGAGCGTCCTGTGTCCAAGTTTTAAATTTGTGTTAATACCGAACTTCAGTCTACGGGGAATTGGTTGCAGACTGCCACCATCGTATTGAAAGGGGAAAAGCGAGCCCTGTATCGACTGGAAGGCAGCTGTTGGTTGCCTAGAGGGCATTGGGATTGAAAAATTGTTTCAGAATAGATACTCACATCAAAATACGAAAGCTAGTATTCTATGAATAATATTATTAATTTAGAGACTTAATTGAATGTGATATAGTAACTAAAGGGGTGAGAGATAACCTGGGCATTAAATGATTTTAGTGAGAAGAGAAGAAGCAAGCTATTTATAGCTTGCTTTATTTAAATCGTGGTTTTAGTATTCCTTATATACTTATATAATACTATAATTAATTTAAAGTTATTAAAAGTCTATTTAATAAAACTCTTAATAATTAATGAAAGCAAGTATTTCTATTTTGTAATTAAATAATATAAATAATATAAATAATATAAATAATTATATTTCTTTTATTATTTATTATTTATTTAATTAATAATAAGGCTTTAAATCAAATTAAATCAAATCAATTATTAATAATATTATATAAATTTAAGATTATAATTTATTACAGGATATATTAATATATATTTTCTTTTTTAAAATTAGCTTAGAAATTACAAAATTCTAAGTTAATTAAAATTTATATTGGGAAATTCTAAGCTATTAAATATTATATATATTTCTAAGAATTGAATTAATATTATAATAAGCTTATTATAAAATATAATACTTTATATAATATTAAAAAAGAAAATAGCTTTAGATTTTAAAGCTTAAATATTATTATTATATATAACTTTATTATTATTAGTATTATTTAATTAAAATATATTAGTTTTATAAAACTAATAATTTTATATTTTATTTTATAATAATTTTAATTACATAATATTTATAATAATTTGAATTATATAATATTTATAATTATTATAATAATAAAGCTAAAGTAATAAAATAAAGTATAAAGATTTCTATTTCTTGTTTTATAAAATATAAAATTAAAAAAGAAGAAAAAAAGTATTAACTAAAATAATTAAAATATTTATTATAATTATATTAAATTAAGTATAAATATATATAAGTAAATAAGCTTAAAAAATATAATAATAAAATTAGAAGCCTTATTAGCTATTTTATTATATAAGTTATTAATATATATAAAGATTATAAAATAAGGAATTATATTAAATAATAAAAGAGTTAATTAAATTAGCTAGAAAAGAGCTTAAGTAAAGTATAAAGCTTTAAAATATAAGTATATAGATTTTAACTAAGTAAAGTAATTATACTAGCCCTAAATTAATAATTCTTATTATAATATATTATTTAAAAAAGCACGAATATTATTGTCGGTTCACCAGGAACGCATAGCACCGTCACATAATCGTGGAATGCTATTTGCGTAAGTTAGTAAAGTGGTTATTATTCAGAAGTAAGGATCGCAGTATCGTGGTGTTGATATGCGATCCCTAAATCTGCTAAGCCTAATGGGGACTAGCCTACCGGTCGAGTCACGCCTGCGATGCGAGCTCACATGACTAGTCACATGACCAGGAAATTCGCAGTGTAGCTGTTCCGACACTGGAACCTCTCTGAAAACGCCAAAAACAGTGCTTCCCTCCCATTGCATACTAATTTCCTAATTCGGCCTAGTCTCAAACCTCCCAAACGCTCAGTATCCCTCCCGTCCAATATTCCCATTTCTCTCTATCTAATATGCCCTATTCCCACCCAATATTTCCATCTAATATTCCCATTTCCCACTAGTATGTCCATTTCTCACTAGTATGTCCATTCCCAGTGTGCCTATTCCTTCCATTCCCAGTATGCCCATTCGCGTTTAACCCACTCCTGTACGTTGTGAAGCTTGGAATTCGAATCCAGCAGAGGTATAGGTGGGTATGACGCTTCTATTGGTTCATTGAAAGGCATGGAATTGTCCGAAACCGGTAGCAGGAATTGCAGAAGGTAAAGAGAGGGTATAAGCTAGACAGCCATTGGTGAGAGGTATTGATTGAGATGAAATGAGGGTGGTAGTCGAAAGAGATTTCGGAATAGAGCCTGTAGAGGTTCCTATTAATGGTTCGATGACGGTTGCAAAGAGAATAGCAGGTTCGTTGCATCCATCAGTTTCCACTGGTTCGTTAGTATCCATTAGAATAGCTAATTCGTTGGTATCCAGTTCGTAAATATCTACTAGAAGAGCCTCAAAGGTAAAGGATTCGGTTTTTGGAGGTTCGTTGGTATCGGTATCCACTGGCAAAACTTTAATTAGAAGAGCTTCCGTAATTGGAAGAGCTCCCAAAGTGTCCTTTTCGACTAAAGTAATATAGGAATCTGAATACTAATTCTCTGCTTTGTCCGTATCTGCCAGAAGAGCCTTAAAAGCATTACCTGATTCGTCCTTACTGCCCTTATTATCCTGTTCTCCCTTAGCTTTAGCTATATACTATAGATAGGCTCTATTAAAGCGCTCCATTTCGGCCATATATCGAAAATAAGCACTAGTAGGTGGTTGGCCAGGTAGTTAAAGACGTCGATTCCCTTTTAAGGATATAAAGACCGAGGTAATAGGGCCCTTCTAAAGGTCCGCTCTAGCCCCGTTATTATTAGCCGTATTCCAGATATGCTATTCTTCCTCCTAAACGAGGTTAATTAAGGATTAGGTAATTGAAAGGTTCTTGTAGTCTTGGTATACGTAAACGCTACCGTATCAAAGGACTGCCCGTAAGTATAATAGTTCTATCTGATCCAAACGATTAAAGGTTATTCGACTAAAGTTCTTGAAGTCGTATTTGAACAAGTCCCAGAGATTATTATTAACTATTTTATAAACGGTAGCTTGGAATAGCTTGGTATTCAGGTATTCGGATAACTGCTCTTTGGTGGAGGTAGCTATATTGATTCTGTATCTCTACTTGATTCGTGCTTTTCACTGCTTTGCTTATAAGATAGAATTATCCATAGTATCCCAAACCTTTCAGGTTCTTTCTAGTGTGTGTGTGTGTGTGTATGGTTCGAAGTAAGGGGGGCTCGAAGGTGAGGTAATTCGTGGAACTCATAGAATTCGAGGTAAGGAGGGGTATTTGAGATAAGGAGAGGTAGGGAGAGGTATTTGACAGGCTCCTAAGGTGAAGGATCGTCGTTTCTGGACAGAGGGGGTTCCGGTGGTTTGCGTGGGTTTGTAAATATTTTGTCTGTAACGAGAAATTTAGAAGTGAAATATCGCGATTCCGGAGGGTTTGAAGGTTCTAAAGGTTCTGAGGGTTCTGAAGCTCGAGGGGTTTAACTTGAAGGTAAAGCTGAAGCTGAAGTGCTTTAAGGGTGTTCCAGAGGGTGGTATTCCAGAAGGTGGAGTTCCAGAGAGTGGGGTGGTATTCGAGAGGTTCCCAAGGCTAAGGGATCGTCGATTCGGTCAAGGGTTACTCTAGTGGTTTGCAGAGGGTATTCGGCCTTGCGAAAGAGCGATTGAATAAGGGTTGCTCTGGTGGTTTGCGAGGTTCAGGCGTTCGTAATCTTGTAAAGGAGCGATTTTAATGGTTGCTTTGGTAGTTCGTAGAGGGTATTTGGCCTTGCGAAAGAGTGATTAACGTAAGATGGTTAAATGGCTGACCGTTTATGGTGTTTTGGCAAGAAGCAGTGTCTTTCATTCCTATAGAACCGAATTATAGGTAAAGGCGACTATTATTCCCCCCTTTAATATAGTATAATCGGACCTTAGTAAGATCAAGTATGTATTTCCTCCTTATAGAACCGAATTATAGGCAAAGGATTAATAGTTGTCCCTTCTTTAACTTGAATAATGGCTTTGCCCTCAAGGAACCGAATCTTGAGCAAGTATAGTTTAATTCTTTCTAATCTATAAGTACTAACTAATTAGTATCGGTTTACCAGAAATATATAGTACTATTATATAATTATAGAATACTATTTATATAAGTTAGTAAAGTGGTTATTATTTAGAAGTAAGAATTATAGTATTATAATATTAATATACGATTCCTAAATCTACTAAGCCTAATAGGGACTAGCCTACCGGTCGAGTCACGCCTATAATGCGAGCTTATATAACTAGTTATATAACTAGGAAATTTGTAATATAGCTATTTCAATAATTATATTTTACTAATTTTATCTAATTAGAGAGCTTTAAAATAATAAAAATCATTTAATATATAGATTTTAAAAAGCTATATTAATTTCTAATTTAAATAAACCTAATATATATTATTATCCTAAATTATTAAATTTTAGAAAATATTTATATTAAGTTTATTTTTCTATTAATACTAGAGTTTCTAATTAAATTATTTTTCTTTAATACTCTTTTAAAGTTCTTTTTTTTAAATTTCTAATTATTATAAATATAGCTTATACTAAATCTATTTCTTTTTATATTATTATTAAATGAATTTCAATTTATAAATTTATAATATTCTTAATCTAAAATATATATCTGCTTTACTTTTATTTAATTTTCTTTTAAATTATCTAATACTTCTAGTATTTTATTATTAAAGCCTAAAAAGAATTTAGCTAAATATTATACTTTTTATTTTATTATACTAGTTTAACAGAAATCCTTTATATAAGTTATTATAAGTTTTTTATATTATTTCAAAGCTTGTTTTTAATTTAATATAGTTTCTTTTACTTTAAAAAGTAAAAGTAATAATTCTTACTATAATATTATTTATAAAAGTACTTATTATTAGAAATATAATTCTAGTTATTTTTATATTATTATTTCGAACTCTTATATATTTATTATATAGCTTTTTCTTAATTCTTTTTATAAATTCTAATTTTTAAAGTATTTATTTGCTTTTAAATACTTTATTTATATTATATTCAAAATTATCGAATCTAATAAAAAGAATAATAATAAAAGCTCGTTTAATAAAGCTTAAAAGGCTATTAAAAAGAATACAAAGTAATCTAATTAAGTAAAGAATATTTTATATAAGCTTATTAATATTATTATAAAACGCTTTTAAATCTTTTATTATTTTACCTTTAAGTTCTATTATTTTAATAAATTTTACAAATAAATTTTATAAATAAAATCCTCTTTTTTTATTATTTAATTATTTTAATTTTTGCTTTAATATTTTTAAAGATTTAATAAAGCTTTAAAGTTTTTAAATTTAAATTAAAATAGATTTTTTATAAATTTATTTATAAATATATAATTT